ACATACCACTGAAGGTAATAAAGCTAAAAGTAAATTATCTGAAGTATTAATCCAGATATTACTAGTAATTAAACCATCAGGTGTTTTAATCCTGATGTAAGTTGAAATAAGCTCTGTAAAAGAGTTTAAATCGCAGGTATTCGAAGGGAAAATAGGGCAACCGCTAAAAATATAGAATAAGTTTGTAAACATAATTATTAATATTACAAAATTATTCCAATCTCTTAATGAAATAATAAGGCAAGCTAATTTATATAATAAAGGTCTATTCTTAATAAATTCTCGTTCTTCAATTTTAATTAGCTTACTTAACATACCTATAATTAAAAAGAAACAACCAAGAATTCTAATAAATGTAAATAGACAAACACATAAAATTAAAATAGGAGTAGGATTTCCATCACTACCTCTAAATATTCATTTAATAAATTAAATACATCTTGTGGATTTTCAATGAATTTTGAAATTAATTCTACAAAATTATTATTATTTTCATTTGGAGAATTAATTTTGAAGTTTCCATCTGGTGGAGGACTACTAGATCTTCCAATAGAGTGATAATACATTCTTTTACACATTTCTCTCATTTTTTTTTCTTCATAGTTATGATTCATCATTTCACCTAATCCATAAGTAGCAAAATCAGTAATAGTACCAACAATACCTAAAAACAATCCATTTCTAGGATTTGTTTTTGCAATTGTAACTGCAGCAGTTATTGTTGTTCCAGAAATAATTCCCGCAGCAACTCCAGGAGAAGTAATTAGTTTATCATTATTAGAATTACTATTTGATGGATGATTATTTGACCCTACACCTCCATCTCCAAAATTAACATTAAAAGTATTTTTTGATGAAGGATTTGTATTAGATGAATTAGGGGCAGAACTTATATAAATTAATAAACCTAGTACTACCAAACCTAAAGAGCCTGTAAAAATGTTAGAAAGATTATCATTTAAGAAGTGGATAAATTCTATAAAATAAAGATGAATAGAATCAACTAGAATATTAGGAATTAAAAATACAGATGCAAATCTAAAATGATTTTTATCTATAGAATAGTAATACTTATGTTTAATAAACTTAATAATGGATAGAATATTATTCTATAATAAAGAATAATAAGTTTGTAATAATCTATTACATCTATAAATAAGTATTTTAAACCAATAACTAGAAATAACCCAAACTAAGTTTAAAGTTAATCGCAGGATACGAAGGGAGAATAGGGCGATCGCTAAAATTTTAAAAGACATTTTTGTAAACATTTTTTTAATAAATTAATAAAATTAGATAGCATCAATTAAATAATACTATTTTTTTAAAAAATAAAGACATTTAGTTTCTCATTAAATAATGATACTTATACAAAAAGGTATGTCTGAATAAGATCCTATCTAGAAGGAAAGAAGTATGTTTGTTTTCTTTCCTTCTAAAGGAGGATATGTAAATAACTGTTTCATGTTAAACCCATTCTCTGTGCAAAAACTATTACTATGACGAACGTTACCAAGGAAACAGAAGCATGTGAGTGACACGAATCTAAGGAGATTGCCTTGGAGTATGAGACACTAATGATATACTGCAGTTGTCGAGAACTATCTAAAAACTACAAGCACACCCAGTTTCCAGCACTTCATCGACAAAAATGTCGAATTTATTGCACAGAACTCGTATTTGGGGGACGCGCTCGAAAAAACCTAGACCAACCTGTATGGGAAGGTTGTGCAATGGGTAAAGGTGGATGTTGTAAGTATACATCTTGTAGACCGAGTATTGTGACCAAGTTTCAAAAAGTTAATGCTTTTTTGTAAAGGCAAAAGGGCGCAAGAAGCCTGATTGGGCAGCTGTAGCACTGAAAATGGTGGAGCTGGCTCGGCCCAAGGCAGACAATATCGCAGTCAGGGAATGCTCGAAAGCATCATACCCAACGACTAAATCACCCGGATCGACGTCCCTCAAAGTAAAACTGACAACTCTGGACAAAGAAAGGATTTCGCGAGAGTTAGGACAGTTGTCGAAAAAGAATTTCTGGAGCCTGGAACGGTCTGATGAAGCACCGCTGATCATAGACCAGATTGTCATCGACTTGCGAAACAGTGCAACTACCATCAATAGGTATTAAAATCAACAGACCTTTTGTCTGTATAAGATCAAAAAGGCGTTATATAGAGGAATAGAGCACTCATCACAGAATGTTTATGTTTTTTAGTCCGTCCCAGTCACTCATATTGAGCATCATTAATAAATAAAAATCTTTAAAGTTAATTTCTTAAAAAGATATATCATTTCGAAATTAAAATTAATTTCTTTGAAAAAAATAATTATTTTTTTTGGATAATAGTTTTTACTAAGACAAAAAATTAAAAAAAAATTTATGGAAAAACAATTATCTATGAATTCTGTAATACCCAAAATTAAAATTTTGGTTGAGAATTCAGAACCTTTTTCTTCTTTGAAAAAGAACCATAAAAAGAAGCACTCCGTAAGTTAAGAACTTACGAATTTTTTTAAGGTTCAACAATACTCATTGGACATCAGCGATAACAATTGGGATGATGTTTTCTCGGGTAGAAATCTGGATGCTTTAGAAAATTTTGGTTCTAAGCTATTCCCCGCATTGGATGCTGAATTAATTGATATCTTGAGCGATATTGAAAAGCTATTAAGAAAAAAATAAGAGTCGCAGTAATGAGCATTATTGCATAAATTAAACATTGCGCTACTAATTTGTAGACAACTCTGTCTGAAGCGTATGAATTCGGCTGCAAATTGTGTCATGATCCCATAAAGGAGCCTTTGAAAGCATGGTTGGTCGTCGAATTGCAAGAATTTTCTTGTACGACAATAGAAAACTCGACATGGACAACATGCTTGAATACGACCAATTGTATGAAGTGTGGGGTTTCATAAAAACCATCGTCAAAGGCACTCGCATCACAGCAAAAGGGTAAATCAAAAGATTCGCAAAAAACAGGGTTATTATACACTTCAAAATAAAGTGCGCTTACGATGTAATGTAAAAACAGGAGTGAAGGCTCGAGTAAGGCTAATGCCGATGCTTTGAACAAGAAAAGATCCATATCAGCCATCGAACCAGCCACGAACCGTCGGGTTGGCCGTAAAATTGACGTGATTTACAGCGCAAACAGAAAAGAAGTGGGGTGTGTCGAGATTGGAAAGAACGAAGATCAGACCAAAGAGATGAAGGACAGCTTGACCAAAATGCCGTTAATCATGCATGATATGTTGAGCCAAGTGGCATATTCACAAAAATCATTGCATCAAGTTCAAATGCTCGGCTTCGTCATCAACGGTCAGTGAAACTTGGCTGTGTTTATATTAGTCTATTGATACTAACTTTTTGCAACTTCCAGGCTGCAAAATATCAATGCTGGTAATGGATTGCCCACAAGGTTATGTTGCCAGAGTACGACGATCGAAAGCACTGGAATATCGAAGCTGCGCTGAAGACTACATCACAAAAATTGTTCCACTCTTTAAAATGGCCTTATCTGGACTATATATAATGGAGCAAACGTGGAATATACTTGTAAAAAGTAACACCAACCTAGAATCGCTGCGATCTGTAAGTGATTGGATGCTCCCAACAACCTTTGTTCCCGAATCATCATCACCGTCACCATCATCATCATCATCATCATCATCACCGTCATCGTCATCGTCATCGAAAAAACAAAAAAAAACTGAACTACCCCTATATCATCCCATCAACCTTACGTCATATATTAGTTCATAATTTCCACCTCATCTCCCTATCTGATACCTTATTTGAAATAAATTACCGTCTTCAAGCACCTCATTCCACAGCATAAAAACATCGCTCGATGACACAGATGTCGGTTCTTTTCTGTGAGATTTTTTTCCTTTCGTTGTTGTTCAATAGGTATATCTAACTCTTGTATATTTATACTATGAAACAGTACATGCTGGAATGCCATTTGCAAAAAAACTATCAGCGATGGAGGCAATAACCCACGATTGATGGGCAACGGCTAATTATACTGTAACCCAGTATCTGAATCAAGCAATATGATTACTGTACTTTACTGACCACTGCGTTGTCACCGGATTGGAATAGGCCTATTTACCAGATAAACTGCTGCATTAAATGATTATTCTATGCTGAACAAGTCACTAATGGACTTTCCAAAAAGAAGAGAAGTATTCAAAACTATTAGAGTATAGAAAACAGGATCGACCGGATTCGAATAAAGGTGAAGACTGTTGCGCACAAGTGTAAGCACAGGTTCAGCTCGCTTTTGATTAGGTTTGTGATTACGGGAAGGCTTCGCTCTTAATTATCTCAGGTACTGTATTAAAAGGTTAGTGAGCATGTATCAGTTACTATGGATATGATATATAAACACTTCGATGCGAGCCGTCTTGGCACACAGCAATTGCGGTCATGTTGAAAGCTATGACCAGCTGCAAGATTAGGATCAGACGGCTTTTTGGGAACCCCTCCCCCAATTGTGTATATTCGACTTTAGTCGCTTCATGAAACAATTACCTCGTTTCTACCTTAAGCGCCTCATCGCCTTCCTTGTCCTCCTACTCCTCCCCCTTTTCCTCTTCCACAAAAAAACGGGGTTTCTTCTCGTTCTCGAGAGCAATGACGACGACAAGACAGAGAATTCCCTTGTGATTTACATATCGTGCGGCGGTGCACATTAGAAGCAAAAACAACTCAAATTCCAAGACTGCACTGCGATCAACCAAAGCGAATACAAGTAGTTAATCATATGCCACTGTTGCTACGGCTTCGATTTGAAGGAACAATTCAGTCTTTGCAGCAAAAGCAGTTACATGTTTTACCACGAGTTTAAGGTGCGTCGGGCGCGGTGTTGTCCGTGCACTCTGCATTTTCATGGGCAGCAGCCAAGACGGTTGCTTTGCACACTCGAAATTGGAACAGAGCCCGAGCCAAGATATTTTGGCCTGCTAACAAAAGATTATTGAAAGGCTAAATGCATGATGCGTAACTGCCTAGATCAAGTAATTCTTGGTGAGTGGTACTGTAACTGCGAAGTTAAGCAGCTCGTAATGCTACCGTTACATACAGTACACCATTGGATCGAATTACAGTGCCGATGACCACCCACCGTGTGTTAATATATACATTTTTTTTAAAAAGAGCTCCATGTAAGCAAAGACAGGGTGCCATCGTTTTCAAAGCATGTAAGCAATGATGAACAGCTCGTGGACCGTTGTAAAAGATATGTTCTCGCTTCTACGCAATGCTCGTTGTCAAGATAGAGCTGCTAAAAAGTCCAACAGACCGATGATGAATGTTTAGTGAAACACATCCTGAAGAGGAAAAGGACGCTCTCAATTTTCCAATTATTTCCTCAACCTATCATGTGCTGCCAATGTAAATCGCTGCCGTTTTGTGACACTGACTACGAAACAAACTAGTGCATATTGTTGATGCTTTTCAACATGCTCTGGTGAAGCCCTTGCTGAAGCAATTACCCTGTCTAGTACATGTTATTATTTGTGGACTGTTACTCTTTAGCGGTTAGCTACAGTTCCTATGCAGCACAGTGGTAGAAATGGTTACACCACAGATTTGCCGAATGTAACCATGTACCTTTGGCTGAATTTGATGTAGCTATGAGTAGTATATTCTATTATTCAGCAAGTGATATTTCAATACGGTACAGTAATTAAATTGACTAGTGTAATACTCTGAGGTCTTCAAACTTCAGTGCAGAATTATGCTGCTGCTACATTCTGCGAGCGTTTTTGACCCGTTGTTCTTAAAGCTTTACGTCGATTCAAATCTGCGCGAACTTTCAGCGTATTTGTTTCTCACAGTCTGTGGAAAATTGAGAAAGCTCCGTCGGAGATATTAAAGGATCCTATCCATACATTCGAACGCTTTGAACCAAAGTTCAAGGAGTAATTATAGCGCCCAAAAGATATTGCTTCCTTGGTAGATTTGTAATAACTATGCGACAATAAGCTCATAGTACACGAGATTGGTTACTGCCCGTTAAAGAAAGATCCTCAAAACACTATGTATCATCAAGCGCAGGAATGGATCATATGATACTGCATTTTAAAAGCAACATTCAACGCCAACGCGATGGATAAAGCTACCAAAGAGCCCATAATCCGGAACACTTTATCTTTCTCAGTAGACTCAGAGGGGAATTACTCACTATGGTAATGCATTTCTGTAGAATGTACATCAACGGTGTGTTACAGAGACACAAAATCAGATCAAGAGCCGTCATTGGCTAGCAAGTAACTCTGATAAATCGTCTACCAGATCGGGTTGTGGTAATATCGCAAAAAGTTGAATAAAAGGAACATTTTGAGAGGCAGGCAGTAAATCAGGGGGTGAAGGCAGCGAGAGCAATTGCCAAAGCTCTGTTGACGACTTCAAGCAAGTCGGCTAGCATTACGGCAAACCTTATATATAGAAGTACAAACCAGTAAAACATTTGAAATGCTAATTGTAATAGATTAAACACTTCGTTTTAGCCACTGTGGGTACGTGAAATGCTTTGTACTTCGATGAGTTCACAAAACTCTGACCAAAAACTACTTACATATTATTACTTTCATTTTTGTGAAAGACGTACAGCACAACACATACAAATATGTAAACCAGGTGAGAGTTTCTCTTTGAAAAATATCTCGTCGCCATAAATCGTAACCGAAAGTCCCATCATCAATCATTCGATCGGGTTGGATAATACTTACATATACTGTACACATGATGTACAGTAGCAGCTCGTCACTGTCCAATTGAAACACTGTCGTAACAGGTATTACATAGCAGTATGTTTTGTTGTTAATATCATGATATTCGCGCGCAATCCAGCTGTGTGGTCTGGTGCGTGGTGGTGGTGCATACACCCCACGTTTATTTTTCATTGTACTTTTAGAGATATAATGTGAGTTCGTTTTTACGATCCTGTGACTTACATCCTCTGTTCAATCAAAAACGCAAAGCTACAGGGAGGAGGTCACGTAACTTTATAGCACCATCTTGTTGGGGCATGACAGCTACAGCTAGCAGCGACCAAGATTACCGCCGCTGCAAGAGCGTGGGATTTGTGCAGTAGTATGCGTGCTGCAGATTAGAGTACCAGGAGCTGTGTATTTAGACGGCACAAACAAACCATTAAAGGCAACAGCGTGATTGTGCATCACCGATACAAAACGCTTCATCACCATAATTCTCTAAACGCTGTTTTACTATTGGATTGTCGTTTTATCAAAAAAAGTAAAATTCAACACGGGTATTGCTGGTACCTGTAAATTTAGTACGTATACTGTACACATAAAACAGTATAGATTGCTTTGGATGGCGTTTTTTATATAAGAAAACAAAGGAAGTGATAAGGTTTGGCCTGTCTGTTACAAAAGGACACATGATGGATTTGACACAGTATAATGACCAGGTCACATCGATACTCTTTTCTTGCTTTTTTTTCCGTACGTCTTTCTTTACACCTCTCCCCACACCCGCCCCCCCTTTTTTTTTCATTTTGGCCGTTCGTTATTTGGTGGTGTTGCTAGCGTTAAACTACTTTGTCCATCTTCGCCCAATTCTCGCAAGGTCTAAACTCCCGTCTGTCACAGGAAGGGGGGATCGTTAAACTGCTGCATATTTCGTTAGCTAATTATGTCCGTCTCCGCTCCTATTCCTGTCGTCCGGAGGGACGACCAGCACGACAACGAGCAAGATTCCTATTATGCGTATGATCGTCACCACCACGATGAGTCCGCCCCTCTTCTTTCTTCTACTTCTATCACATCGCCTTTTTTCGACGATTACTATAACCGTCAATTACAGCAGCAAGAGCAAAAGCAAGCAGAGCAGCAAAGCATAAAACGACGACTGATGGCTGCAGGATGCGTAACACTAGTACTGATGGCCCTGCTCGTCTGTGTATGGGCTGCACCTCCATCTACAACCGAAACACAACTCTATCCATGGCTTAACAACCGGGGATGCGGCACAGGCGGTGACTTTGATCAAATGGGCACCTCGTTTGCGCTTAATGGAACGTATAATGCAGACTATACCACAGTGAGCATCCCAGGCAGCACGCTGGCGTTTCAAACCCATATTGGCCAAGCCAAGGACAATGTTATTGCCCAAGGTCAAACAATCCCACTGTTATTCTCCAAAATCCAGGCTGGCGGTGCACTCTACTTACTCGCGTCTTCGTCCCATGGACCAGGGCTTGACGCCGAGCTTGTTGTACATTACCAGGACAGCACGACGAGTGTGTCACGCATGGATGTGCCTGACTGGCAAGTGGACCATCTGGACCAGGTACTCGACAGGACTCTGGGCGTACCCTGGCGAGTCAGTAATGGTAACATCGGTGCCCTTTTTGCCATCCCCATCTTTATCGACCCATCCAAAGCAATCCGTGCGATACAATTACCCAATGACGACCGTATCCATATCTTCGCCGTGCAAGCGCTCGATCCAGGGGTTCACGCTGTCAGTGCAAGACCCGCACAACTATGGGATGACCAAGGCCGACAGATTGTTCGTGTCCGGGTGCATAACGCGTCACCGGAAACGGTCAAGAATGTTCGAGTCAGTATCAAAAACGGAGGAGGAGAGGTATCAATGTCCAAATTGGCACCAGGTCATATTGCAGTGATTAATGTCGGCGCGCCTGCTGGAAAGAACGACATCACCGTGCACATCACGAGAAGCAAAGAGGATGCATCGTTCGTTTTGCAGCTAGGACTTGCTCATTATGAACCGACACAGTAGGTTTTTTAATTTGACGCCGACAACTATGTATAGCTACGATAGTGTTGTTGATGCTAATCACGGCCATGCATATGTGCATAACATTCTTAAGGTCCTCCTTACAGCAACATCAAGCCCCGCAGTGGCTGGAGGACGCCAAGTTTGGAATTTTCATACATTGGGGCCTTTATTCTGTACCTGCATGGGCACCTGTCGGAAAGGAATACAGCGAGTGGTATTGGTGGCAAATGAACCATGAGCCGACTTATTCGTACCATCGTGAGACGTATGGTGAGGATTTCAACTACGATGATTTTATCCCCAAGTTACCAAATACGCCCGATCCAACAAAATGGCTTGACTTGATCTCCCGGTCACGTGCACGTTATTTTGTGTTCACCACAAAGCATCACGACGGACTCGCCCTGTGGAATACGAGTGTATCGGAGCGGTCATCAGTCCATCTTGGACCCAAACGAGATTTTGTCGATGCCATAATGACAGCAGCCAAACAACCGGAATATGCACATGTCAAACGAGGACTCTATTGTAAGTAATAGATAAGAAAGAAGAGACGAAAGAACAGCTTGTATTTAAGCTATGCTGTTGCACAGTTTCATTGCCAGAATGGTTTCATCCAGAGTACCGAGACGTTTCGCTTGGTTGGCACGGACCACCCAAGAACCCGTATACAGGCAAGATGATCCCATACACCGGCTACAATCCAACAATTCGAGACTTTGTCAATGACCATCAAGTGCCACAAGCCTTGGAACTGATTGAGTATCATGAGCCTGATATTTTTTGGTGCGATATTGGAGGCATCAATAATTCGTCTGCCTGGCAAGCGCCTTATTTCAACCGTGCTGCATCACAAAAACGTCAAGTGGCGATTAATGATCGGTGCGGCAACGGTATTTCGGATTTCACCACAGTCGAGTACCAATCCAATGCAGATGCACCATCACGGTTCTGGGAAGCGACACGGGGGATTGATCCTTATTCGTTTGGATATAATCAAGCCACCCGACAAGATCAATATGCGGATACAGGGTCGCTCTTGCGAGAGTTGATAGATGTCGTTGCCAAGGGTGGCAATCTGCTATTAAATATTGGACCAGACATGTACGGTCAAGTGGTTGAATCCATGGCCAGCAAGCTCGCGGAGATGGGCGAATGGATCGATCATGTCGGACCAGAGTGTCTGTTTAATACAACACGCTATTGGGTTGCGCCAAATGGTGTAGAGCAAAACAAGGTCAGGTTAAGGTTTACAGTGGCCGAGGATGGGACGTTTTATATGTTTATCCTTGACGAGCCTCCACAGGGTGAGTTCACCATCCCGGTGCCGGTGCCTAAAATCGAGTCCAGCGTAACGACTGGAAAGAGTATTCATGTGCCATGGCAATTAGACCTGCAAAACCGGGTCGTATTGCAGATTTCAGAACAGGTTATCCAGGCTAGCAAGTATGTTTGGGTGTTTAAGATGTTGTAATTTGTTCATTTAAGCTTTTTACAAACCACACACACCCACTCTCTCTCTCCCTATCTCAACAAACATCTATAATCTGTATCTATTGAGTGTCTACACAACAAACAACATCAACATTCGCTTAAAAGTATAATTTTACATGACATATTAAAATCAGTGCGGATATGAAGTGGAAGAGGCCCTCCACAGCGAATTTGTTCCAGAAGGACAATAATACAAGCTCAGCATAGCTTGCTTTCTTTTCTACAACAGCAAGCAGCATTCAACACAAACGAGCACAAATCCTTTTGATTTAGAACCGTTATGAAACGTTCACACACCGATGACAGTGCTCATAGCGATGAACGATACCCCAAAGTAAAAGTTTCACAAAATGGATCATCACAACCAACAGCAGCTGCAGCAACTCCAACAGATACCGCGTCACCAGCTTCACTATCAGCTTCACCGGCTTATGGACGATTTACTCCTCATTATAAATCACAAAATGGACGACGATTTGGCGGATCTTCCAAGATCACTGAATATCAATTACAACATAAATTAGGTGAAGGTACTTTCGGGTATGTCCTTTTTGTGTTTTGCTCAATTTTGTAATTAATATATCAATGATTTGTCAAACGAACAATTACCGACATATATAACACTTCCTTTACTAGTGAGGTGCATAAGGGTATCCACAAAAGTTCCGGTGCTATAGTTGCGTTGAAGCGTATTCTTATGCATAATGAACGAGAAGGCGTAAGTAATTCTTTGAATCTATTCTTCTTTCTATTGTGGTGGATAAAAGCTCGGGAGGGGGTACACTGGAGACTATGCACTGGTACTAATAGTAACACTTTGTACATGTCTTTTTTTCAACTACTATCTGCAGATACCTATTACTGCAATACGCGAAATCAAGATCTTAAAACAACTACATCACAAGAATATCGTACCATTGACTGATTTAGCTGTGGAGCGTGGAGATCCAGTTAAAAAGGAACAGGGCAGTATATATATGGTGTTCCCTTACATGGATCACGATCTGGCTGGCCTATTGGAAAATCCATCCGTGCGCTTGACTACCCCGCAAATAAAGACTTATGTCAAACAATTACTTGAAGGCACTGCCTATCTCCATCATGTAAGTTTTGTTCTGTATATGTGTGTGTTTGGGTATCTTTCAATAATCATAGTATATGATGAAAAGAGAAGTTTAAAAAAAGCTCATTATGCTGTAACTTCATATTGGATAGAACAAAATTTTACATCGTGATATCAAAGGTATGATATTGGAGGAGAAATGATACGACAAGTGACAGTAGTGATCTTGCAGATGTGCAATTAGAGAGGAAGAAAGGCCACTAATTGTAGCTATGTTTATTATGTTTCATAATTAGCGGCCAATCTACTTATCAATAACGAAGGCATATTACAAATTGCGGATTTCGGTTTGGCGCGTGGCATTGAAGATGAAGACAAGGAATATACAAGCTGTGTAGTGACGCGCTGGTATCGTCCTCCAGAATTGTTCCTGGGTGAACGCCGCTATACTTCGGCCATTGATATGTGGGGTGTAGGGTAAGAATATACGAGCACGTTATACAGCGGCAAACAGACTAAGAGAAGAGAAAGAAGGTAGAAGAAATATTTACGGTCAGATATGACGCCTTTTTTCTTTTATGGTTTAGATGTATCGTGGGCGAGTTATTACGAGGACGACCAATATTGCAAGGCACAGATGATACTGATCAGTTACGACGTATATTTCATCTATGCGGCTCACCAAACCACACAAACTGGCCTGGATATCATAGCTTACCAGAAGCAAACAAATACAATTTTGAGACTTCTCCTCGTCGTGTAAAAGAAGAGTTTTCCAAATATGATCCGCTGGCTGCAGACTTGTTGGATAAATTATTGGTGTTGGATCATACCAAACGGTTAACGGCTATGGATGCACTGGATCACGATTATTTCTATACTAGTCCATCACCGGCGAAACCCTCGGAACTTCCGAAATATGAAGCATCGCATGAATATGATCGACGACGTGTTCGCAGTAATAACCGTAGATAAAGATGGATATATGGATGGATTTGACAACTATGTCTTGAAATATTACTCTTCCCTCTCTATGTTACCTGTTAATCTGTCAACTGTCATTTCTGGTCCCCTATTACAATTTTTTAAACCCAAAACAGACGTACACAACACCCCCTATTCGATCATACTACATTTGTACACACAGCTACACATTACACACGTGCATGACCAGTTTCGTTTCTGTACAGAATGGTGTGGAAATGATATGGAGGGGACTGGCTTGGTGCAATGACACTCATTACAGAGGAGAGTAATAAAATACATGTTGTGTTTATTCAACTAGACGGTTTAGCCATTTGATAAGGTTAACTGGCTTAGAGTATCAACTAGTATAATTTCTTAACGCATCTAGCGAGCATTCCACTACACATGATGCATAGTGATGAAATCACTGAGGGTTAAACCATAGTGACGAAGTTAAGTATGTAACAACATCATAACAAGTGATCGCGCATATATGCACAGCTTTAGGGTGTTTTTAAGCTTATGGATGATGGAGAGCTATCATTGGTTTACTGTGGTTCCCTGGTAAACGGAAGAAAAAGGTAAAATAGAAACGCGATGTACCTATGATGCATTTTTTTGAACCTTGAATGCCGTTGGAGTGACACCCGACGTATTGTCGGATTTTGTATCAGGAAAAAATGACACAATTTGTGTAACAGCGGCTCCCTCCACCTGTAATGATAACCCTTCTTTAACTTTAAAATATTTCTGCACATTAAACTCCTATTGCACTTTTCATTTTCTCACACAATCACATAACACTCTATGGAGCCGGTATCTGCGCATTTAACGTACAAAAACGCTATTGTAATCGTGGGTATATTTTTTCTTATGAAAGAAAGATTTGAGGAGGAGAAGGGCAATATACAAAAAAATAGAGGTTGGTTGGTTGTAATACTAGGAGACTAAGACTAATAAAAAAAAGTTATAATAGAAACTGAGAAAATAATAATAAAGAAATGATGATGTTCTGTTATGTACGATGGAATGGCATGATGGAGCGGGAATATGTGTGTGTGAGTTGGGACAAAATATAGAGAGGAATATGGATGACGATTACAGTTTCTGCGCATAAGCATGATGAAGGTTCATGAAAGCCCAATGTGTTTCGAATTCCTCCTCAACTCGTTCGAGCATTGCTTTCAAGCGCCGATCGGTCCAAGGGTCATAGTCATTCTGTTCTCGTGCATGAATCGTTTCGATTAGGTCGCGTAGGTCGTTTAAGAAAATGGTGCCAATCCTGCCTCCCCACAGACCTAGTGGCAATGACGTATATTTGGCATGATAGGCATCGCCGTGGCGCTGATGCATCTGTTCAACCAGTTCATGGAAGAAGAATAGGTCCTGCAAATAACGTGCGAAATGCGGATCAAGCGACCGGATTTCCATAAGATGGATGACTAAATAAATATTTCGTCAGCAAGAATGCAGTAAAACTCTCTGTAAGCATCAAAAAGGACATCCAGCAAAAGACCAAAGATGCACAAACATACACACACGGCATGCATGTAATGCATCTTTGTTCCTCTAATTCCCGCTAAAATTTATGTGCAGAGTCTTTACCTTGAGAGTTCAACATGTGCGTCATTGGACCCACCACCGGGCTCCCATAGATCCGCATGTCCAATTCCATCATCTCGACATAGCCGCCCGATCGACACAGACGCCAGCACTCTTGCACAATCTCGCGATAATGGTCTGGGTTGTATGAAAAGATCAGGAAACGGCCGTAAATGAAATCGAAATGATTATCGGGTAGCGTTTGAAGATGATGGAGGATACCGTGTGACGATTTCAGAAAACGGAAATTGCGGGGTGTGGCTCTGCTGGAATCCAATACGTCGCGGTCATCGATCCCCAAAACCCAACAGTGCTTGTACTTGGTTGCCATATCCATACTCCATGATCCGTTCCCGCATCTAGTAGTTATGAGCCAGTTAGTGGACTCGCCATTGGTAACGCATGTGTATAGCGAGCGAAAAGGAATAGTCATTGTAATTTACCCAATATGCAAAATGTTTCGTTCTTTGGAAGAATCAGCCAGATCCAGCGGGCTGCAAAATAATCCGTCCAGAGCCAATTTGATCAGCTCCTGCCTTACAATCATGCGATCGGCGCGTGGCCAGTCGTTATCTTTGGGCAGGGCGCTAGGTGGCGGTGATGGTGGTGGCGCCGGCGGCATGGGTCTCTCTCTGTTGCTGTGATGATGATGATGTTTTCTGTTGCTGCTACTACCACTAGTGCTATTATGATGATGATGATGATGCTGGAACTCAACGACGTCGCATGATAACCGAGGTCTTGGCTCATCTCGGCTCATCCGAGTATTAGGCGTCGGTAATGAAAACACTGAAGCTGGTCTTGAAGGGGAGGTGCGGATCGAAGAAGGAGTGTGTTTATTGCTTTCGGGGAAACTCGTGCCGAGCCGTGCCAATGGATCGTCGATACGGAAGCTAACTGTGGATGATGGTCGTCGACGCCCGCGTCGAAATTGGGAATACGAAGAGTCGGACGAACCGCCCGAGCTTGAATAAAGCGTATCGTCAATGGTGCCAGCCACGGACAAGGTGATTGAGGGTCGAGGTACGTTGATGGGTTGGGCGGTAGTCAAGGTCGGTGTTGTTGCTATGTTGCAATCCGGGTGTTGTCGTTGACTAGCATCATCGTCGTCCTCTTCAAATTGGCTGGTATTGTTGCTGTTATTGATGATGAGGGTGTTATCGAGAGGATGTTGTTGGAGATGCTGGTTGTGGTTGTAATGCGGTGGTGCTGGTTGGGGTGGCGGTGGCGATGGAGGGGCAGTTGTGGTGGGTGTGATGACTTGTGGAGAGGAGACGATGCTGCTGCCGTCATCGCTGTTGCTGCTACGACGCGCAAAGTGGGATATCCATGAAAACAATCGAGAAGGCGGTCTGTTCTTCTGTGAAAATGTCATCGCATACGGGGATGCGGAAGAAACAGGAAAAAAGAAAGGGGGTGTGGGTGGGTGCTCGTACCTCTTTTTTATTCATTTGAAACTCATCCACTTACTTTTTTTTGTTTGCTCAGCTTATTATATGCCCACCCACAACCACCCCCCCCCATCAAATTGCCACCTCCACACTCACCTACTAAGCCTACCTAGTAATCATCATCATTGGCTTCCGTACACCAGCGACATCACGTTGGACTTGCAGATTGAGCAGCCACCTAGCACAGCTCCAATATAAATAATGCCACTCTTTCACTCTCACTCTGTCCACGACAGATGCTGCCGCACATTTATAATTAGGCAACCCACTGAGTTTGTGCCCACGCTTGCATGCTTGCTTGGTCTCTTTCGGCTTTTTCTGTTTTAGGGTTTTCTTTCTCACCCATCCTCGTCGTCATATAAAAGAAACTCAGACACGAATCGTTTCCGCACAACTCGACACGTTTCCCTATGAAACTGTGTTTCTTCCCACAATACAAAGTATCGATGTACTTCTTCTTGGAAAAGAGGGTGAAAGAAAGTTGAATGCCAACAGAGCTTGGGGATCAGGAGAAGGCTCCAAAGCAGAAGAAAAGAAGAGATTGGGAGCGTTGCTCCACAATATTCACTGCCATCGTCCCCCCTTCTTTCTCCCCACTGATGCCATGTATCACACAAGAATCAGAAACAGGCTAAATGATGTATGTGCGTATAGAAATGCATATTACCGTGGCTGCAGAGAGAGTCCAGCTTGGGCTATTGGACAAACACTACCAACAATAAACCCTTCTGACATGCACTTAGTAGGTGTTGCTGTCCAAAGATGAATGTACAGGCGACGATAAAAGAAAGCAAAAGAAAAATGGAATGTAGCACAAACCACATCCATGTTTGGAAACCGCCAACGTAATTGGTGTAATACGCTCGATAGATCGAAATAGCATCATATTATTTCACTGCTATTGTACGATTACTTGTAAGAGCGATCGAGACAAAGAGCATATGAACAGATGCCTTATTGTTGAAAGCGGATGCTGCTCGTTGTGTAACCTCACAATGCAGCAGAATAAAAATTTTACACCGAAGGAGCCAGGGAATTTCCCCGTGTCTGCCACCATATATTTACACTACAATAATAAAAGCTCAAATTACATGGCAATGTGAGCAGAACCGCATGGAATGTTTTAAGGTTTTTGCATGAGTCACTCTTCTTCCTCTCCTTCCTATACAAGCACATCGTACACCCACCCCCACCCCCATCCCGAAAAAGGGATTTACATAACCTAAATCCGAATTGCTTGATCGGGTTGTGTTACCTGTTTTCGCTCTACTTCAAAAAAGTTTTTTATTGCTTATTAGTTAGTGGCCTTTCTGTTGGTGCGCTTTTCGCGTCAGCAAACGAGCGAAGAAGACCCCGCCCCGCTTCGCCGCTGAGAAATATGAACCCGTTGGCACTAAATGTTCAACAACTTGATCCGTTTCGTTTCATTATTATTATCGCGGCTAAAAGTTTAATAATGTCACTGATCGCTAGGCTATAACATTAGCGAAATAAAGATGGCGTTTCCTTTTTGAGCCAGACCTTTTTTTGAAGAGAGTCTTCACCCAAATGGATTCTGATGAGTATCTTTTGTTGTGGTTGTCTAAAATCTTAAAAGCATTAACTTTAAAATGCCGATTTTTACATGCAGATGCTACTAAATTGGCATCTAACAATAAGCGTGAATATTTAATTAAAAAGTTCGCATACATCTATGCTATACAGTGTCACTGCAACTAATTACTATATAGTACCATCCCAATCCACCTTTTGTTTCCTTATTGTAACATCGCATAATTTTCCTACCAACCCTTTCCCTTATATATATATATAATTCACGTCATCAACAGCCCTCTTTCTATCCCTTCCTGAGCAGCTCTTTTTCTAGATAATGATGGATGGATGACTATCCCACCTTGGCATGAGTGAAAAGTGCTTTATCAATGTAATACTTATTGTTATGAATGTGACTTTTCGTGGTTATGTTGTATTTGTACATGTAAATATGATTTTGCTAACGACGACGAGAGCTAGTCGGCATCCATGAGCCAGGTACGAACGTTTCACCTTGACCTTCCGGTTGTGAACCTTCTAAATTATATAAAATTGCTGGCGGTCAGCAACGCGTCTATATATACCTACACTCCTATTTTTCTTTGTTCAACGTTTCTTCAGCATCAAATGAGCTCGTGATCTTACCAGCTACATCAGGCCCCTCCTTCTGTTGCTGCTGCAATGGTTCTTTTTCTTGCTCTTCTGCCTTTTGTTGTCTTTGTTGTCCTGATGGCATCTGTCGTTCTACCTTTTTAGGTTGTTCTACTACTTCGGAAGCAGCAATTCGTTTCTAATCCCACAGCATGTGTCAGAAACATACATGAAGAATCGTAAAGTTGCAACATTTTATCCCCTCGATTCCGCTCAGACATCTTATTGCACTTACTCGTTCTTCATCCGCTTCAACCTCTAGCTGTCGAACTTTTTGCTGTAATTTGGCCAAGCGGTATTGCTCTCTAATAAGTTCTTCCTTAGCTGGTGGTTCATATCGTGTATGTCGCAGCCATGCTTGCCATTGTACTAAAATGACGTGTATAACGCGTTTTTTACTTTTTAGCCTCATTCTTTACAACCTCGAGTATCACGTATACACATATGCATAAACACGTTTCTTTATAACTATTCTAACCTGGAAGATCATTTTCTTTAAAAATAGCTATGTCACCGTCATTTTCTTTCATTTGAACCCAACGTTTCCATCGACCCGCTATATAATTAGTACTGTTAATGCATAAATCGCAGGGACATGTATATACATGCGTAATGACAAAATAAATATAGTTAAACGTACCGGGATGGTTAGGGTTTGGCATTTCCCAATATTCGTTGCCAGCTAAATCCCAACCAACCATAACATGACGTTTCCAAGGAAAACGACTCGTTTTGTAAATTAACTTCAACCGTTGAAGAGTGGAGAGCTGTTTCGACATTTCAAATATTTGTATATATTTCAGAGCACACCAATGCCGCCCCTTGGGCACCCCAAAGTTAAGAGTGGCTTGTGTCACACACACAGTAAGATAATGCAGCAAACACAGCACCTATCAAGCTGATTTGAGTTCATGATCACCTAATATATGCAAAACGGGGCAGGAATAGTGTTGTAAAGTCAAATAGATCGGAAAGGCGTCACAAACTGCCAAAACAGAAATATACATATAAGATTCATATACAACTAGAAGTCATCTTTAAGGAAAGGGAACGAGTAGATACCGTGTGCACAATCAAACAGAATAATAAGATAATTTGAGTACGGTCAAGCTGTTACAAAGATTATAGTCTTATGGGGATGCTAATAAAATCCATATAATCCATCAATATCAGAGACTTCTTGAACGAGCGGATAGGCTTCTGGGTTCGTTACATACAGTATGTATTCGCAACGGTCGGTTCGACTAAAACGGAGTCAAAAGAATATCAAACGAGAATAACGGGAGAAAGAGTTCTGTGTTTTTATTCGTAAGAAATGGTTTGGTCTTATATGTGCTCAAAATGCATGAGCGGGCATATTATCATACTAGTAAGGTGTGGGGGCATGACTACAATAGTACGTATGAGGCTGGGCGAGCCAATGAAATTAGACCTTAATATCCAATAAAGCTGAGCTTTGACAAATATGTCATATACTTTTTGGGTGCAGACAATGACATATCGAAGATACTCGTTCAGTAAATGAATGACAATGAAGCACAGACAGGCATTAAGTTTGAAAAGTGCTTACAGTTGTACCCCGGTTTTTGCAACCGAGGGTTTTCCGATTTTTTTTTGCAAAAAGTGAGGATTTGCAAGTAACGGGGTAAACAATTCTGCTTTAAGTATACACTGGATAAGTCATCCTATTAACACTAGCCCATTGTTTATCTGTCAGATATGATGTACGATACGTTCTTTGGGAATATTCATACAGCTCTAGATGTTACTACTTGCATATATAAGACCGTTCTTTCATTGAAGCTGTCTAGTGGTTTGATAATTATTAGCTATTTTAAGCATGACAAAATCGTTCCACAAGTTCACATCCAAGCAAGAGGATCGAACGTACGACGAGCACTTGAGCGGGCGGTGGACCAAAGCGCTGATTCGCCTATTCCAGGGCCAACGTCGAAGGAAAAACAGGTTGCAATTGGAGGAGTTTTGAGCTTTTTGGATAATATCGATATCATAACTACGACTTAAAGAAGTCTTTGCGTAGGATTCCAGAGAGTCTCAGGCAGCAATCAATCTCCCGACAATCATCCCTTGATGACTTCTTCGATATGTAGTTAAAAGCTCCTTTGAGCAAACATTTTATTTCTATATCTATATGTAGTGTGTTCCCTTTTTCTTATACAGTATCTTCACCATTTCTTTTGTGGATTCAATCCAATCAGTGCTATATATGTGTCCCGATTCTACTGGCTCAACTACCAAATAATAATTTTTATGTATTTCGACAATAAATACATCTAACCGCATCATTTTATTCCTCATAATCCGCAACAGATGCTTCTTTCAGTTGATATTGCAAAAATTGAAGCTGTTTTTACCCCGATAACATGCAAATCGTATAAACTCATTTGCAAGTTGCAAATTTGCGAAACTACTAAGTTTTTTTGGGATTCTTCAACAAAAGTTGCAGATATACGAGGAATTGCAAAACCAGGGGTTGCAAAAACCGGGGTACAACTGTATTTGTCTTTATCCCACTCCCAGTACTATAATAACAGAAGACTTTTATTCATCCAAATTCATAGATTTTTGTGACAGGACTAATCTAAATCTTTTCACTTGTTGGTCTTGCTTGTTGGGTGTTCCTCTTTTTGTTGATAGCTGTTTCAAAAACAAGAGAAGCGGCTTTAGCTTTTTTCAATGCAAAGTGCGGAGACGGGTGTCTTTTGGAAATATAAATTAGAAAACAAAAATCGGCAGAAAGCCGAAATCCAAGAGGATTATGACTCCATCGCAGAGAACTCGCCCTATGTCTCACGTTCAGAAGATTTTCTTTTCTATATCGCTAATCTGAGTCGAATTCGACTTCGGTAAGTAGCAGGGAGAAGGAAGGAGAAGAAGGGCTAATCAATGCTAGGCGAGTTGGTGACAAGGGCATATAATAACGGCAAGAATATAAAATGCGTCGTTTCTCGTCTGGGTTCAAACACAGAGAAATCAGGAGCTTGTTATTCTCAAGCCGGCAGAGAAATCAAAATCTTGTCAAAGATGAGCTGCTTGGTGTCACTCCTCCTCACCCAGCTGTAAGCGATTCCCTTTTTCCATTTTTCACGCGTGATATCTGATAATACTTAAATCTATTTTCTATGACTGTTTTGAAACAATTGAAATCATCACTAATACACTGTCTACATTTGTGGAAAAATTATTTTGACCAACCTCATTCATGTTACCCAAGCCCAAAAACGACTAAATTGGCTTTCTCCGACATTTCAAATATCAGCTGTTCGTCAACCCACGTTAAGACTTAAGACACACACACCACATACGTTATACAATTTCAACAAATAATGAGCGGCTTACAATTATCGCGACGCATTAGTATACAACGCGGTCAACTATTTCTACGCTTGCATAAAAACAATAGCACCACACAATGTGTGAGATTTGGCACTACGCGACGCAACTGGTTTTTCCGCAAATTCCTAAGTCCTAAAGAAGAAGAAAAGTTATACCTTGGCATTACCTCTGCATTTCGACAAAAGCTCGGCAAACAATCCGACGAAAGCGCTAAATCCTACTCCAACATTATTGAACAAGTTATTTTAACCTCATCGTCACCTTCAAACCAATCCAGCAAAATCAACAGCAACAAAGACAATATCATTAAAACAATTCCCACACTCGACCAGCTACAGCATTTGAAACAATCACTGGACAATGCAACCGATGCTGCAACACTCAATCAGCTCTGGAACGAACTCGATCAGTATCAATTCAGCAGTGTTGCACTTTATAATCGTTTGATACGATCGTACCTACGTCTCGGACTTCTGGAAAAGGCTGAACAAGTGTTTACACAATTAACAACACTGATGCCGACGACACGAACATTTACGTATCTTGTACAAGCGTATGTCAAGGCCGGCAATATAGACAAGGCTAAATTTTATGTGGAGAAAATGCAGTATCTGGATTTACGATTACGAACTGCATTCGACTGTAATGTCATGCTCAAATATTATGTTCAGGCGGATGAGGCACATGCAGTGGATATTTTATGGCGACATATTGTGCAACATGCGGATACAATCAAGCCGGGATGGGGTATCTATACACTGTACATGGAATGGCTATTACATCCACAAAACCATCATCAGTCAGCAACAAGTGATGTGATGGCAAAGGTCGTGCAGGATGCTTTACGATTATTGGAACACAAACCTACGACCCAGCAGGCGTGGATCATTGCCCAAGCAGCCGAAACGCTTCATACAACACACCCAGCCGTAGCAGATCGCGCTATGCTGTTGGTTGCCCGGACTGCACCCAAGTTGGTACACAAGGAAGCAGTGGACCCTATCCTCCACACGTATCTGGCTAATGGACAAACACTCAAGGCAGCGGCGCTGTATTACTTTTTACGCAAAGCACACGTGCCTGACGCATCCATCGCCTATTCCGAAACTTTATCCAGACTGGAATCCGTGCTACGACAACAGGAATCTTATTCTTCTTCCGAACAAGAAAGACTCCACTATGGATATTCACCCGACTTCTCCCCTGCCTATTATCATTAATTATGTGATGAATAAATGTCACGATATATCTTCAATTATAATACATTATAAGTGAAACCTAATGGCCACTATTTCTACTACTACTACTACTACTATCATTATTATTATTAAGCACTATTACAATTTAGCCGCTTTGAGAGAAGCACGAGTGAAGTGCTCATCAATTAAAGCATTATAACGATCGGGTTGTTCTTCAGGGATAGCATGGCCACTTCCTTCAAACAATTCAAACCGAGGATCCAGGACCTTCTTTAGGTGATACGAGTACTGAGGACGAACCAAGTTATCCCACGTGCCTGTTACGACCAGCACGGGCAGCCCATTCTGTTTGATTTTCAGCAAGCGAGCATCTGAAAACGAGTGTCGTAAGCATGCGGCAGTCTGGGCCAAGTTACCATGCAATGGCTGTAGTTTTGACCGCCGTACATGACTGATAAAGTTGGCAGTCGCCATTTCTCGATTGGTACCGTACTCCTCAGCTTTGACCGGGTTCTCTGGTTTCTGTGAAAGCCATGCTTCGGGATACACTAGCTCCATGGCTGCATTCAGCTTGTCGCGTGGGTCGCTATAAAATAAGGTAATCCGGGATAATGCAGAAATGGCTGCCCACTAGAGAACAGACACGTATAAGTTTTAATCGCACTTTGTTGCCAATGACACCTTGAAAGACCTACGGTGGGTATATTTCGCTTTGCGGTAGTGCTGGTCAACGTCAAGGAAGCAAATCGGGCGGGTGCGGCATCCACCAACTCCAAAGAAATCATGCCTCCCATAGAAACGCCATTCACGTGCACGTGCGAGGTCCAATTCAAATGATCAAGTAGGATAAGGGTGTCTTGAGCCATTTGTGAAGTTCTACCATTATCAAATTTTTCACGTAGGCCCGCGCAACCCCATCCGCAATTTTTTGTTTGTTTATCTGTTAGTAAGGCGTTCTTGACACATGTGGGATTACCCCAAACACGATCAAATAAAGCTGACTACTGCAATTTACTGCTTACGAGTACAGACCCATTGGCGAATCTATCGTTTTTGTATCATCATCAGAACTGGCTATCTGCTTCTCTCTTCAGTGAAGAACAAAATAGTATGAAAGCTTACCAGAATGACCCATGCCACGGTTATCGAAAATCACTACTGTATATTTGCCACTACGAGCCAAGTGATCAACCTATCATCATTGTCATTAAAATAAATGGGCAATGACAGTTAGCTAGTCAGTTAGAAGCGACGTGATATATTTTCAATATCACTATATGCTACCTGAAAGTCCCATGCTGCACATGGAGTAGCAAGACCTACAGAAACCATTACAGTACAAAGCAGAAAATTGAGGTCCATATACGGGCTGCATGAAGTAAGAACAAGAGAGAAGCTAGAGATTTACCCATTACGAGGAGAACTTTTTCAGGCCCATTGCCATGCTTTTCATAGTAAATATTTACAGGTTTTGATTCGCGGCCATTCTTTGCCACGTCAACATAGCCTTTTTCAACCAACGTCGAAGATGGTGCCATTATTACAAACGTCTTTGAAATGTCAAAAAGTACTAGAAACAAAGGCAGGAACCAGGAGAACAGAAAAAGTGAGTGCTTGCTTTTATACCAAACCCCGCAACTCAAGTGCGTGGCAGATATTCAGGCACCGCCAGCTTCTGTTTTGGGAAGAGAAACCAGCACTGGATACATAAGCTGCTTTGAAAAAAAAAGTCCCACGGTCCTGTTTTATCCATCTTTCTCTTTCTTGCTTTCCTCTAAACCGTTCAATACAATGACCTCTACCTCAAGCCTGACCGTGGATCCACCATGCCTCTGGAAGCCGTCTCATCCTGAGGATACAGAGATGGCAAAGTTCCGTCGCCATGTCAACACCAAGTTCAACTTGCAGCTGCGTAAGTTCTTTTCTTTGTATAAATACTATCATGTGAGAATCCCCTCTCACTCTTTGCCCCACATCGCGTATTCAATCATGACACATGCTTGTCTGTAATAGAAAACTACCAAGAGTTATGGCAATGGTCCGTAGACAATGCACCTGCTTTCTGGTCAACCGTATGGGATTACACCAATGTAATTGCCTCTGTCAAGTCAACCGACGCTGATATCTTGGATCAATCCTTGCCGATGGATGCCGTCCCGGAATGGTTCAAGGGTGCGCGTTTAAATTTCGCTGAGAACCTGTTGTGGTGCAAGAGCTCTGAAAAAATCGCTATCATTAGCACTGGTAAACTATATTACACCCTTCCCTTTTCCTCTTATGATGGTCTCTTAAATTATGACAATAGCACGCTAAGAAAAAACGCGTATGAACGATTATAGGTGAAGGCCAAAGTCGCCGCTCAATCACTTATGCCGAACTGTACGACCAAGTTTTGCAATGCGCCATGGCCCTGAAAGCACATGGCGTCCAAAAGGATGATCGAGTAGCAGCCTACATTCCCAACTGTCCCGAAGCCATTATTGCCATGCTCGCCACAATAAGCTTGGGCGCGATCTGGAGTTCCACTTCACCGGATTTCGGTGCCACTGGTGTCCTTGATCGATTCAGCCAAATCAGTCCCAAGGTCCTCATTTCGGTCAATGGCGTTGTTTACAATGGCAAAAGGTTGGACCATATCCCCAAGGTCAAACCTGTGGTGCAAGGCTTGCCTTCGCTCGAAAAGGTCGTGATTATTCCATTTGTCGATAACGGCCGCGACGTCAAGGCTACTATCCAACAAGAATTCGGCGATAAGTCCACTACATGGAAAGAATTTTTGGACACCGAGAAACACTTGCCGCAGGAGATTCCCTTTGAACAGTTGCCGTTCAACCATCCAGGATTTATCATGTTCAGTTCGGGCACCACTGGTTTACCTAAATGCATTGTGCATTCGGGCGCAGGCTTGTTGCTGCAGCTGAAGAAGGAACACATTATCCATGGCGACATGCATCCCGACGACGTCTTTTTCTATTATACCACGACCGGCTGGATGATGTGGAATTGGCTGGTAGCTGGATTGAGTGTTGGATGCACGCTCGTGTTGTGGGATGGTAGCCCGTTTAAGCCAGCGCCCATTTCCCTATGGGAGTTGGTGGATGAATTGGGCATTACACATTTTGGTACCTCGGCAAAATACATCCAGTCTTTGCAAGAAGCCAGTGTGCATCCCAGTAAGTGAATTTTTCCATTTGCCCTGTCATGATGGTCAAGAGAAAGGATAATAACGCATATTTGTGATTAACTAGTGGATGAATGCAAACTGGATACACTCAAGGCCATTTACTCGACTGGCTCACCCTTAAAACCCGAGAGTTATGAATTTGTTTACAATCACATTAAGAAGGATGTTGGATTGGGCAGCATCACGGGCGGCACAGACATCTGCTCGTTATTTGCGGGATACAATGCCAGCTTGCCAGTCTACCGTGGGGAAATCCAGTGCATCAATCTGGGAATGAAAATCGAAGCTTGGGCGGATAGCAACACGCCTGTGCAAGCCCAAGCTGGCGATCTGGTCTGCACGGTTCCATTCCCCTGTATGCCTGTCTACATGTATGGTGATGATGACACCACCAGAGCCAAGTACAAGAATGCTTATTTCAGCATGTATGATGGTATCTGGTATCATGGCGATTATGTCTGGTTGAACCCCAAAACTGGCGGTGTAATCATGCTGGGTCGATCCGATGGCACTTTGAACCCAAATGGCGTCCGTTTTGGTAGTGCCGAAATTTACAATGTTGTGGACCGCTTCCCTGAAATCGAGGATGCCTTGTGCGTCGGTCAGAAGATCGTCAATGAAGATGATGAGCGTGTGGTCTTGTTTCTTAAATTAAAAGGAAGCGTAGAATTATCGGATGAGCTTGTCAAAAAGATTAAGACGACAATCCGGGCTCAGCTGAGCCCGCGACATGTGCCTGCGTTCGTGCTTGCTATCCAAGATATCCCGGTAAGTACTTCTGTTAGACTTACTATGTAAAGAGAACACGGTGTATATCTTTCTGTTGAAAAGTGAATGGCTAACCTTGACGACGACGACGATGTAAATAGTATACTATCAATGGCAAAAAGGTCGAAGTAGCGGTCAAGGTAAGACATAGAGATGATCAGTAAAATATTTTCTCACAATATGACAGTGACAATCTAACGTTCGATCCTTACGCGACCTATCAACAATAATAGAAAATCATCTCTGGTCAAAAGGTGACACCCACGGGAACACTGTCCAACCCCGATAGCCTTGCCTTGTACTATAACATTCCTGCCCTTGCACAGTAAACTTACTATTTGTCGTTGCAAAAAATCCGTTGGATCGTACGTCGCTGTATGCAAAATAGAAGGAAATATAAGGAAAGAAAAAAATGCTTAGATTTTATATGGTGATGGTGCAGCAAACCCTTTGGCACAGCACCATCCAAAAAAATTTGTGCCTAATACATGCAGCTAAAATTTGTTTCTTAATCCGTTCAACACAAGAATAATTCACCATAACAGGTGAATCCATCTGCAGGAAAGCTGCGTAAGTTTGCTCAAGAATTAGAATTAAAAATTATCCTACTGAAATACCACTCAAAGTGTGGTTCTTCATTGAATTGCAAAGCATCCTCTGCCTATTTCTATGTATAAGTCGAACGTTCAATTACACACCTTGAGACAGATTGATAATGAAGATCGCCTGGATTCTCTCTGACTGTTCTTGAAAAAATGTCGATTGAAGCTAGTAAAAGTAAATACATAGTAACTAGAATTATAGCACTGTGACATGCAGCAAAAGTTATTCGGCATCTCTATATTCGAAACATGAAATACCCACAGTCGACTTTACCATCATCAAGAAGCGGATGGGACGACAGGTAGATTCCAATATTCACGCATGCTATCAATACACCAATAACATAATCAGCAAACACTTGATTTACGCTTTACAATGATATATTTGGATTAAAATCGGGTGATGTCGAGCTAGCGTGCACGAAGATCTAGCCTTCCGATAACAACAAGACCAAAACTCTCATGGACCGTAGTCTAGAATTCCGATAGTACTTCTCCTTGACATGTTACTATCATTGACGACATACCCTAAAGAGCTTCTGGGCAGCTCGCGTTTCACTAGTTATATGATGAGTTACAGGCAATACTGTGCATTAAGGTTAAGTCTGCAGCTATTATCAGCGATGAATTTAATGATGGTTTTGGATGTTATCAGTCTATAAAATTCCACAACCCATGGTTGATTCGCCTAGAGGCTTGACTTCAGAAATCCCTAGGTGCGGTGAGCATCAGTTGTCGTAGTAAATCATTTACGAAAGGCTGAACATGAAAGAAGGAAGGGATAAATGTTGTGATATTACCTGGGAAAAAAAAAGGAATCCCTGTCATTTGTCACCTCTGGAGGGCCTTTATGAAAAGCGAAACCAGTTGGTTACCGAACTCTCTTCAACCCCATGATCCTGTCGATGATAGAGAGCATAGACAGCCTATTCCTTCTCCAACATGTATGCTAGGACGCGTACATGAGCAGATGCAGCACTAGGTAAATTTTGCGAGGTTGCTCCTTTTCGGTAGGCTAGCTCCACTGTACCTGCAACGCACCTTCTCACTCGCAATGGCCAGAAAGAATGCGAATAGATAATTAATTGATAACTGCGAAGGGTAAGTGCTAAAACAGATGGTTTTCTTGCAGAAGGTGGAAGGTTATCATAACATGATGCTCGACTCGTGATTTCAGAAGAACCTGCGCTGTAAAGCGTCTTGAAGGAATCACCGACGACGAAGCCTTTATGGTTACTAAAGGGATCCCTTCAGAATATCCACTTATTTCCTAAAGTATCAACAAGCTCTTCATGTCCCTATATGATCAGTTTAGCCTGTGGTCTTTGTTAGGCTTAATTATCTCTTTATTGTTCACGTGATGGCTGTTTTTTTACAACGTAAAATGTAAACATAAACAAAAGCAGAAATCTTTTTTATTGAGCTAGGAGAGGAATGATGCTGTTGGATAATGATGCGTAATGGTGATATACAAGCTGGCGTTTATGGCATTTTACTAAGCAAACAAATATGGATTGCGCAGGGAAGCATTATTTGTGCTGCTCTTGCTGTTCTTCATAATACTGCTGTGGCGGCTGCTGGTGTTGTTGATAATGGCAATGGTGACTGATTTGTGATATGTGTACCGAAGACGAATGATTGGGTAAAAACACAGTGCTACTGTTGGACTGCTGCTCGTCTTTGATGACGGTGTTATTGTTGTTGACAGAACGTGGCAAGGAGAAAGCCGATCCTTCTGGGGCACTGTGCAACGAAGAAGCCATACGTCCGGTCAGGTGGAGCGTCTGGTCGGTGGACAGATGGTGACCAAATCGCTTCATCACGCTATTCATATAGTACGGCGGACATTCTTTCTGCACTGGCGGTATCATCGGTGCGTGGGTGTGCTGAGAGAAAGTGTTTTAATGGAGGAAGAAGAGAAAGGAGAGAAGGTAGAAAAAGCGAAGAGGAGGAGAGGGGAAGAAAAAGAGAGTGCATCTGTTTGCGCGTCTATGTTAGTTAATATGTGTGCTCTTGAAACTGTTTCTGAATGCACGTACTAGACCCAGCCTGGGATTTGGATAAGGTCAGTGGCAAGAAGGGAAGGGTACATTATCATGCAATCAGTCAGCCAATCGTAAGAACAACAAAGTGCCTCGTCCTTCTGTTGCTGACGTGTGGCTACCGTCACTACCACCACCGGCCAGCCACCCACCAACAAACAGCACGCACCCAACAATATACGGTCCACCTAGAACCGAACCCTAAAAACAGACGCCATGCAGCCCCCCAGGAAAATCCCAAATGCGGTGTTTCGAATTTGGTCAAACGGTCAGGCCCACCGACCCCAGTCAAATTTTCATGTGGCAACGCGACGGAGGGTACCGGACAACACCCCGCAAAAGGACGAACGCGGCCTTGGACGTCCCCGCCCCCACACGCCTCTTACAAAGCGGAATATCCCCACACAGCGCCTTTCTATTGGGCTACTACTTCTTGCTGCACGGATATGTATAAATTATGCTCCTCTGTCTCTCCGAACATTGCTAAATTTTCTCCTTTACTCCACTTGACCGTGGCATGCGACTTGAGCCTACACGACAGAGGCGCGTACGGTTGTTTCCAGCTGCTCTACACCGTGACGCATACTTGTATGAAAAGTACATGCCAGGTTTGGACTTGGAAAACTAGGACCATGGAATAGAAAAGAACGAGGTGGAAGAGTCCGAAAACACATTACGGGGAAAAGCAAGGAGAGGGCGAGAGACACCACGTTGATCCCGGCACACCCGAAAATAAGTCGGAATGAGCGTACACGACTTGTGAGAAAAAGTTCGCTATATATAAAAACCACGTATCCCTCTGGCCCGTCCCTACTTCTTCTCTTCTTCTTCTTTTCTTTTCGCTCCCTCAAGCAACCTTTCTTTCTCTTCCATCAACCATGGGTATCCTCGAAATCGTTCCTGCTGGCGTCGTCACTGGTGACAACTTGCGCAAGCTTTTTGCTTATGGTAATGTCCTTTTTCTTCTTGCTACTGCTCTCTCTTTCTCTCTTTGTCACTCTATCCACTTGACATATTTTAACAACTCTCTAACTCGGGCCCATTTTCTGCTTGAATAGCCCGCGAGCACAAGTTCGCTATCCCTGCTATCAACTGCACTTCCACCAGGTTAGTCACTCTATTGCTACGTGTAGTCTTTCGCTGAGAATAGAGGTTTGGTGTTGTTCCGATCACAAATCCCGCGACTCTCTTAACACGCGCCGCTTATTACTAGCACCATCAACGCTGCTTTGGAGGCTGCTCGTGACATCAACTCGCCCATCATCATCCAGTTCTCGCAAGGTGGCGCTGCCTTCGTTGCCGGTAAGGGTTTGACCAACAAGAACCAGGAGGCCTCCATCATTGGTGCCATTGCTGGTGCTCAGGTAAAGTGGCATATAAACTTGGATATGGCGTGTTTTTTTTTATAAACCATCTGACTAAGTCGTTTTGTTTTGACATATGATCAGTACGTCCGCGCTGTCGCCAAGGCCTATGGCATCCCCGTCATCATCCACTCTGATCACTGTGCCAAGAAGCTCATTCCCTGGTTCGATGGTGAGTATCTCAAATCACATATCAAAGCTTCCTACAAACAAGAAAAAAACTAATGTATATGTAATTCAAGGCATGTTGGCTGCTGATGAGGAATACTTCAAAGCTCACGGCGAACCCTTGTTCTCGTCGCACATGTTGGACCTTTCAGAAGAAACCAAGGAAGAAAACATCGAGATCTGCTTGAAGTACTTGAAGCGCATGGCACCCATGGGCTGCTTGCTCGAGATGGAGATTGGCATTACCGGTGGTGAGGAAGATGGTGTCAACAATGAAGGCGTTGACAATGCTTCCCTTTACACTCAACCCGAGGATATCTGGGACATTTTCAAGGCCTTCTCCGAAATCACCGACTTGTTCTCGATTGCTGCTGGTTTCGGTAACGTTCATGGCGTCTATGCTCCCGGTAACGTCCGTCTGCACCCTGAATTGTTGGGCAAGCACCAGGCTTATGTCCGCGAACAGTTGGGTGATGCCAACGAGGAAGAGAAGCCCGTCTTTTTTGTCTTCCACGGTGGTTCCGGTTCTTCGGAGGAGGAAATTGCCACTGCTGTCCAGAACGGCGTTGTCAAGATGAACGTTGATACCGACACCCAGTGGGCTTACTGGACTGGTCTGCGTGATTTCTATGAGAACAAGAAGGACTATCTCCAAACCCAGGTCGGTAACCCCGAGGGTCCTCAGAAGCCTAACAAGAAGGTCTATGATCCCAGGTAACGTATTATGTCCTCTTCTTTTTTCTTCTTTCCAAGGTAAGCAGACATGAGCTCTAACATCTTCTGCCTTGCTTTCCACAGAGTCTGGATCCGTGAATCGGAGAAGACCATGATCCAACGCGTCAAGCAAGCCTGCAAGGACTTGGGCAATGTTGATACTCTGTAAATAATATGAATATACCTTCAACATCTCTTTCTTTTTTCTTCCGTACCATCGTATAATAATAAAAGAAGTCGCTCGAAATTGGATCAATCAATATCCAATTGTATAAAACGGACACTGAATTTAAACCAAATTTGTGCTGTACTTCACGGGAAAGGAGTAAAAGTGAGTTATAGTGACATGAGTGTGTTGTTGGGCACCGTAGGAGCTGGTGTGTGCACGGTGATATCCATGTGAAAAAAAATAACAGTTTCCCGTTGATGCAAGACACGCGCTTATGTGTGAAAAAGAATTACACCTGCCGTCAGCCTAATCGATATTATGTTTATGCATATTCTATCATCATAATATATTACATACATGTAGCCGACAGTTCGGATGAAAAATTTTAGTAAACAAACAGCATTCTCCCTTTATAAATCTCTTTTAAAACTCAAGTTATTCAATGGCGGTAGGACATAGCAAAGATACTGGTACATAGAGATCAAATTTGCATAATATTTGATTTTGCTATGTACCATACCGCTAATTCTTGCATCAGCATCAATAGTCAAATGGTGATAGCAGTGTGCTGTAGTGCCAGTATTCATTACACATATAACTGATTAGATATCATAGAAAACCTATGAATGGTTGAGAGGCTCTATTTAGCTGATGGATGCCTCTTTTCAACGTTGCTTGCTCATGGACTCCTATTTGTTTTCGCCACACACTATGACGCAATCGCGATAGCGCTTGAAGATGATATATTAGCTGTATATTGTCTATAAATAATAACCAAAAATTGTTTGACCCTGACAGGTCAGAGGTTCAGCTTTCTCCATGGTCTTGGAATTAGAATCCGAGTGGTTTTATTTCATTTTTAGCAACAAGCGATGGTATATAGAAGCATCAAATCAATAACTGTTGTTTAACACGAAAATAAGAATGATCACGGAATTCAACGGATTCATCGAAGAAGCTTATGAGGCTCATCCACATACAATGCATAGAGCATGTATGTATCAACGATACTCGTAACAGTTTGGTACACGGTTGGTTTATACAGCTGGAAATTATATGCTTACATATCAGAGAAAGATATCATTTTTGTTGGCTGTACATAAATCTTACATGTTGCAAAAAAGGACCCGTACCACTACACAGTTTGCCATACTAAATGCTTGAGTAGAGCGAGCGACTCGAGTCCTTGCATGATGCACCCTTATCCGACGAATCTCAGGAAGATTGAAGAGCCGACGAAGAAAGTACTGTAAACAAAGGCCCCTTTCTTTTACCGATACCTGATTATAAAAATGTACGTTTTCTTTTCTTCTTTCTTTTACCAATATAGCACAACTTAATGCTGACTACAACCAGGCAACGTCCCAACTTTCCTACGACGAGGATGTTAGCGACATTGCTGATCGCTTTCTTCGTCTCGATAAGCCATAGAAGCTGCAATACCGTTGGCGCTGGCGATGATGGTACTGTCCCCCGAAGCATATACGACGAACTAGGTGCTCCAACGTTTCGAACACCCAAGAATATTTTATTGCAACTTTGGTGGCTCCTCTCACGCTTCATGGGTTATACGAATTCTCGATGAACTGGTATTACGTGGTCATAATGTTACTTATGCCGGAACTGTAAGTACCTTTAATATGATGTCTACCAGCACTAAACCGAATAAAAAAAACCTTCTTGTCATGAAGATATACATATATACATTACGCGTTAATGTAGCAAGGACCGACCATTTGCTTTGGGAATGGAATAACCGATCTGTATATTTTAAGGAACCCTATCTCAGATACGTCGAGCCATACCTCCACAAATTCAATGTCATATCCCTCGGTAAATCGATCGATGACAAAGCAAAGTCCAAGCATATGACATTTCTACGAACATGGGATAGACTCAAGTTCGAGCTTAATTCACACACGGACATCTACGAGCCGAGTGAGTGAATTTTCAAGTTATTTGGCAGAATAACATCTGCAGTTAGATGGCTGACATGCGTGTGTTATTATGGTTTTGGACAGCATTTAATAGTATGCAGAGCATCATCTCTACACACGCAATTGACGTTGTGCTCGCCGATTCAATTTGTGTTCCAAGCATTGATGCTGCACATGCCGCCAAGACTTCGTTTATTATCACGATGATGACCAATTGGGCAGCAGGTAAAGCGTTGCACGATTCTACAGATCAGCAAATTTAAAACTTCCTCATCATTACATTCTATTCTATACAGTATTCATGATTTATACCCATGGTTCTGTAAGCGATAATGCGTATATTTTATAGACGCTTTTGCTCCATATAACAACAAAGACCTTAGATTACCGGGCGACGGGACCACCGAAGATATGTCCTTGGGTTATCGATTCTATGTCAAACTCATTTTGTCTTTTTGCCTACAAATCTGCAGCAATAGGAGGAATTCGTCGACCACCTCCACTACCAACATATGACAAACATACCGGCGATTCGCTCAAAATTGTAAACGGTTTTTTCGGTATGGTGCACACACCTTATAATCCACAATTTTGAAATTTGTTTCAATTTCGAGTTTTCAGATTCCGCTTCTATATATGGTAGTTTTTAATCATCAATGCCTACTTTCCGATGGGAGCTTGCAATTTTGGTTATGAATATCCTCACTTCTTCATCTTCTGCCCAGGCATCCTCTCCCTTTACTTATATGCTTCTATATAATAAAACCATCTTTTGTAATATCTACGAATCTTTGTGGGGTTATTGGGGAAAAAGCTTAGTCTAAAGCAATAGGAAGGTGTTTCTGAAGGCCAGCAGAGGAGTTGTCGCACATTCCTCATATGCAGCTGCAATTGCTCCATTATAGTGACGAAGTTACCGATTTCTGTTCAATTGTGCTTTTTAGCAGCTTTCTTTTGATCTTTAGGACGAGGTATAATGGAGAAATTGTGTGGAATACGCATGAGAAGGCAAAGCAAACATGAACCTAAGTTAGTAGCTAGTCGTAAGTGGCTTTGCACCGCTTAAATAGTTTACCCATAAGGCTAAACTTGATTTCCGCTTGCTTAAGTATAATCCTATATGTTTCAATTTGCTATCCCTCAGCCAAAAGTGACCAACTTCAGAAGCCTATAACTTTTTTTAAAGAAGCAAGAACTCAAATCTAATCCACAAATATTGTTTTTAAAGGTCTAAAAAACATAAGTAGCCGCTTCTTTTTTTATTTTAAGGTGACTTTAAAAAGTAGTAGGGATTCAAAGATTACCTACAAATTTGTGGATTATAAGGTGCTTGCACCATATCGAAGAAGCACGGCCAATGGGCCCTCTGGTCGAAATGATTGGCCCCATTTTGAACGGTCTCTATGATCCGCTACCTTCTTCTATCCAACAGTTTCTCGACTGTCATGAGCGCGTTCTATATGTGGCGTTTGGACAACATGCGACCGCAAAACCACAAGAAGCAACACGTCTATTAGTCGAACTTTTGCAATTTTTGGAGAATGGTCTAATCGATGGATTTCTATGGGCTACTGGAAGATCAATTGCGGGCTTACCGGATACAGTCATGACGGCATCAGGGCATGTGTATCGAGTTCAAGATCTTAGGAGTTTAGCAAAGGCAACAACGAGTGGCAATGACATGTACAGCGCCAACAACCACACTGTTGCAAACCACCACGACGGCCAATTACTTGATTGGGCTCCACAATTGGCTATCCTCCAACACACCGCCATTATTACGTTTCTGTCACACGGTGGCGGGATGTCATTAATTGAAGCGTTTTATACCGGCAAGCGTACGGTAATCAAACCATTTTTTGGGATCAACCTGCACACGTATTCCTTTTTGAGCGCGAACAATTGGGAGGCTGCCTTGATATGAACGCTGAAAATGCTTTTGATGTTTTGCGGCGCGTAATTCAAGACAAAGACGGTATTATCCAAAGCAATGTGAACAGGTATAAGGCCATAGTACAAATCCAGGCACAACATGCTGTTGCCAGAGGAGCGGATTTGGTAGAAGAAGTTTTGTTTACCGCCAGCAAGGATGACGGCGTCCTGCCACACCGCCTTGATGTTGCTCGAAAATTATCCTATTTCAAGGCAAACGATTTGGATATATATGTTTGTCTCGTTGCTCTTCTGATTGGAGTTGGCTGGATCATTTATGCTGTTATGTATCATAGATTGATGAAACATTATTTCTCTGCATTGAAAATATTACCATCTCAACAACTACGCCAAAATAAAATAAAGCAACTGTAGTATAGGTAATTAATTAGAAATAGTTGAGGAATATAGAAGTTGACCTTTTTTTTTTGTGTGTGTAAAAAAAAGATACATGTTAATCAAAAGGCTCGTAGTGGTATGTAGTCGGGCCAACATGTGATGAAAATAAAAGTATGTAATGATGTTTGCATGAGGGCGATTTCACCATCGATCTATAACTATATCATATTTGCCTGTATTCGCGAAATAAGCTCTTGGTCGATAATGTTTCTATTAACTATTACTAGATATCAGATTAGAGTGATTGACGAGGACAACGAGCACTGCTTATCTTCAGAGTTAACACAGCGCTCACACTAGTGTAGCTGTCATCAAGTGTGATAGCACTACAGTCTTCAACATCAGCCGTAGCCAGAGACTACAGTAAGGATTCGGAGAAAGAAGTATAATTTGTTTTATCGACTGAAATTAGAAGAGTTATAATCTTCTGAAGTACGAATGGTATACATATACTTTATTTGAAGAAGTAAGAAAGTATAGATATAGATCGATGAAAATATGTAACGGAAGCTAGAACTTATCGTCAATCTTGCATTAGTTGGGTAATATGTCTTTGTAAAGGTAAGCACAGGTCAAATGTGTTGTTGCGTCATGTTGAGGAGGAAGAAACGCGCAATCAACTTGTCACCAGCTTACGCTTTGTAATTCCAAGCTTCTTATGCTTATTATTGTTCCTGTTCTTAAGTTTCCTCTTCTTCAACTTCTTTACCGGCCATTGCGCTCCTTCATCTGTGGGATTGGCGGTTGTTGCTTTGTCGTTCGTCTTCTTGAGGTCTGTCAATTGGCCGTTGGCATCGTCCCAGGAGCCCTCAATTTCTTCTTCGATATCGCTGCCTTTGCTGGTTTTGGCCGAGTGGGAACCTCCTTCCATGCCACTACCATCGCCTTTGACGGTGGATGAGGGTTCACCCTCTTCTTCATCCGTGTCACTGCCTCTGTCACTGGGTATTTGCCTGATTGTGTCGTCGGCTGCTCTGTTTCCGTTGGGCTTTTGAACTATCTCCTTCGCCGCTTCCTCATCTGTTGATAATGTTTTGATTGGCTTGTTTGATGCTTCCTCGCCACCATTATCATTGTCGTCGTCATGAGACTCATGCAGCAAGTTTTCATCACCGCTGTCCTCGCTGTCATTGTATCGCCATTTTTCAGGGTCTTCTTCTTCTTGGTCCAGTTCATCTTGGTCCAGTTCATCTTGATCCAGTTCATCCTTATATAGCTCATCCTTATTCAGTTTTTCTTGTCTTTCTTCGTCGAATTCTTCTTGATTTAGTTCGTCTTGGTCTTCTTCATTGTCGAAAGTATTTACAGACTCGTGGTCTTCATCCTCGCTAGGATTCTTTTTGGAAGGTGATCGGTTGATGGCACGTTCGTTCTTATTTGGCCATTGGACTGCTTCCGTTCCGCTTTCTTCTTGACTATTTTCTTCACTTTCCATTTGCTCCTCCTCCTGATTAGATTCTGCCTTTTGTTTCTGCGACTTGTACGCCTCTAATTCAGCAAAGTAACGCATTCTGTCCCTCCTAAACAGCTTAGCATAGGGCTAAAAACAATATACGCATTGATATGTTAACTTACAACTGTCTTACAAGAAAGATGAAAACACCCAACATGTTGCACATGCCGCCACGCACCCATCAACAATGTCGAAAAAACCAAAAGTACATACTGCCTTTTCTTTGTCATCCATTTTTTGCCAAGCTCTTCCAGCTTCGGCTATGACCTGTCTCTGGTTGATCGATTTGTTTTTCTTGCGCATATCCTTACCGAGCTCTTCGACAAAAAACGTGAAAGCGTTACGTGGTATGCGGGGTGCATTTGGGTCTTTGAGCTTTCGTATCGCGGTTCGTTCCGCTGGTGTATCGACAGATATGTTGGTCTGAGGACTGAACCTATGCGTTAACGTCCGTATGTTTTCTGCCAAGCTGTTGAGCGTCTCGAGAATGGCTAGATTAAGCTCCTAAATAATTCCAGATGACAGATATATAAAATCATTAGTGGGAATTGTGACAAGTCAACACGATCAATGAACGAGGTTGCAACGTACTTTATTAGTACGCATGACGAATATAACGACCGGGAAAAGAGCAAGAACAAGTAGCGCGTTTTACACAACCAAGACCCTTAATCGGGGTCTCTTTAGAAGGCACCACGGCAGCGGGAGTTGGTATGAAACAGCCCCTTGATTTTCACACACATTTGTTTACCATCGCAACAACAGTAAACAATGTCCACAGGTCGTTAAAAACCCCTTCGTGCAAGTGTGAGGCTATCTGGAATTATGCATCTACTTCAAATCACGTCAAAGAGCGAAGAACAGAGAGGTCCTATTTAGAGAATGGCATGGAGTCGACACTCGCCGAGTGGCATACCCGGTGTGACGGATCCAGCAAGCGCAAGGTCAAGCTGTGAAAAGACTTGAAGCTTACTACAAATATTTCGAGACAGAGAAGATGTTAGATTTTATGACGAGCAATGCGTTAGTTAAGGACTTTACCCCAGCAATTTCTGTATTCGCTCGGAGGTGCTATACCATCCAAGATTAAGAGTTTTTTAAAGACACTGTCTCGTGTGTTTGACAAGACTCCGCGAGTTGCTGAGGAGGAATCATGACTTTTTGACAACATCAGTCTGCAAAACGACCCTCCAGTGGGATTTGTCAAAAGGAAGGCCGCCGCTGCAATATATTGCAATAAAGGCTATGCTTAATGTTCACTCCTGGTCAAAACAGGAGGATAATGTCTTGATTGGTTTTTGCATATACGCTTGCGGAAAAATACATTGCATTAGCTTTCTGCTCATGCTACAAGACTGGTGGCGCCGGCCCTGGCTAGCTACAGCAATGAAGCAACCAGGCAGACAAGGTACATACGTTTGAGAAACTCGATGTCGAAGAAGTTGGAGATGCTAAAGGGGGTGGTTTAGGCAGGGTTTGGATGGACAAATGACATTATCCATTGGGTTTTTTGACACGTTTACTGGTCTGATTGCTCCTGATTGCATGGATACAATTGACTTGATATTTCCCGTTTAATGCTAGAATATTTCAAGTGATTCTTGCAGATTATAAGTGTGTGCGATTTATTAGACATATCAGAACATAAAAAATGACATCGGCTTCAATTCGAAACCATAAGCAATGATAGAATCTGCTTCTTTCTATTCACAAATATCAGCTTAAATGTAGAATTATTTAAAACGATAGACATCAAAATCGCTCCTACCTCCAGCATGGGCACCAAAGATCGTCCAAGGGGGCACATGTTTTTTCCGAGTACCAGAAGCTCGATATCTGCATCCACATTGCCGATGATCCGAGCCAATTTCACGCATACATCGTCGCTGATATCCATCACGCGTAGAATCCAACTTCATTTCGAGCCGCTATTACAATTGTGTCTATTAGAATTGATTTGAGCAGGTTTTGACAGTTACCGTTAGTATAAAAGTGCAGATGCAAACTCGTAACTTGCATTAAATGTCGCTCGATATGGCGCGTTGTTTTCTTGCTTGTATTGATGCCGATTGATTGGAAAGATCCTTTCTTTTGCCAGGCATAAGCTATCGATTTGTGGATGGAAAAGAAAGACCGGTCAAAGGTTTCAAAGGGACTAGACAGTATCCACCATAAAGCACGGAAACATTATACTCGAATGATCCAGTTCATGTAAACAACATCTGTAGAGCAATAAACGGCTATAACCCGAATGGGCTGACGTGATATGACGTCGTTTGTGAGCTCTTGATGATTATTTACGGCTGATGATGCACTTAGAATGGGTGTCTTGTCACTACTAGTTACATTGGTAAATAGAAATGCATGAAAGGAAAAGTATCTGGAACGTAGGGGGACGGGGGATGATAGCAGTTAGTGATATCTCATCAGCAGGATGACTGGGCGTGTATTAGATTGGGATAGCGCAAAGGCCAAGCCAATGATCAAAGGGTCTCTGTACAGGATTCGGGTCAATGTTGTTTATATTGAACAATAAATTGTTTGTTTGGGTTTTGTTTGGAGTAAACATGTGCTGAACGCCGCAGCCAGCGTCTTCATGGGATCAGTGAGACATTGTAGAAAGTCTCGGCCATTGTCGTATCAACTGTGGTGGCGTGTGTAGCGAAAATAAAAACCGCTCTCTTACACGAGTATATGCCTACGGCAATCAGCGATTACCGATCCTCCAAGCCCGCAATGATGGATGTGGGCAGCTTAAAATAGATTGTCAAGAGCAGAATATGGAGCAGCATGGCTGTTTTCAGCATAGTATGCGCGTCATCCTAGAGCTACTATTATCCAAACAGGCTGCTTCTTCAGGTTGATACTGTTGTTTGGTTTGCTCATTTTATCATCCACCTCCCTTAGCAGTAGCGATTCAAAGTCAATCAGACGTGGTCGGCGTATGTGTGGGTGATGTATGATGTATGTGGGAAAAAAACAAAAATGAGGATGGTCGGCTCGTACGAGAGTCAAGCATGCATAATCTTAGCCTTGCTTTTGAGCACATGAAAGTTGTGCCGACCTTGTTCTCGGTTAATCAAGGGGTTGAAAGGGGCGTGGCAAGCGAAACATATGATACCATTAAACCGGTTCTCTCGGCCTAGAACAGCTTGCCTTAAGCGCCGTTGTTGCTGGGGTGCATGCCCTCCCAACAAATTTCTTTCCTTTCCATCATTTTCGCGAACTGAACTACGCGAACACAGAAAGTAAAAGAAAAAATGAAAATGAAAAAGATGAAAAACGGTACCAAAGTGTGATAAAGCGCGTTGTGATCGTGTTACTGTCGTCTGTCATTGTTCTGCGCTTTGTTGAGCACGGAGCTTATCTTTGCCAGTTTTAGGTTTTTTGTACGCGGACCCTGGAACCCGCAGGGGTCCAGGCCAGCGTTCTTTTTGGAAATGAACTTTTGCCCATAAAAAGACACCCATTTTCCGCAGCGTGTTGCTTCCTCAATATACGCGCCCCTCTTCCCTCTTGTCCACGTTTATTAACAACTCCTTCCCCATCCCCATCTCCACGCTACTCCACAACCTGAACTGTTTCCTCTTCAACACAATTGAACAATGGGTATTCCGGATTTCATACAAACTGTCAAATCTGTGCATGAGCCAATGCACATTAAAGAATACGCCGGCAAGGTAGTGGCTGTCGATGGCAACGTGTGGCTACACAAGGGTGCGTTCTCCTGCTCAATGGAACTTGCGTTAGAAGAAGCAACGACAAAGTAAGTATCCGTTGTGTTTTTCTTTTGAGCCACACACAGCTTCCAACAACCGTCACCGCCATTCCCTTCCTCTTCCTCCTTCTGCTCCTACGCCACTCAATAGATAGGGTTACTGATTGCATGTGTGTTCACGCCACTAGATACATCGACTACTTTATGTGGCTAGTGAGTCTGCTGGAGTTCTACAAGGTGGTCCCATACATTGTGTTTGACGGCCAAGCACTGCCGATCAAAGGCGCGACGGTTGAGGAGAGACGCCGGTAACATCAAAAGAACCAGAAGAAACGGGGTTTGCAGTAGAGCGCGCATATATTTAACCTACTTTGGTCATACTTTATTACTTTTTTACATACTCTTGCTTTCTCTCTCTTTCTTTCGTATCGATATCAACCCACAGACGTCGAACAGAAGCACTGGCCAAGGGCAAAGAACTACTGAAGCAAGGCAAGCAGCGAGAAGCAACGGAATGTTTCCAGCACTCCATCCATGTAACACCACACATGATTCAGCAAGTTGTCAAGGTAATACTACAGCTTTGTATATATAATTTCAACAAGCCCACAACCCCCCCTCTTCTCTCTCCACCCCTTAAACCTCCCAGAAGAAAAAAAAAAGAGTGAATCCCAACCGTTCCTTTATCCCATCTACCTCTAACTTAGGCGTTGAATGCCAAAAAGATCAAGCACATCGTTGCGCCCTACGAAGCCGATGCTCAGCTCACGCACCTCATCAACACCAACAAAGTCGACGCAGTGATCACCGAAAACTCAGACCTGCTTGTCTTTGGCTGTCACACGGTGCTCTTCAAGATGAACCAGTACGGCGAGGGCATCCGCATCCAGCAAGGAAACCTGTCGGCAGCAAAGGAGATTGACCTCCAAGGGTGGGACCAGACCAGAATCCGACACATGTGCATTCTTTCAGGATGCGATTACCTCGCCTCGCTGCCTGGCATTGGTCTGAAGAGCGCCCACAAGCTACTGAAAAAGTATAGAACCACCGATGCGGTAAGACTGGCAATCTAGTTTAAAAATAAGGCACATGTACGGCCATGTACTCACTCGCCTTGCTTAGGTGTTGCGCCATCTTCGCTTCCAGGGGAAAATGAAACAGGTTCCTGACTATGAGCATCTCTTTAAGCGAGCCGACAACGCGTTCCTCTACCAGTACGTGTACGACGACAATGTAAAGCGACGCATCACACTACATACCCCTCCCGCCGATGTCCAACCGGACAAGCTGGATTATCTGGGCAACAACACCACTGCATCATCTGGCGCCAACCCACAGCAAACTCTTGACCACAGTCTCAGTAACAAAGAGAATATACCGGTACGTTTCCCTAACCCCCCCCCCTTATTTAAAGTTTAATTTTCACATCAAATTGACTTGCTCTTTTCCCTTTCAAATTACCGATCAGCCATGGGCACATTTCGACAACAAACAGTCATTCACCGCGTCCCAGCACAAGCCAGAAGCATCACAACCCACCAGTAGCGGCGGCTTACGTGCATCCAACGACAACAACAAAAGCACCATCTCAATGCCCTTAAAAACGATCGGCACGAAACGTAAGACTGATTGTCAGATACCCGAAGCAAGGACCAACAAACGACGAACTCTAAACCCACAGCAAACTCTTGACCACAGTCTCAGTAACAAAGAGAATATACCGGTACGTTTCCCTAACCCCCCGCCTTTATTTAAAGTTTAATTTTCACATCAAATTGACTTGCTCTTTTCCCTTTCAAATTACCGATCAGCCATGGGCACATTTCGACAACAAACAGTCATCCACCGCGTCCCAGCACAAGCCAGAGGCATCACAACCCACCAGTAGCGGCGGCTTACGTGCATCCAACGACAACAACAAAAGCACCATCTCAATGCCCTTAAAAACGATCGGCACGAAACGTAAGACTGATTGTCAGATACCCGATGCAAGAACCAACAAACGACGAACTCTAAACCCACAGCAAACTCATGACTACAGTCTCAGTAACAAAGAGAATATACCGGTACGTTTCCCTAACCCCCCCCCTTATTTAAAGTTTAATTTTCACATCAAATTGACTTGCTCTTTTCCCTTTCAAATTACCGATCAGCCATGGGCACATTTCGACAACAAACAGTCATCCACCGCGTCCCAGCACAAGCCAGAGGCATCACAACCCACCAGTAGCGGCGGCTTACGTGCATCCAACGACAACAACAAAAGCACCATCTCAATGCCCTTAAAAACGATCGGCACGAAACGTAAGACTGATTGTCAGATACCCGATGCAAGAACCAACAAACGACGAACTCTAAACCCACAGCAAACTCATGACTACAGTCTCAGTAACAAAGAGAATATACCGGTACGTTTCCCTAACCCCCCCCCCTTATTTAAAGTTTAATTTTCACATCAAATTGACTTGCTCTTTTCCCTTTCAAATTGCCGATCAGCCATGGGCACATTTCGACAACAAACAGTCATCCACCGCGTCCCAGCACAAGCCAGAAGCATCACAACCCACCAGTAGCGGCGGCTTACGTGCATCCAACGACAATGCTTTACGACCCTTGCGGACACCAAAACGACTCTCTCCACTTTCACCTTCAAAACCACCGATACCACCACCACCACCACAACAACAACAACAACAACGAACCATCACAGCCAAGGAGCTATTTGATCATCGCCAAAAGCAGTCGTCATCTGCAACTAAAATCCAGACACATGATGATCTTGCATCTGCGTTCCAACGCCAACGGGATCGAAACGCACTGTCATCCGTTAACAACAACAATGACTTGCTCTTTTCCCTTTCAAATTACCGATCAGCCATGGGCACATTTCGACAACAAACAGTCATCCACCGCGTCTCAGCACAAGCTAGAGGCATCACAACCCACCAGTAGCGGCGGCTTACGTGCATCCAACGACAATGCTTTACGACCCTTGCGGACACCAAAACGACTCTCTCCACTTTCACCTTCAAAACCACCGACACCACCACCACCACAACAACAACAACAACAACAACGAACCATCACAGCCAAGGAGCTATTTGATCATCGCCAAAATTAGTCGTCATCTACAACTAAAATCCAGACACATGATGATCTTGCATCTGCGTTCCAACGCCAACGGGATCGAAACGCACTGTCATCCGTTAACAACAACAATGACTTGCTCTTTTCCCTTTCAAATTACCGATCAGCCATGGGCACATTTCGACAACAAACAGTCATCCACCGCGTCTCAGCACAAGCTAGAGGCATCACAACCCACCAGTAGCGGCGGCTTACGTGCATCCGACAGACAGACCTAACAGATGTTTCTCTTGTCTAGGATTGCCGTGCAGGCTTGGAATTTGCGGATGAGGGAGAAGGCGACACGTTTTACAAGAAATTGATTCACCGAGACGAGATACAACTGAAAGGTAAAAATAAAATAATTTCCTAATTCTGCTTGTCATTTGTTTGCTTCTTCCCTTTCGGGGGTCCTACGGTACGACGGCGAGAGCTAACACAACCAGAGCCAGCTTTGCAGAAGGAGCAGCGGCAACAGCCCAAGCAGCATCATGCATGGCGAAACAGACTGCGAAGGAAGCAGATCGACAAGGAGTTGATCGGCTCGCCAGCGGACTTTCAGTAAGTGGCATTATATTCTAGTAAATGACACGCTTCATTAACTTAACAATAATTCCAGACACAAAGGCCATATTGGATATACAGCTGAGCACGGCTTCAGCGTCCAAGGAGACAGTCGTGACATTATCGGTCAACTCAAGTCACTCGGCATTACTGCAGAAGAAATCGAACAGAACAAGGGGTTTATCCAAGAATACATGGCGACGCACGACAACCATCAGCAGCAACAGCGACAGCCCCCAGCAGCAGTTAAAGCACATGTAAATGTAAATGTATGCACGTATCACCGCTCCCCCCCCCACCACCTTACAACGGACATACACGTACCACAGCATACTGTAATCTATATACAATTTCAACAGCAGCTTATTTATCAAACGAAAAGATGTACTGTACAGTCAATTCAGAAAGTAAAAAGTCGCTGATTTTGAGTTTGATGTCGTACCGAAAAATTGCATGCATTATCAGAAGGCTGCTGCTACACCCTCATTGCACATGACATTCTGCTTCCGCAGATGCTTTTTCCTGTCAGTGTGATCTTATTCATAGAGTGTGATGATCATTCTATTATTTGTCTCGACGAGCTGATATGTGCTAAATAGCATACATATGATACTAAATTTAACTCAAATACTAACTACTTTTGGTTTTCTTTCAATCTTTGGTGTAGAAGAACGATAAAAGAGCTGTCTTTTTGTCACGTTGCTTTTTGTATTCTAGACATAAAGTCAGTCGATTTGGTATATACAAGTGTTATATACACAAAATAAGAACCAATTCTGGACGATGAGGATGACGACAAACTTAAACTTTGTTGGTTGGCTCGACCAAACCCACGTTCCAGAAAGTTTAAAGCTATTTTTTATGTCCGCTATATCCAGTTTTGGGTATTCTGTGTAACCGTGGCACAGAATGGGTAGGACCCTTGGGAACTTTAAAAATCCCGTTAGGCCCATTCATCATCATCATCGTCATCACTAAAACCGTCGTCATCACTTCCCATGGCTTGTTTACGCTGGTGTATTGCAGCTGCTAAACTGGATGCCAGATCAGGTTTGCTGCTTGCTGCTGTTGCTGGTCCTGATGCAGTAGAAGCTGGCGTAGTAGGAGCATGCTGCTCTGGAGCATTGCGTAACTGACCGCCTTGTTTCAACTGGCCAAACCCGCCTGCTGCTCGGATGGATGCCATTAAATCAGCGCGTCCGCCTGTGCCTGTCTCTGGCGGCAACTGCATGCTCTCATCTGGCGGTGGCGGTGCAGAAGGAGGAGGAGGAGGTGGTGGTGGAGGAGGTCCTGGTGCGCCAGTATTGGCTGGAGCAGATGTTGACATTGCGGGTGCAGCAGCTGGAGGTGGTACTGCAAGAGTAGGTGTTTGTTGATTGTTACGAGCTGGTAATGGTGGAGGCGGTGTCCGCTCTTGCTGTGCCACTGAATGTGTAGCTGCGCGTGGTCGTCTTGGTGGAGGAGGTGGTGGTGGTGGTGGAGGGCCTCTCCGACGAGCTAGATAGAAAGCTGTGTTAATGAATGAACTGGAGAGCATAACAAGTCGTCTCATCTACCTTGCTGCAGCTGCGGCTGTGGTGGCTTCGGAGATGGTGGCTGTTCTCGATGTAGGTTGGACTGAAGAGTTGGCGGCAATGGCGACGAGGGTGCACGATGGTTCGAATGACTCTGGTGGCTGGGGGAGACCAAGAAGAGGAGTATTCATAAAAATAAAGAGCGATGACAGATATACAAGGAAGACAAAAAAAGAGGTTCTATAAGTGTTCTATAAGTGTCATATAAGTGCGAAGGATGTTGTTGTGTGGGGATGCGTGGACATTGTAATTATTGACGTTGCGTAGCAGAGCGTCTGGTGTGATTGTACTGTCTCATGATGTCTTCATGGAAAAGAGCTAATTCCCTTACACGCTGTGCATATTGTTCACTCACTTCTGGTGGTATTGTAGAGAGCTGCAATATGCTGTTTCGGTCATGATGCATTGATGTTAAGGTTTGGGCAATATATTGCAGATTGTCGCGAAGGTCGTCAACAATATCTACTGTTTCTTCGACAGCTACGTTCTCAACAGCTTCAGCAATTTGCAACTCACCTTGCTGGTTAGGAATCGTATGTGGAATCAGCTCAAGTGCTCTAGTCTGCACTGTTTCAAAACCAAGCATCATATCTGTGAATCGCTTCAACAAATACAAGTGCTTGCAAGGAGCTTGTCTATGCATAAAATATTCACAGGTACGAAATAAAATAAGCTTATCAGCATTGACAGCTATCTTGTATACCTCGGTTGATTGAGACTGAAATGAGTTTACTTTCCAAGTGCCCATCATTGGAGTACTGATATGTCCCCCCTCAGGATTGCGGATCATTGTCGCAATAGCATCAACAGTTACTAGAGATGCAGTATATCGGCGCAGTGATAGTTGATTTTCGACAGGACCCATACGACCGTTGTTGCACAAGACTCGTTCGCGTTCGCATTTAAAGTAAAACTCGACTTCGTGCGTAAGAACAAAAAATAAGCGGTCAAGTCGTTTGTTGCGGATGTGTTTGAGATAGACAGTTTTGAGCTGGTTATGCCATGATTCGATAAAGTTGTTGGTCGTCATAAATCTGTTGTAGGGATGGACGTATGTCGTTGACCAATGCTGGATAATGTTCTCGTGCAAATAATGCCGTTCCAAATCCTGGAATTCCTCTTGCTCATAATACTTCTCCTGAAATTCCTGGATGGCATGGTACAGATCATCGATATCCTGTTCGTGCAGCATTGCTTTCAATGCAGTCATCATTTCGCTACGATACTCCTTTAGGTCATCGGCTGTCTTCGATGCATCCAAGCGAACTTTATATTTCAGGTTGCGGTTCCATGCTTGGATGACATGAAACGCGCAGTAATGGATGGCTGCCGAGGGGACTTGGGATTGGATGGCATTAACTTCGGGAATGCTGCAATCAATGATCATCATATCAATCACCATGCCACACGTATTGCGAAGAAACTGTAACCATTGAGTGATTGGACCGCCAGAGTGATCGTTGGTGAACATATATGCAATGGGATAGCCAGTCCTTTGTGAGGATTGCGTGTTACAATGGTATACATAATATCAGCAAGGCGACTTGTGATGCTATGGGTAGCATACATGCAAACGGACGTTGAGTTTTGGAGCTGGGCAAGCTGCATTTGGGATAGGAACCCGAAAGAGTAAGTGTCGATGGAGGTGGTGTATTCGGATGTATTGCCATTGTATATAATATAGTTCTCATTGGCAAGGCGTTGATCCAGCCAGACTTTTGCTGACAGCATATCATTTGGGTTGAACTGGTAAAGGTCGTTTTCAACTATATTGGAATGTTTTAGTAATGTAAGATTACTAATTGATGTGTTTAAAAAGTACATCAATCTGTTGACATACCTTCAACATCATGTTATATACATCCTCATAATTCACACGTCGTTGTCCAGTACTGTACACCACTTGGGATCCTTGCTGTGTTGACGAGCTTGCACCAGCATTGTTTCGTGCCTCGTCCACAGTGTCAAGTTGTCGCAAGATGGACATACGGAAATCCCTGCAATTTCTTCCGTCCTGCAGCTGCCGGGTGATGCTGTCGACTGTCAAGGACGTCAACGGAAGAGTGCGCACGTCATCGCGATCTCCAGGAACGTGATTGACGTGAGGACTTGTCATTTCAATCTCACAAGTGGTTGGGGGATCGCGCCAAATGGTGACCTTCAACTTGCTAGTACAGCCGCACTTCTTACTGTCCTTCTGGGCGAGTCGTATATTACGCTTTGGGGTATAGCTGCTGAAACGATGACAATAGAAAGTCTCCTATAAAGGACTCTGGTGCCATTCACAGTCTTGCGTTTGTGGACCCATTTGTAGCCACACAATTCCGAGATGCGATCCTTGAAGATTTGCCATTGAGCAGCAGGAACGCGCACGATTTTGTTGGGAACAAGTGCAAGTACGCCAGGTACAGTCGAGTGTGAAAGAGCGTAACGAATGTTGTCAAGGGTAGTAATGTGTTGGTTGTTCATAGTTGTTGGTTTTTAATGAAAAAATGAAGTTGCTGTTGTAGTAGCAAAGAAACTTCTTCCTCCTTCGAAACAACAAACGCCTTTTCTTCTTTGTCCGTGCCATATTATCATCACCGCTCAGAGCTATATCTATAGTTTTAATAGAAGCACTTGTAGTAACATGCAATCCCTTCTCACACCCGTTTATGCAGACAACTGAAACATAATGGCGACATAAGGTATGATCTTTTACTTTATTTTTTTATCCCAACCATAACATCTACAGTGACAATAATAAAACCCCACATTCCATCCATCATCATATATAACTACCTTATCCAGCAGGACCAGCGACGTTTGTATTAGCATATGCAAAGGAAAAAGGTAATCGTCGTTGTCACCGTGTGTGTGCAAGTACAGCGAATTGCAGAGGAGGATTATAGTTGTGGTGGTGTGTATGCATCATAGGAATATAATTATCATCGCATTGATGTGTATACATACAGCAAAGAAAGAGATGACCGTCATTACAATACGATGATGATGTGCGTGTGCATACAAGTATAAAAACAAAAGACCGGCGTCATGGTCGTCATCATGTAATATGGGCGTATATGGTAGTGAGAGGTAATTGCGTCAGGCTGTATGTTTTGCAAGCCAATGGCGGATCAGCGTCATGTTGTATATGATTGTGTTTGATTATTGGAGAAGAAGAATGTTGCGTCGTAGTTGTTGTGAGTACGAGTTGAATGTGCAAGTAGAAGACGATGTTGTATTACGCAGTAAGTTTGACGTTGGAATGGCGCAAGATGGTACATTAAGTATAGACAGAAAAAAAAGAGAAAAAAGCAGTAATTCTGAATGAGCATGTATCCACCAAAGCTATATCCCAAGCACAACCGACAACCTTTTCCTTCCCTTGATCACCTACGCAACTTTGAAAGGCTATCGTTTTTTTTACAGTAACGGCGGTCTACACCTTTACAAATCTTGAGCACATGCTTTTTTTTAAAAAAAACAATTACCATGATTCCGTTTTTTGTTAAATCTGTGGATTGTGCCGCTTTGTTTTCTTTTTCTCTTCTATTTATCATGGAGACAGTAAAAAGTCATATACAAGTGTGTTCGCAGCTGTTGAATTGCCATGGTGGTTGTTAATGAGAAGAAAAAAAAAGATCTTTGGTTGTTGCTGCTGCTATTGAACCCCACTCTTTCCTCCCGCCTCAGCCACCACCCTCCAATTTTTTTCACACTCAACCGGGGTGAAATAAGGGGATGCCGGCCTCCGAGCACACTGTCTCCGACGCCACCTTACTATGCCTTCGTGGCCTTCATCTCAATCTCCTCTATCATACAACCGCTCAGATTCTTTCAGGTATTCTAGCTGGAGTGTGGCGAGCCCATTGGCTTTATATTTTCTTCTATCCCATTCCACCCTCAATCTGTCATCGGCTCTACCCACAAGTTACGCATCACCTTCCGTCAGGAAGAAGCTCTTTTTCCTCATCAACCCCCATAATTTCCCTTTTATGTCTATGCCCTACTTATTTCACACATGAAAAAACTCTCCAGATATCTCCAGATTTTGAGACACACTAGTATGCACCATAAATCACGGAAACATTATACTCGGATGATCCAGTTTATGTAAAACAACATCTGTACAGCAATGAACGCCTATGACCCGAATAGGCTGGCGTGATATGATGTCGTTTGTGATCTTTTAACGATTATTTACGGCTGATGATGCACTTGGAATGGTTGTCTTGTTACTAGTTATATTGGTGAATTATAATCCAAAAAAGGAAAAGTATCAGGAAAGAAGGGGATGGGGGATGGGGGAGATAGCGGATAGTGTTATGCAAGTTGGTTAATATCTTATCAGCAGGATGACTGGGCGTGTATTAGATTGGAATAGCGCAAAGGTCAGGCCAATGATCAAAGGGTCTCTGTACAGGGTTCGGGTCAATGTTGTTTATATTGAACAATAAATTGTTTGTTTGGGTTTTGTTTGGAGTAAACATGTGCTGAACGCCGCAGCCAGCGTCTTCATGGGATCAGTGAGACATTGTAGAAAGTCTCGGCCATTGTTGTATCAACTGTCGTGGCGTGTGTAACGAAAATAAAAAACGCTCTCTTATACGAGTATATGCGCACGGCAATTAACGATTGCTGATCCTCCAAGCCCGCAATGATGGATGTGGGCAGCTTAAAATAGATTGTCAAGAGCAGAATATGGAGCAGCATGGCTGTTTTCAGCATAGTATGCGCGTCATCCTAGAGCTACTATTATCCATACAGGCTGCTTCTTCAGGTTGTTTGGTTTGCTCGTTTTAACATCCTTCTCTATGAGGCTTGCTTTATAACCACGCTGCATAAGAAAGCTGCTTATTGCCATGGCATTCAGTAGTCATGACAATCCATGTTCCTGAAAGCCGCTTGTTGCCAGGACAAGCATGTCAAAACACATTTTATTTTATTCGCGTCACCCATTTTGACCAATTCCGAGCGAAATGGCGGCTGCTCTTGCGAAGCGATTCGCAGCGCTTTTTTCACACAACCGCAACCAGCGCAATGGGCAGACTCGTAGCAACACGCACATACTCAACCCTTGTTTTTTCGAGGCTCTGAGGCCAAGTTACGATGTTTTTTGCGCAGGGTTTCCATTGTACTTTGCTGTCATGCTCGGCTTCTTCATGCGCAGACCTTCCGTGCTGGCCGTGAATAAAGTTGGGGGTGGGGGGTTGGATGGGGGGATGGAACCAAAGTTGGGGGACGTCACTCGTCCAGGCGAAAACAACTACACTGTATACGCTTATGGAGGTGTGGTTTTAGACTGCTTGTCGTCTTTAGTCTCGCATTGAGCTCGCTCGGTGGTCAGCTTAACGAACGATAATCGTAAGCTGGCAAGCGTGGTGGATGCAGAGAAAGGGATTCTTTTCAAGAAAAACAGCGTCGATCGTATATCCTATCTGTCTGCTATTTCCCAGGGTGCGCGTGAAGTATGATACATGCGAAAAAAGCAAACCAGATTGGCTCGGAACGTATCCTCCGAACTAACTTTTTTTCCTATCCATTTTTCTCGCGAACTGAACTACGTGATGTGCATTGGAATAATAATAAAACTTTTTTCCTTTCCATTATTTTCGCGAACTGAACTACGCGAACACAGAAAGTAAAAAAAAAAAGATAAAAAACAGTGCCAAAGTGTGATAATGCGCGTTGTGATCGTGTTACTGTCGTCTGTCATTGTTGTGCGCTTTGTTGAGCACGGAGCTTATCTTTGCCTATTTTAGTTTTTTGTACGCAAAAAAAAAGATACAAAGAAGGAAAAAAAAGCAAGCGTCCCTTCAGAATCTCATTGAGCCCAGACCAGAGTTCTTTTTGGAAATGAACTTTTGCCCATAAAAAGACACCCATTTTCCGCAGCGTGTTGCTTCCTCACTTTTTCTTTCTCTTTTCATTTTTCACTTTTTCACGATCACGTATGGTAAGTCCCTTTCTTTTTTTTGTGAGTGTCTGGGGAGGGAGTGGGGGCTAACGCGGGTTTTGTAGGTCGTGGGTGGGTGGGTGGGTGGGTGGTGGTGCTTGGTTTGTAGGCACGGGCGACGGAGGCGTAAGGTAAGTGGGTGAAGGTAAGTGGGTGTGTGGGTGGGTGGGTGGTGGTGCTTGTTTTGTAGGCACGGGCGACGGAGGCGTAAGGTAAGTGGTTAAAGGTAAGTGGGTGTGTGGGTGGGTGGGTGGTGCTTGTTCTGTAGGCACGGGCGACGATGGTGTAAGGTAGGTGGTTGAAGGTAAGTGAGTGAGTGTGTGGGTGGGTGGGTGGTGCTTGTTTTGTAGGCATGGGCGACGATGGCGTAAGGTAAGTGGGTGAAGGTAAGTGGGTGTGTGGGTGTGTGGGTGGTGGTGCTTGTTTTGTAGGCATGGGCGACGGAGGCGTAAGGTAAGTGGGTGAAGGTAAGTGGGTGTGTGGGTGGGTAGTGGTGGTGCTTGTTCTGTAGGCACGGGCGACGGAGGCGTAAGGTAGGTGGTTGAAGGTAAGTGAGTGTGTGGGTGGGTGGGTGGTGGTGCTTGTTTTGTAGGCATGGGCGACGGAGGCGTAAGGTAAGTGGGTGAAGGTAAGTGGGTGAGTGTGTGGGTGGGTGGTGGTGCTTGATTTGTAGGCATGGGCGACGGAGGCGTAAGGTAAGTGGGTGAAGGTAAGTGGGTGAGTGTGTGGGTGGGTGGTGGTGCTTGATTTGTAGGCATGGGCGACGGAGGCGTAAGGTAGGTGGTCGAAGGAAAGTGTGTGGGTGTGTGGGTGGTGGTGCTTGTTCTGTAGGCACGGGCGACGATGGTGTAAGGTAAGTGGGTGAAGGTAAGTGGGTGTGTGGGTGTGTGGGTGGTGGTGCTTGTTTTGTAGGCATGGGCGACGGAGGCGTAAGGTAAGTGGGTGAAGGTAAGTGGGTGAGTGTGTGGGTGGGTGGTGGTGCTTGATTTGTAGGCATGGGCGACGGAGGCGTAAGGTAAGTGGGTGAAGGTAAGTGGGTGAGTGTGTGGGTGGGTGGTGGTGCTTGATTTGTAGGCATGGGCGACGGAGGCGTAAGGTAAGTGGGTGAAGGTAAGTGGGTGAGTGTGTGGGTGGGTGGTGGTGCTTGATTTGTAGGCATGGGCGACGGAGGCGTAAGGTAGGTGGTCGAAGGAAAGTGTGTGGGTGTGTGGGTGGTGGTGCTTGTTCTGTAGGCACGGGCGACGATGGTGTAAGGTAGGTGGTTGAAGGTAAGTGAGTGAGTGTGTGGGTGGGTGGGTGGTGCTTGTTTTGTAGGCATGGGCGACGATGGCGTAAGGTAAGTGGGTGAAGGTAAGTGGGTGTGTGGGTGTGTGGGTGGTGGTGCTTGTTTTGTAGGCATGGGCGACGGAGGCGTAAGGTAAGTGGGTGAAGGTAAGTGGGTGAGTGTGTGGGTGGGTGGTGGTGCTTGATTTGTAGGCATGGGCGACGGAGGCGTAAGGTAAGTGGGTGAAGGTAAGTGGGTGAGTGTGTGGGTGGGTGGTGGTGCTTGATTTGTAGGCATGGGCGACGGAGGCGTAAGGTAGGTGGTCGAAGGAAAGTGTGTGGGTGGGTGGGTGGTGGTGCTTGTTTTGTAGGCGTCGCGATTGGTGAGAGCGGACTGGGCATCTCAATACCAATCGACCTTTGATGATCCACAAAAAAGCGACCAAGACAAGACCCTAGCTTTGTGGGGAGAGGGTTACGGGAGCAGATGTCGATGGACCTTCTCGTGGTTGCTCCTGTCAGTACCTGCTTAAGAGCAGGGAAGCTAAGACATCGACACCCTATTATTGATTAGTAGTATCATGTATCAAATAAAAAATGTTTTTTTTTCTCTTCCCGTTCGCTAAACTTGCTTGTGCGTGATTTATATTGTTGTAATACTTCTTCAAGCCGCCCCTTCCCTCAATTTTTTTTCAAAGCCAGCAGTGGCCTCCACATTAACAAGGGCGGCCCACAACAACAGCTGAGGGACTTTGTGCTTTTTTTTAAACAGCATTGGCATTCAATTATTAATGGCGGCAGGCAAATGGAAAAAGGACAGTAACATAAAAAGTAAGCTTTTATTATGTGGTGTGTTAAAAAGAACAGCAGCGTTGAAAAGGAGGGAAAAAAGAGTGAGTTTCTTATAACCGCGATTTCTTTTGGCTTTTAAATCTTTATTAGATTAATGAAGATGGCAGTAAAGAAAAAGTCATTGGCAAACTCGGAAATAGTATACACGTTGAAGACAGGCTTTTATTGAAAAATTTATTGAAGGTAACGGTAAGAGCTTGCTTATTTTTAAAGGGAGGGAAAGATGGCGGATCTTTTTGACTTTGAATGGTTTTGTAATTTGACACACAGCATTTTAAAGAGGGATCGTTACAATCGTCGACGAATCTATATGCTCGCCTTCACTACACGTTAACGAAAAGAAGAAGAAATGTACAACACACGTTGACGGAAACCAGAAACATAACAAACGAACAAGTAACGCTGCTTTTTCAATACTCGCCGCAATCTACCATAACATACAGTATATATACTGTATTTCTCTCTCACATTTATTGTTTCGCAAGTATAACAAAAATGGTTGCTAAAGAGACTCATTCAAAAATTGAAGAAACAAGAAAAAGTCATAAATTTATTGATGACAACCAGCTTGATATTTGGAAGGTGACATGGTATCATAAATAAACGCGACATCAGATATTTCCCATAGCAGTTAGCTACTAACTTATATAACAAGGTGCTGGTTGATTATTTAACAGATAGAGAAAAGAAACTTGTGCCGACAAGCTTGATTTATACATAATTTAGAGTACGTTGATGGAGATATAAGAAGTAGTATGATGTGTAGCAGTGGTATCGTCATTAGGAACAGCTTTAGAAGACAGCATGTCTGGAAAGAAAGTTGATAAGGGTTCACTTTTCAAGCGTAGTATGTTTCCCTTTTATTCATTCCTAGAAGATTCACCTTGTTTATATTTTTTACGGTTCCTGACAATCCTATGGGTCAAGTTGCGCAAGTGAAACTCGGGAAAAATGTGTCCATCGGACCTATCAAAGTGGGTCCAAGATTTCCAAAAAAATACATCGAATTGGGTTTTAGCCACTTGATTCATCCAGCACAGTGGGCGGCAATGATATTTTGCCGCGATCATCGGGAATCCGGGGGTTGCTGTTGCTTTATATATAAAAGAATGTCCATCTCCAAGAGGGCTTTGAATTCTTCTTTGTTTGTGATTTTTTTTTTGTTTTCACCTTTTTTGTTGTGCACGGAAATGAAGCTGTTTAAATCAGTCCATGACTACCAGTATGAATGGAGTCTTGTCTCAGCTGCCAACTGGCAAAAATACCCCAATGAGCATTGCACCCATGTACAGGCTGTGGATGTCCTTGACAGACGAGTGGATCCGAAAACCGGCATTTTGACAACCGAGCGTTTAATTACCGTCAATCAAAACGTGCCTGCCCTAATTATGAAGGTAACTATCTTTTCCCAATTGTTTGGTAACTAGGCAAAACAAAAAACAATTGACTTTTAGACCGCTCAACGGTATAACCTTTACGACAAAAACGACGAATATTCGAAACGAACGGATTTCCTAACCAGTGTATTATATGTATATAGCTATTGGGCTGTGATAACGGCGCTCAATATGTACGAGAAATTTCGATTATCGATCCAAAAAAGAAAACAATGACGATGCGAAGCCAAAACCTGACCATGTCTAATCTTTTATCAGTGGAGGAAGAGATTGTGTACTGTGAACATCCAGAAGACCATACCAAGTAGGTTTTTCTTTTCACTAAATGCATAAATGCTGCTGGGATACCGTCAGATTTGATCAAGAAAGGGATAGACTGACGTAAGTAATATAAAAACATAGAACGCAATTTACGCAGCAGGCAGCCATTTCGGCTGGAAGTCTCATGTCGCGCTGGGCGAGCGTGTTGGAAGACTTTTCAGTCAAGCGATTCCAACAGAATGCCGCTGTGGGCCGCGAAGGCTTCAGCAAAGTAAGTTCTACTAGTTAGCAGTTATCGGTTGTATGATGATGTATGGCAGAGCAAGATGATTTGACTGTAGTCGGATTAGGTTCTCGAGCGCTTCGTGGTGATGGCAGAAGCATCACAGGAGGAACAGCAAAAGAGTGTTGTTGTCAATAGCAATGGCAGCAGCAATAACTAAGATCTTCACGTGCTTAAGGATACCCATCATCTCCTCTCCTCTTAAATTCCGTCGACTGCATATTCTTTCTTTCTAGACCCTTTCTTTACATAGACAAAAAAAGAGACAGATCAATCTTCCCTATTATCAGATATTCTTTGTACAGCCTTCTCTTGTAAAGAGCTCCCGCACCCCCCTCACACCCACCCCTCATCCTCATTCTGTAATGTAAAAGTACATCAAAAGCATCATTTCTTGCAAATTAAAAAATAAAGAACAAACCAACTGGAATTCGCACGGCTCGACCACATTCATCTCTCTTTTGTGTCTGTGTCTGAAAAAGTCCGTTACGAAATTGGTCAGCGCAAAATCATTCCTTTTTCCCTCTTCTTTCTCCTCTTTCCCCACACAGATCCCTCCTTTCCTTCATAATAAAATAATTCTCAATGGATTTCTTCAAACAATACGACGACTTTTTATTGAAAAACGCCTCTCAAATTACTGGAATCGAAGCCTCTCTTCGTTCTTTAACGTATATCTTGCCAGGTGAGTTGCCCAAAACAAAAAAAAAAGAGCTTGCCACTTTTGCGAACGTTTATGCTTGAAATTAATATATTTTGTGCGCTAGGTCGTTTCCACGACGCCGAGTTTGCTTCGCAAGCATGCAAGTATCTTTAATAATCCAATCCTCATAAGGACTCCTTTTTTTCTTCAACAATGGAATACAAGGGGAGTGTGGAGGGAGGTGCGGAAAGCTTGAGGCTAACCTACTCTTGCTTGCATATTTTATACAGTGTATGCAGCCTTAAACCTACTCGGTTTATATCACAATGCCATCTTGCGGCAAGCCGCACACAGCCATGCCGACGAAACTAAATCCGAGCATGAAGAATCAGCATTCAACAAATACATAAACTTTTGGTCGACAAACTCGCCCATGCACAAACGGTGCTCTGCGTTATTGTCAATTATTTCGTATACCCAAGTGCTAATGGAAATGGGCGTTTTGAAAAAATGGGGCAAGCAAGCCCAATGGCGCTGGATTGCCGCTTTGGAAGCGGTCAAGGTGGCGCTTCGGCTGTCACTCTTCAAACTGACATCCAACCGTATGAATCTGTATCCGCATCACTTGCAACGTGATGTCGATCCTGCTTCATTGGAACGGAATCGTCGGATGGCTAGCGTGCCGGAACGATACACCGGTGAACGGTCCGGTGTGGAAATGCCATTGATGCGATCCACGATTGAATTCGATGCAAAGCAGTCAGCAGCAGCAGCAGCAAGACGTAGCAATAACAACAATTCGAACGTGTCTGTGCGCAAGTTTGGCGACGTGACGGATTACTTGATGTCCAAGGTCTTGACGCCCGAAAAGCTGCGCCGGCCAGATCAAATGGTGCATATCATGAACGCCATCGGCAAGTCAGGCGAGGTGCTGTATATCTTGCGGCCTTTGCTCTATGTGCTTGCGGTGTTGAAGTATGGCCGGATGTCGTGGAAACCCTGGTTGCTGTCGTTGGCAGTTGAATTGCTGTCGCAGGCCATGGTGCGCCAGGCGTTTGAGCAGCCGCATGGAGGACGATCAAAAATGATGCCCCTCGAAAAGCAGGAATATGCACGACGGTTGCAGCTGTTATGGCTCAACTTGTTGCGTGGCGCGTTTTACATGCGCATCACCAGGTAATTTTATTATCCGCGTCAGGCCCAGCTGAAATGGGAGACAAGAGAGACACGAGTGGATGACAGATGCGTTGGGAGGGTGGTTTCACACTTTGCCTAAACTGATCGGGGTGCCACTTTATTAGACCACGTTTAGAGCGTTTCTGTAACTCCGTGGAAAATAAGCCGGTCTTGTCTATCGCTGCAGGTAAAGGATAGCAGTCTAAAACGATAGTGGGCAAGCAGTAATTAGCAGGCTAATCTAATAACTACCATGGCTACTAGGTATCCTTCGCGACTATCTTCCTTTGTGGCAAAACATTTATTTCTACACCTCTGCTTCATAAAGAAATAAACATCGTTTTCTTTTTTTTGCTCGCACATTACTTAAAACCGTTCATTTCTTATTCCGAACGTCTGTGAACCTGGATCGAATTTAACTCCTTTCCTTTATAACCACTCCCTGAAGGATAGCCCCACCCCCTTCCTTCTACCGCCCCACAGTACGCTCTTTTTCTCCTTCCACCCCTCATATACCTCTTTTACCTAAAATATATATCTCCAAAGGAAAAGGCCATATTTGACCGACGCAGCTTGACCAAAAAGAAAAGAATTCGACACTCTTAAACAATGCTCTTCAGTGCACGGATGCAGGTCATTACGATCGTTCTGGCGAGCTGTGGCTTAATCTATTGGCTGTTTTCTTCATCCACTTCCAGCTTATCATCGTCATGGACCTGCGTCGATGACGGCACTATCACGAGCCATTTCCACAGCAGCCATCCCAACAAATTCCGATATTTTGACATGGACAAACTGAATGCATCCGGAACACCATTACCTTTACCTGGTCAACAGCAGCAGCAGCAACAACAACAACAACAATTACAAGAAGACCAACACCAACAGGAACCAAACCAGCATGTCCTGATTCTAACCCCTTTCAAAGACTCAGCTCGACTCATTGAAAGATACTTTCAAAACGTCAACGGCTTAACGTACCCACACCACTTGATTTCACTGGGCTTTCTTGTCAGCGACTCGTCCGATGGCACGATTGAAAAGTTACACGACATGGCAAAATGGTATTCCAACAACCAAGAACCATGGCAACAGTTCCATCGGATTTCGATATATCAAAAGGACTTTGATTTTTCTTTGCCCAATACAGAGGAACGCCATGCATTTGGTGTCCAAGTGGAACGACGCAAGATCATGGCCAAAAGTCGAAACACCCTCTTATCATCCGCACTTACTGAAGAAATCGCTTGGGTATTATGGCTGGATGGCGACGTCGTCGAATACCCTGCGACTTTGCTGGAGGAACTGATTGGCATGAACAAGGATGTGCTGGCGCCTAATTGTTGGTGGCATTCCTATAACGAGGAAGGTGGATATGACCGGAACAACTGGCAAGAAACACCGGAAAGTCGAGAGTTTCAAAAGACACTGCAGCCGGACGATGTCTTGGTAGAAGGTAGGCCTCCCTATTCCCTCCCTTACGTCTACATCCCTCCCCCCCCCTCCGCCTTGTCTCTCTCTAGAATGCATACAAAAGACTCACCAAAATGTTACAGGTTATTCTGAGCTGGAAACGCATCGTAAACTTATGATTGACATGCGGTATCCCGACGGTATTACCGATGTATTCCATGCTATCCCGCTCGACGCTGTAGGCGGTACCTGCACCTTGGTCAGAGCGCAGGTCCATCGAGAGGGAGCCATCTTCCCAACGTTCCCCTATCAACATGAAGTCGAGACCGAAGGATTTGCAAAGATGGCCAAGGCGCTAGGTTATGAAATCTGGGGAATGCCCAACTATCTTGTATATCACATCATTTAAGAATGAGTGTACTTTTGTTGTATGATGTCTTATCTCTCTTTCTTTAGCAGGTTTTGTGCCTGACGATCGACCCCTTCTCTATCACTAATCCAACCCTCCCATCCTCGTCATTATTGCTCTCTACCTTGCTAATCTCCTGCTTTTCTTTATTATATGTTCCTTTGCATCAACCTTTGTTCGTTATTCCGTTGTTCTCTTTTTTTTTTCTTCTTACCTTTACATCTAAACTTCTTATATATTTCTAATGGCCTCTTTCAACATCCAAAAGACTTAAACCAAGAAGAGCGCAGATATCCCGGCACTATCATACAGAGCAGGGACGATTACATTTGTAGAAAAAGAACAAAGGGCCTTAATAATTGTAATTGTAGATACTACGCTTTACTTAACATATTAGACTCTAAAATATACACCACATTTGTCAAAACCAAGAACAGTAAAGATCCAGCTATACTTGTATTAGAGACGCGTGCCATTGGACAAAAGATGGCTAGGCAAGAAAAAAAAAAGAGAGAGCGCGCGCTCGCGTCTTTGTCTGAGTATAGCGTTGCGGGCAAAGGGAACTTAAAAAAAAAGAAGGTGAATTTACATGTGTGCTACTATACTGCTGCTGTTACAACTGCCACTTTAAGAGATAATAATTATCATGAAAGACTCACGCTCAACGCCCCCACGGCAGCAGAAACAACCACAACCACAACAGCAACAGCCTTCCCAGAAACGAGCATTACCCCCGCGACACAGTTTTCTCACTGAGGCAGTTCAAACCGCTCTCGAGAGGCAATCGAGTAAGGAAAACGAATCTGTGGAAGGGAGTGGAATAAAACAGATCTTACAGAAGGCGATCTTTATAATAACCTTTCTGAATGCGTCTTTTCTCTTTTTTTCTTTTTTTCATTTTTGTGCAAATCTATACCAGCTAAATATGAACCACACATTGATGCCAACACCATATTATGCATTAGCAGTAATGACAATGATGACTCGTTCGATCAAATTGAGCAAGTACAAGACAACTCCAATATCGACCAACAAGTGCCTGAACTCTATCAAGAGCCAACTGTGAAACCTGTTTTCACTGTTTCTGACAAACCTCCGCGACGACCACGGAAACGATCGCAACCCAATGTCCCTATTAATGAAGTCGAGGTACGCTTTATATTTTTATTTTGGATAAACTCTTATAGCCAGAGACTCAATCTATGGGAACGTTGTGGGTTAGTTAATACCGGAGGAATATTATTTAAAACGACACCGAAAACATGAAAAAGAAGAGAAAAAGCAAAAGAACCGAGAAAAAGAGCGACTGCAGCATGAAATGTACCAGCAGCAACAGTTTGTCGAGCGCGTACGGCATACCGACAAATCTATCATTATGGCCATTGCCTCAGCCGTCAAGCAACAGCAAGAAGCAGAGAACACAGCAGCGTCAGCAGACGATAACTCGGCAGAAGCAGATGCTACCACTAGTAGTAGTAGTAGTACTACTACTATTACTACTACAGAACCAACACCGTCCTCTTCATTTAGTACGTTGCCCGATGTGGATGTGTTGTATCGGCAAGTATTACACGACGCGGAAGAGCATTTACGGCGGTACGAAATGCTTGGGTTGACACGCAAGTCGCGCAAAGAAGAGCATAAATCACCGCCTGTCGTGTCCGAAGTATCTCCTCCCACTCCCGCTTCTCCACCTGCATCACCGCCTGCACAAACTCATCAACAACCAGCAACATCATCTACTACTACCATTACTTCCACACCAGCAACAGCATCTACCCCTACCCTTACTTCTGGTATTACCACCACCACTACTACTAACAATGGCACTGCATCATCTTCAACAAAGCATACATCACCAATAGCATCTTCATCATCAACAACAACAACAACAACAACAACAACTTTGGCATCAGCATCAGCATCAAACAAGACATCCAAGAAGAAAGCATCCACAACAATACCCCCATCATTCAAATCATTCTTCAAGTCTGCCACACTCAACGAGCCACCCAAAGGATCACGCAGGAGTGCCCGTAACATCCTTGCATTTGGACACAGGATACCGCCTATGGGCGAGTGCGACTTCCATCTGCCGATGGACGAATACGGTGAAAGAATGGAAGAACGCGCAAAGGCCAAGTGGAAGAGACATAAGAAGCAGTAGTGTTTTTTTTTCTCGTGTGAACTACATTTGGGGGAGGGGGGGGGATAGCAAATAAATGTATTTTTTTTATTATGTGTGTATGTATTTTTAAGTTTATAAAAACACTGGCATTTCCATCGCATGCTTATCTCGTCAAAGGGTGTATGCATTGTTGCGGGTGTATCCATTCGGGCTTTTTTTAGGACAACAGAGGCGCTGTCTCACCGTTTCGTGCATGTCCGCCTGCATGATGCCACACCCACGAAAACACGCCGTTGAATACAAACACACCGAGGACAAGCACCACGAATCCGCCAAGCTGGATCCATGAAAAGGTGTCCCATCCATAGTGGATAGCAATAACCCAGATAAGAATCGTTCTATCACCCAAAAGATTTACGGTTAGCACTGAAGCGACTGAGAAGGGAGATAGACGTCATCATTATCACCGAGCAGTAGGTATTACAGCAGCAGCCATAGGAGACATTCGAGCGATGATGATGTCGAAGGGATGTGGTGAAACACAAGATTTTTTTTTTGTTACCTCAAAGTGTCAATGACACTCCGCCCAGGAACTCCGACCGGCGTGCTTACAGCCAGACCAAAGAAGTTGAACAAGGCGACCATGAGGGCAAGGACGAGGGCCGACTGCCAGAGGACATAGTCATCAAACAGCTGCAGCACACCTGCACGCGTATTGTCGTCAATGTCGACCACCACCGCAATGAGCATGGCAATGACCAGCAGCACCGTGCCGAATGCACCCTCGATCCCCATGGCCTTGAGCGGATGCAGGCGGTATCGGTCCATCAAGTACTCTTCCAGAACGAACTGACCGGCGACAAACAGCTGGGCCACGCAGAGGTAGGCGGGGCCAATCCAGTCATCTTGCATGCAGACGAGGGTGGTGCCGATGAGAATGGCAGCAACGGCACCCCATTCGTAGCCAAGGAAGCGTCGAGAGAGAAAGATCAGGCTGAAGATGGCAGAGAAGCCCACGATGCTGCTCCGTACCATTTGGAAGATGGATGCGGTGCTGTATATCAGGCCCAGGTTCATCAACTAGCCATGTCGTATTTCACATATATATTAGCAATCACGCACAAAAAGACAAGAACGTGCTGTCTCCCTCTTTTTCTCTCCTCTTGAACCTCCTCGTCAGGAATAATACATCGTATGTTTATTTACCGTAGTGGCAATCAGATCACAGGCACTCGGAACGATGAACCAGACAAGCGCCCAGTTGCTTGACCGTGTAGCAGCAGCCCAGTCGGGATGATCACCATAGCCTGCTCCTACTCCTTGTTGCTGTTGTGAGGATGGTTGTTGTTGGTGTTGTTGCTGCTGCTGCTGCTGCTGCTGCTGCTGTTGTGGTTGTTGTTGTTGCTGTGGCGCGACGGCCTGTACCAGTGAACGGTCCAAAAGGGCGGGCGTCTTGCTCGCTAGCTGGATCACCACGATACAAACGATTTCACCCAGGAATATCATGGCGGTCTGCAGCAGCGGCTGTGAGAAGTACTCGGGAGGGTCATTGGTGTTCTGATTCACACGTTGGTGATTCTGAAAGGTCAAGATAAGTGGTATAGAAACGCCTGAAACACATAAGGATCCGTTATTAGCAACCCGAACCCCTTCTTTTAACCCTGTTGGCCTGGGCCATCATGATAACAAGTGACAGTAGACGTACCAGAGGCGAGGAGACCCAGTGTCAGAAAGAGGGTATATACTGCTCCCATTTTTGGTATTGCGGGTTATTCGTTAGCAGGAGAGTCCTGGATAACTGTCAAAGTGCAGAAGCGATAAGCAAAGAAAAAAAAAAAGGAAGAAAGAGGGAGAGAAAGAAATACGCAAAGAAAAAAAAAAGGAAACAGGTTTTTTTTAACAGTTTTTGCACGCCATCTTTACTTTGCAAAGTTCACGCCAAAAAAAAAAAAAAACCCCAAGTTGACTCCGCGGGTTGCTACGCTATGCAGCATAATGCCGCTCTACCGCAGCGCGTTACGTTGGTTATACTTTGTTATGACACTGATTGCTTTATTTACGAAGCGAGAGGGTGAAGGGAGAGGGTAGGTACAGAGTTCTTTTTTGTTTCTCTCTCTCTCTCTCTCTCTCTGCTGATCCTTGACCAAGCTGACCAAGAGAAGAGAAAAAGAAGAAAAAGAAAAGGGGGGGGGCAGATGACGCAAAATGATACACAGAATATAGTAGCCATGCTGGGAGTGGATGGGTGTTATGTATAAACTAATATGAAAATGGGTTTCTTGTTCAAGGTGAGGTGAGTCGTTTTATGTGGAAGAAAGGAAGAAGCGTATGTGTGTGTGTGCGTGTGATTCTCCTCTTGTGGGAAAACGATAAGCGGGTGGGTAAGCAGGGAAAGGGTGTGGGACATAATGAATGAAAAGGGACTTTAAGCCGTAGCTTGCTGGGCAGACGATGAACCTCCCGTTGTAGCTGCAGCTGCTGATGCTGCACTTACTCGCTTGCTCTTGTAGTCCTTGATGGCTGATTTGATCGCATCTTCAGCAAGCACTACAGAAAGAAAAAAAAACACATTAAGCAAAAGTACACCCAAGGCCTGTCCATCCAAGCCTCCCTTTCCCATTTTTGATTGACTGTATTCTTGTGTAGGATTACGTACTGGAGCAATGCAACTTGACCGGTGGCAACGACAGCTCCTTGGCAATTTCAGTGTTCTTGATTTGACCTGCCTGATCAAGCGTCAGTCCACGGACACGCTCTGTCATGAAGCTAGACGAAGCAATGGCCGAGCCACAGCCAAACGTCTTGAACTTGACATCGACGATCTTGCCGGACTCCTCGTCTACCTTGATTTGGAGCTTCATGACATCACCACAAGCAGGTGCACCCACCAAACCAGTGCCAACTCCCTTTTCGCTCTTGGAGAAAGAGCCCACGTTGCGAGGTTTTTCGAAATGGTTAATGACCTAAGCATTCATTATCAATCATAACAAGGCATTGTCAATAAATGTATATGGAACAATCTTTTTTTTTTCTTTTTCTTTGTAGTCAAAAGAATAAAAAATGATACCTTTTCGTGATAGAATCGAACGCCGTTGGCAGTGGGGGCAGTCAAGGGCTTGTGAATAGCTTGCGTGGAGCGGCTCAATGTAGTCAATGTGTTGCGGAACATGGTTTATGTGTAATGTATTTACAGGTGGAAAAAGAGTTGAAAAAAAAAAAAAGTTCTTTTGTGCTTGGGGTCGGGGTGGGACTGACGGGTATTTATAATGTTTTGGTTTTCTCCCCCGCAACAACCAAAAACCATCTCAATCTGATTAGAATGTGATTGGCTGATTGGCGCTGACTGGTAATCTTTTTTGGTGCTTGCAGCACAATGGCCGAGTGTCCGCACATCCAAGTCAAACATGGCCCCCACAGAGTTCAAATTATCGCAGCAGCAAAGGTCGGCCCCTCATTCTTCCCTGTCAGCATCGAGGTATATCCATGGACTACATGACTGACTCTCATGGGTTGGCGACTACAGTATGTGGGTCCGGACGAGACAGCGCGGATCACTTTTTTTATTTCTTTTTGACCGTTGCACAAGCAGTGCCTTTACTCGGTGTTTTCTTTTCGGTGTGACAAATGCTTCGTATCAGATTTTTCATTTTGCACAACGTGGAGTAAATGACGACAACCAAAAGCTATTTAGACATGATTTTATTTTTGGCACGTCTTAATTCTCTAGGCTTTAGATAGCATCATTGATCAAGCGGTTGTGGGTGTTTTTTTTTTCTGCGTAAAGATGAGACGCATATCGTTCAAAGGGCAAAAGATGTGGCTATCAAAGCAAAGTAGCTTGATAGGAATGATGTTCAACCGATTTGCCCCGAACAAGGCCGCGCTCCTGCTGCTGGGTCGTGAGAGACGAGAGAGAGAGAGAGAGAGAGAGAGACAGAGAGAGATAGGATATTAGTCTCAAATATAGACTTGCGCGTATATTTCTTCCCCCTCTTTGAGCAAGGTGTTCCTTGTTCTTATAAACATGCACTTCCTAGTTACGTCCGTAAAGAAAAGCATGCTGATTGATAATGTGTGGTGATTGACTGCTGCAGGTGACGTTCGTCATACGGATAACATGATGATGGAAAAAACCAGGTTCACAATATCCCATAGTCTCAGTGTTCCCTATATCCATATGACTTCCAGATCACTATACCCGTCGTTTTGATAAACACTGACACATTCGTCAAAAGAGAGAGCTATAGCCTTGTGGATGAAGAAAACGAAAGAAAGCAGCTTTGGCATCTGGATAAACAAGCGGCAGCAAAATTAAAAAAATAATATGCGGACTTTATAGAGTAAAGTGACCATCTCTGTACGGCGCTTAATCCAGTCTTCTTGGTGGTCTCTTATTGCTCCAGGCACATGCTGTATGGCTAGGACATAATCGATTGACACGACTCTGCATAATTGACCACACAGACTTATACTTTTTGCTCTAGTCATCTTAAACTGCTTTGGTCATGATAATGTCTGTTTTGATGCTGCAGTTGCCATGCTCCTTTTCTCTTTACGAATGCTCATTTTTGCCACCAGGTTGCATAAATGGCGTCATATCGAGAAACAGAACACAATGGCGAGCAATTGCTTCCAAGTGGTCTATTATATAATCATATAAACGAGGCTTCGTCATTGATTGCGCGAATTTGGCATCGTGGCAGAAATATGGAACGCCTCTCGGCCAATTCAACGTCTCAGTCTGATTGCAGCTTGTCACACTGTATGTCACACTACTGTTAACAGCACCACGTAAATATGACAATGGCCATTATGTACATTTGATGTTTTTTTTTGTTTCTCTCTATTGACGCATATATTGCGGGGTCACAGGATTTTTCTTTTTATAAAACACAATTGTTGGAAGGGAAGGATGTAGTTGTGTGTGTATGGATGTGTGTGTGCGTGTGTGAGTGCTTGGTGCGAGGGAATGTGCGTGGTTTTTAACGGGAGTGCGTTTTACATAGAATTTATTTTACAATCCTCCTCTGCCACCACGAAGCTTTTCTGCGGCCTCAGGATAGTCTTGTGCAAATCTATAGTTTAATGACATGTTAGCAAGCTTGTCACACGTAGAAAAGCATCGATAACGACAGCAGCAAACTATCATGATGACGGATGAAAAGCAAAATACCTGATCTGTGTCTTGGTGGCTTCGACATATGAAATCGCATGCTCCAATTCAGGCTGCGTTCGTGCCAAATCAATCGCAGTTTCGTAGTACTTCAAGGCCTCATCAGCCTTACCCAACTCGAGCAAGATCTGAGCAAGCGAAGCAACAGCAGCATCACAAGCAGGATCAAACTCCAATGCCTTCTTGCACAAATTGGTAGCCTCGTTGGCGTCACCCATGGCTTGATACATCAACATGGCCTTGTTGATGTAAGGAAGAGGGTTCTTGGGATCCAGCTCAATGGCCTTGCCGAAGGCTTCGATGGCTTCGCTGACCTTTTGCTGGTCTACCAACAATTCACCATAGTAGTTTTGTACATCGGCTGACTGAGGGAACTTTTTCAACGTGTTGTTGAATGTGGACATGGCAGAAGAAATCGAGCCAAGTTTGTATTGCACAACACCCAACTGGATATGTGCAAACACAAACGAGTCATCCAACTTTAAGCTTTCGGTATAGTCCTTGGCAGCAGCGTCAAAGTTGCCACTGATATAGTTCACTAATAATGGATCGTAAGTCTTAGTCTAAAGTTCAATTCCCATCAAGTATCGTCAGTTTCCCCCCCTTTTTTTTCTTGTTACCTTGACCGCGGTGGTAATAGACATCGGGGTCGCTGGGGTTAATAGCAAGTGCATCATCAAATTGCTTGTAAGCCTTTGCGATATCGCCTATTGAAATACAACTTCGATTCAGCATACACATATACTTTACTCGCGCTACCTGATATAACCACTCACTTTGCTCCATATAAAGACTTGAGCGCTTGATGTAGCTCTGAACAAACTTGGAATCAGCCTCAACGGACTTGTCAAGGCATTCAAGAGCACCCTTGTTATCACCCTTCAAGAAGTTGAATGTACCCAACAAGTTCAAGGCATATGCCTGGTATTTGGACGAGCATCCCAATTCCACAGCCTTTTCAACAGCTTCCAAAGCCTCAGAAAATTCCTTCGCCTTGACATGGCGGTGTGCCTTTGCAAACTGTCCATCGCCAGTCGACAAATCCTCGGTAGTAGGAAGATCCAGGTTTACTATATCAATATAATTATCCCCGTTAATACTCCTTTTAAATGAATTGTCACGTTCTGTGCAGCAGCGTGGGTTGACTTATTACCAGGACGGAACGACTCAAAGTATGCATTGACAAAGGTAGATGAAGGAAGACGGGGTTTCTTGACCTAGTGTATTTTTTTTTTGTCATGACGCGTTGTAAGATTTCATGCTCTCTACACTCTGTCCTTTAAGCCTAAAATGTTTACCTTCATGATTTCCTGGGCACGGTCTTCAGCAACACGCTTCAACAAACGCTCCATGGACTTTGCAGCATTATCGTTTCTGAATCCATCGAGAATGCAGACACAGGTGTAATCTGTATATAACAAAAAAGGTGAAAAGTTAGCCCACATAATCGAGCCACACATAATGGCTCCCACCCAATAGATCCCACTTCCTCGAATATCATTTAATAACAGATACTTTACCATAGAGCGAGTTCGGCAAATCACCCTTCTTTTCAAAAGCCAAAGCACGACGGTTCAAAGCCTTGACATAGACGGGGTCGAGCTTAAGAGCCGAGTTACAGTCCTCAATCACGTTTTCCTGCTTTCCAAGATTGGCGAAACACGCGGCACGATTGGCATAAAAGATAGCGTCAGCCTTGAATCGGATGGCCTGGGTGTATAATCGAACGGCCTCCTCGTAGTTTTTGCCAGTAAATAAACTGTTGCCCTGGGCCTTCAGTGACTGTGCTGCTTCGGCGCGTTTCTATAACATCAATTGATATTTCGTTTTGTATACGTTGGTAAACCATTCTAAAACTCGCGCGAATGTTTGACTTTCTCGTATTGGTGAAGGTTGTCACGAAAAATTATTCGTGTGGTGTCCCCTACCTCGGTCGAAAGAGCAGCAACGGCGTCGTCGGTCATGCTCTCGTATTGTTCCGCAGTAGTGGTCGAAGCATTGCTGTCCGAAGCGGAAGTGGCGGCGGTGGCTCCAGTGGCGGCGGTGGCTCCAGTGGCGGCATCGGCTACAAGTTAAAAAAAAGGGTAACGTAGGAGCGCACATAACAAAGGAGTCGCAAAGAACGTCAGCATATAAAACACCCTTGAATGAAAAAATAAAAAACCAAAGAGGCTCATTGCATTATTTTAAAGCATACCCGATTCCCCTTGCTTCTTTTTCAATTCGCGCTTTTGCTGCTTGGGCTTCTTATTGTTGTTTGACGAAGAAGAGGAGCTGAGGTAGTAAGCACCGCAACCGGCGGCGGCAACACCGGCGGCAACGGCAGCATAGAACTTCCAGTCCTTGTCTTCCAAGAAGCGCTTCATGCGCTCGGATGCGGAAACGGTGTTGTCTGAAGCTGCCATGGCGATTAAGCTTTTAGAAATTTATTTTCTTGCAACTTAATGACAAGGGGCAAAGAGAAAAGCGGAGGACGGGCGGTGCTTAGTCGTTGGTTTTTTTTTTTCTTTTGGGTTCGAGCTCCAAAAAAATATACGTGACTTTACTCACTTTCGCTTCGGGCAGGCGGGGCCGCGAACTCCGCTCTATCATCATGATGCTTTGACTCATCGAACCGAGAACCGGATAACACATCTATGCCCACTTTTTATATAAATAGTAAACGTAAATGGAAGCTTAGTACCATGTCAGCATTAGAATTTGGGATTGCGTAGCAGTATTCTAATATAATTTACTGTACAGATAGTAGCTATACCCGACAAAGAGCTGTCAATCTGTGATGAGTTCAGATTACACATAGCAGCATCCAACATCATGTCACACAAGGAATTGAAAGAACCTGATATTTGGAATGATATATCACTCAAAAATGTCTGTGCGTATTTCAGTTCTATTGCATCATGCATCCACTACTACCAGTTGCAATGACAATTATGTGTGCAGATTTCTTGATACGCTTGCCGTTGTGATTCACGAGCGAGGGAATTCTTTCAAATATGCCCGTACAGTACTAGACCAGCGCTGCCAACCGACTTAATAAAGAAATTGCGTACTCTGTGATGCTAAAAAGTGTCACTTAATATTATCTACAGTTGGAAAACATCTTTAAGTTTTTTAATACAATGTATTATTCACTGTGTTGATGGTAGCAGTGGTGATGACGATGATGCTGTTGCCTACTTCTAATTATTAATGCTGTGGATAGGAGGCGCTATCCTATCTTGGTTCAACAACCTTATAGTAGCCAGAACAGTTTAGCTGTACTATACATATTACTATCATAAGCCTAGCCATCATAAGCTTAACTGAACGCTCCCATGTATCCTTTGTGGTAGTATCAACAGAATGAAGCATGTAAACCGTGGAATGCGATGAGCGATGAGCGGGGTTCTAATAACAAAGCAGCTGGAGCTGGCTGTAGGGCTTGCCCGGAGTGAATAGAGTCGTTACAGCCGAAGACTAGTCCGATCTCTTTCTCCATATCCCTCGGCACCATGGTGAGTTATAGGAAGAGTAACCATGGCGATATCTGTTACAACAGAACGAAACGGATGATCATCCATGTCGGATGGATGTATTCTCGATATGGATGGATTTATCGGTTTTCGTTTTCGCGAGATTATACCCTATGTAATATATGAAGGGACATTCCATATTAATTGCAACACAATTTTCTACAATTAGGGTATTGACCTTAAGCACCACCACGTCAAGAACACCAACCGGACCGCTCCCAAGTCCGAGAACGTGTACCAGCTCTTGTTGGTCAAGGCACGTTGATTTCCCTCTTAATTTAAATTAATTCCTGCAAAAATCCAACATTTAAACGATTATAGATAATCTAACCTTTTTGTTCTTTTTTTTTGGCGCTGGTGTTTATAGTTGTACCGCTTCCTTGCCCGCCGTACTGATGCCAACTTCAACAAGGTTGTCTTGAAGCGTTTGTTTATGTCGCGCATGAACCGTCCTTCCGTCACTGTCTCCCGTTTGGTCAAGACCGCTCAGGAAGGCAAGACCACCGTTGTTGTCGGCACCGTCACCGACGACTCGCGTCTTTTGGAAGTCCCCAAGCTTTCGGTTGCTGCTCTCAAGTTCTCCAAGACCGCCAAGGCCCGTATCTTGAAGGCTGGTGGTGAAGTCTTGACTTTGGATCAATTGGCTCTCCGTGCCCCTACTGGCTCCAACACCGTCTTGATCCGTGGTGCCAAGAACAGCCGTGAGTCTGTCAAGCACTTTGGCATGGGCCCTCACAAGAACAAGAAGCCCTTCGTTCGCTCCAAGGGTCGCAAGTTCGAGCGTGCTCGTGGCAAGCGTCAGAGCCGTGGTTTCAAGGTTTAAATACCTTATGTTTCTATGGTTTGGCCGCACAGACACACATACTCTCTCTCTTTCTCTCTCCACATACGCGCACTCGCACAGACAACTCTTTATCTTCGCTCATCAAATAAAAAGTACTTCTTCTCGCCTTGTACAACAAATTACCAGTCGAGTTTCTACCAAGTGTTTTGAAGGGGCAAAGAAGAAAGTGGATCAATTTGCAGGATGGTATATGTGCTCGGAACTGTGATAAAGATGTAGGCTTGTCTTTGGTAATGCTGTGGGGTTAATCGGCTTTATGGAGACAGGTTAATCCCATTTCGATTGGAAGTGCACTTGCGGCCACTTTTTACATGAAATGTTTTACACATGTTTGATACCTTACACAACTCATCCGGACGCTTGTTGTACAAGTAGCTGAAAACTGCAACTTTAAAATGATGGATATACATCTTCTATATGCAAGCTAGGCAATTTGGCGTCAACATGTGATGCTAAAGTATGTACTATTAGTGCTGGCATCGATAGCTTGTTTTATGAAGATCATAGTTAGATACATGGCGCTTTTAAAGCTTCTGCTTCCTTTATATGGCGGGCATTAAACTTGCTGCCAAATGCGTCTTGCACCCTTCTTTTCTTATTCCCTCCTCCTCCCTACAAAAACCCCACACACAAACTATACCTCTCAAATAATGGCAACGCGCAGCCGGACACTGCTGTTTCTGCAGTTCCGTAATTCTTATGCACGGACATCATCGTCAGCGAATCACCAAATCTCGGGCTCCGAGACCGAGGGTTTAATCGAAAGCTCAGACAGCGTTATAGAAATGTCAGTCCTTCCACCACAATGGTAAGCTGCTTTCGACCCTTGTTCTTTAATTAAAAGTGCACGTATACACGTATTAAATTGTCGATTCTAGGGTCGACATTGTAGAAGAAGTAGACGAGACGTTGGATCAGGTCAAAGATAAAAGTACGTTACAAAATCAGTTCATTATGTGTTTCGACATATATATGCGTGCACACTCTCTCTATTCCCTACTTGCGCGTATTTTTTTCCCACTAAAGGTGTTATGTAATTAGTAACTCGGTTACAGGGTATGCATCGAAAGCACCTTCTGCCTGGTTTTGACGATAGATCCTCCGATGAAGCGGCCATTGAACAACTTACATCAGAAATAACCAACGTAAAAGAAATATGATAAAAGGGAGGGAGACTAGTTCTCGAGAGGAGGCCTAAACTTTTAAAAACAAATATGTGCATGTAGGAATTTTATCGTATCAAACGAGATATCCAACGCATCCACTCAAATGATCGTGCGGGCACGTCCGACCAAGAGAACGCAATGGCACGGAATATACAAACGAGTTTAGCAACCAAGGTACAAGAAGTCTCAACCTCTTTTCGAAAAATGCAGTCGACATATTTGCAGAGTAAGAACGGCTTTCTGTTACGAAAATAAATAAGGATCGATAAGACGAGGATAATAACTAACTAGCTCGCGTGATTGATGATTTTGTAGAAATGCAAGGTCAAGAGAATCGTAAAGCAAATATCCTTGGCCTTGAATCTAATCTTAGTAACGAGGCAGCCGAGCTATTATTGGATGAGGATGCACAACTGGTATATTAAGATCGGGATGGAATAGGTGGAAAGAGCTGGTCTCTTGGCAGCAAACGATGGGCGGCACTGATTTAACTGACGTCACGTGCTCAAATCATACACGCCATCATTCTTTACTATAGGGATTCACGGAATCACAATTGGCAGTTATTGAGAACAATGATGCTTTGATTGACCAACGAGAACGAGAAGTCAACCAGATTGCAAAGTCAATACACCAATTGGCAGAGATATTTCGGGATCTACAAACACTGGTTATCGACCAAGGCACCCTGTTGGATCGAATCGATTATAATATAGAACAGACGGTGGTACAAGTCAAAGAAGCGACTGTAGAATTGGACAAGGTAATATATAGAAAGAGCAGGAGACAACATTATGGAAATTCAGTGTAGCTTATGCATACTCTTTAATAGGGCGCAAAATACCAAAGTAAAACACGAAGACGCAAGCTTATACTATTATTAATTCTGTTCATCTTTTTGCTCATCATGATTTTAATTGCCAAGGCACACAGTTCATAATACCACTACATCCAACTACACCTCATGGAACAACAAACTTATCTTTTTATATATATACACGCTCCTACATGTTTCTTTCTTTTCTATTTAATAATATTTACAAACATTTGTGTTTTATCACTCTTGCAAGCTATATATAATGTACGAATGAAAGTATGTATGGTAAATTAGCGAACCACACTGAGCAGCAACAGTTGGCATTGACCTGGCCGAAGCATAGTGCTATAGGATTTTGCATATCGTCCCAATGGCTCGCCGGTCCACGCATCCTTGGCTTCCACCTCATCGACACCAAGTTCCTCGAAATCCACTCTAATCTCGCGGCTGAGACCCAGCATGAAAGGGTAGACGTGTGCATTAAACAGACCTACACACAGTCGACCATCTGGCAATGTCTTCCACCACACTTGTTTGCGATTCAGCCAAGCGTTTCCATTGCCGATAGGCTTAGCGATCACTCCACTTTGATGAATATCCAAAATGACTGGATGATTTAGCAGGGCGAGGTACTTTTGTGGCAATTTGCGGGGATCAGCGCCAATGCAAAAGACTGAACTTACAAGTGCCCAAAAGCTAACATATGATATCCGCACATCATCGTTGTCTAATCCATCCACACACTTGTTATCCACCGTCATGCCGACTAATACAGCATCAAGATCGATATAGAATTTTTTCCCTTGAATTTGCTTGTCACACCATTTTGCGACATATGCCATACGCTGAAACACGCGGTGGGAGGTTGTCATATACTTTGAGCTGTAGCTTTCAATGTCTGCATATATGCGAGCACCATTGGACATAGACATCCACTCCTCTGCATAGGCCGGGTCGAGCGACCATGAAAGTTCGATCCAGATATTGTGTTTTGAGAAAGCCTTGTGCATCATGTACAAACATTTTCGAGTGTCCATGTCTTGGTCATCGTTCGACGGGCCGCATCCATCAATCTTAATATATCCAATGCCCCACTCGGCATACAAATCTGCAATCGAATCATAATATGCTTGTACGTGCTCGCTGTGTTCGTCAGGCATAAACGTCGCTCCCTTGAATGCATTGCCTTGCTTTTTTTGTGTGACCAGATCAGCAATCCGGATATGTTCGTGTCCCTTGATCCGACCTTCCAGTGCTTCTTTTCTAAGCCCTGGAAGCATGTAAAGACCGAGTTTTTGATTATTCTGTTGGAGGTGATCCGATAACGCGCGTAGTCCGTTGGGAAACAAGTCCTCTCGATATGTCCAGCGGCCATATTTGTCACACGTTTCTGACCAGCCGGAATCGAGATTTATGTATTCGTATTGTGGCATTTTGGCCTTCATGGCGTCTGAAATGTCGCGGAGTGATGCTTCATCAAACCTATTTGGCATATTAACGATATTAATAAGACAACCCCTATCAAGTCAGGCGATGCTTTAATTGTTACCATGGTTCTATATGCCGCCCGCCGTATCCAGGAACGTCGTCAAGAAGTTGTGTTGACCACGTAGAAAAGCCGAGTAAAGGTTTGCTTCCTACTAGGCTGTGTCGTGCGTTAGTTTGAGAATTAGGGAGATGAACATTAGAAGCATTTGCGTGATCCGAACCTTGACATGATTGCACTGACAGTACGACGAGGAAAAGTAAAGGGAAGAAAAGGGAAAAAAAGAGGAGGGGAACGCTAACCTTAAAAACTGAAAAAAAAACCTAAAAATGGGACACAAGTAAGAAATTGTCCCTTTTAGCCGCAAATTGTTGGTTAAGTATAGGCAGAAAAATGATATTAATTACGATCAATTGCTAAACCTGCGTCGTCAACTTGCGAAAGTATGACAAACGAATACAGTATCAATGTACAACATATTTATATCTTGGGAGAAAGAGAATCCCTAGAGACGGAGCAGATTCATATTACTTGATTTGAGATTAGTTACAAATATCACCATTTTGGTTAACAGCATTATCGCCAATGCAGGTCTATTGGCGTACACACTGCACCTAGTGCTGGAAATCTGAAGAGTTGTATACAAGTGGTGCCGGTGACTGAAAATTCTGCTATTGCTGGCATTGATCCACGGAATAAAGATACTCCTCGCGCTACCACAGAAAATGTGGCAAAATAGTCGTGGTACAGCTAAAATGACTGGGAACGCATATATACATCACTTCTGTCGTGATTGATATGTTGTTTGATCAAAGAACAAAGAGAGCTTTCAAAGTGCTTTCCTGTGATGACAAAGTTATCGGTTGTTCGTATGTGAAATGAACATGGCACCGATATGAGTGCCATCTTTGCATGCTTTTTATGGTAGTGAAAGTATGTGACGACTAGACTCAGCTCCTCTTTTGTCATTTCCGCTGATATCTTATGACAGGCTGTTGTTTCTCTTGCAACTGTTGAGCTCAAAACATTGCCTGAGAGCTGCTGCTGCTGCTGGGAAATGCTATGACCGGGCTTTTTGGGGTATTACTACGGTCGATCCAAGGTAAGCCTGATCCATCCTCTGAGAATAGCTCCAAGAAAAGATAAAAGAAACTGTCAGCAATAAAAGAAAACTATTAGTGCGTTGCGACATATCAGTATAAAATCGATGCTATTACAATTAATGATATGACCAGGTAAAAGGTTCCATCAACAGAAGTGGAAGATCTAGCAAATACATACCTCATGTAAAGCATTGCTCAAAACAAACGGTGCATAAAACTCGGATTTTCAAGGACGAAGAGCTCTAAATGACAACGTCACATTTGTGAAGCTATGCGCTGGCTGCATTGATGCACTGGATTTTATATATCTTCGACAATATGTACATACAGTATCTTGTACGAGGAAATTGTACGTACGCACATTTTACCGCTACTGTTGCACGTGCTGTATAATGCAAGTGTGAAAATACACACCATTATGCAAATTTGAAAAGCGTACGCGCCAACCGCAATTTTTTAGGAGATTTGTATATGCTACATAGCTCACAAAAAGCATTTGGGTCAGAAAATTATATTTGTGAAGGGATCATCTGCAGTGAAGAAGAAATGGTTGGGGTGCTGGTTGTATATTAGCTATCATACCATTTGGCAGTAAACTGTAAGCATATATGATATGTAGCAACTACAGTCTTTTCTTCTCAATGTTAGCAGCTAGCACTTAGGTAGATACTAAAACCTTTTATTTGCACCATTAAAACTACAGTATACAAAAGGTACTTCTTATGAGCTTATTGAATATACATGCTTTATATTGGAATGCATAAATCTGTTGCATAAAAGGAGATAATGTAATAAAAATATATATGTAATGGCAATGCGATGGTTGCTTGGTGCTTATTTTAACAACCTCCACCGCCGCCTCCGCCACCGCCACCACATCCGCCACCGCCACCTCCTGTTTAAAGTAAAGATATCAACCAATTTATAACGGATGGAAAAAGTATCATTTTCTTTCAAGACAATCTTACCTCCGCCACCGCCACCGCCGCCGCCACCGCAGCCGCCTGCTCCGCCTCCTAGCAACATTTACAAGCACATTAGGTCACGGATACTTTAGTACTTCTTGTTTTCGGTAGTAAATCATAGACGAGTCATACCTCCGCCGCAATTAGCTGATGAGCTGTTGCAATTGTTGATAGCGTTACCGATTAGCTCTCCAAGACCTGGCGCGATTTCTAATGGTTTACCGCGATTGTCATGCTTATGTTTTGCTGGCTTCGACTTGCTTTTTAGCTTTTTTGAAAGCTTTTGGACAGAATTCGGTTGCAGTACCGGTGTAAGGTCAGCCCATCTTTGGGTCGATGCCGAGGAAGGCTTAATTGATTGCACTTATAGCGGTAGTATATATGAAAGATAACTGTTAGGAATGCTAAAATAGTCGTTGCTAGGAATTTTATAATCTACATAGACATCATAGACATACATACCGGCACTATGCGTATATTGTTATAAATTAAAGCAGGGTGCGGAAAATGATAATGTCAGTTTATAGACTCGAAGCACTGTGTTCATATGAGGAAATCACTGCTTACTATAACTGGTGGTTGTAATAAAGATTGCGACCTGTAGATCCTATAATTATGAAGAACATATTTCATAAAGTCTGTTAGCTTCTTCTGTATAGGAGACATTTTCACCGTTCGTACATTTTGAAGCACTGTATTAATCTACTACCTGAAGCGCAATTCACCGTACTTCGAGACATTGATTATGTAAGAAAAGTGAGCGATCAAAACATGCATAATGTCGAAGCTAACTTCATATACAGATAACTCTTTGCTCGTGTATAGTTACCCAACATAGCCATATCCATTATTCTCGAGTTGGTGATGAATATTGTTTTGCACAGAATCCTATCGTAAAGTGGATGAAAACGTAAGACTACCTTCATGCAGACAATTTGATTTGCAAAATGATATATAGATATAGGGTAAAGACAGAGTTTCGGTATTCACATACCGAATAGGTATTATTTTTAATCCCTAGAATGGATTTTACGGTTCCTAAAGATTATTTGTGATATTCAGCACGTATGACACGATTCCATGCAAAAAATTTCAAAGGAGTAATGAGTATGATAATTACTTCTATCGTGATAGCTTTCTTTGGTACTGGTTTTTAGAGCTGCTCCGTCTCTACAATATGTACAAGACGAAATGTGAGACATAAAAGTACTACAAATTTTCTCTATTTTTACCCTGTCCGAATGCTTACATGACACCATTTTGAGCAAACGATTCCGGCAAAGTGCCAGGAATATAATCATCGCCAAATCCACTGGACAGAGCATCGCGAACTTTGCTGAAGAATCCCGCTCTTTTAGATGTCGATTTTTTTGCAGGACCATTATCTCCACCGTTGATCAAATTGTGACCATTCTTCGCCCGCCAGGCTTTATCCGTGCCGTCAGCATATGTCTTGAGTTTCTCAGGCACAATGTTATCGTCATGATTGACATATTGCCCAGTATATTTGAACGTGAATGTACGATATGTAGCTGGGTGGAGCATATGCGTATGCCATGCCAAGTCAATTTCCAATGTTGGGACCATAACTTGGGTCGGATGCGCCATTATCATTTTTAAAAACTCGTTGTATTGCCGGATAGCGCGCGCGATGCCATAAGGCGATTGCCAGTCGATCGTACGGACTGCCTTAACGTTGAAAGCCTGTTGGCGACCCACGGCTTGGATCAAGTCCAAAGAGAATGGACTCGGATTATTCAAATAGCACGATCGGAGAGCGTTCACTAAAAATACAGACACAATGCGATGCCAGTTGCTTGCTCCTTTGCGTGTGTTACTGCACGTCTTTTCAATATATGTAATGATGTCCTCCATGGAGCGGGACGGAATTACAAGACGACTTTCAGGGAGATCTTTTTCGGCTTTCTCCACACAAAAGGCCATGGCACGTTGGAGCTGAAATTTCCCCGGCCCTTTGAGGCTACCATTTTTTTCTAAAAGGGTACCACTACATATGTTGTTTGTCAGTGAGGTATCTATGATTGACGCTATTAAAGCAAGAAGGGATGAGAGAGCAAGGTTCTTGTCCTTACGCAACTAAATAGGAACGTCCCTCTATATCTTTGGCAAGACGTGCAACAGACGCTGTTCCCACACTGGTGGATTGACGACATGTGTGGCATCGAATGTTCAAATCTGGATTAGTTCTCCAGTCGGCGTATTCAATCCTATGTAGTTAATAATTTGATATTAGAGAACAAGGGCAGCCATATGTGAATCAATGACGCATTCACTTTGCTTCCTCTTACCAACTGCATTCCATTTTCTCACTGCAATAAGTGCAATTCACCATGGTGGTACCAACAACTACATTTTCGGGGTTAAGGTAGTACGGCTCTTCTGTACCATAGTATAGCCGCCAGCTGTTCATCTCAGCCAACGAGATTCGTGTGCTGGCGTATTCATGCTGCAAAAAGGTAATTTTATTTTAGATTTAACTCTTGACATATGACATCGAATAGAACTAGTTTACTGGCCATTATTGCGATAAAAGGATAATGAATTTTTTTTCTTACCAATTTTCCCAAGGGAAGATTTATTTTGAAGAGATCCATTTGATTCAGCCGAATAGAATCTTCAAAATAGCGAAACGGACTTAGCATGTGTGTGTGCCACATGTACGCAATATCTATAGAATGACATGATTTATAACCAAACAAGGTCAATTTTTCCTTTCTTCTCCTTCATTACAACGCGCAGTAGTGGTTTTCTCCATTCTATACCAAGCGGAGGAACGAAAGACTGATATCCAGTCTTTGAGAAAGATGTATGAACTATTTCTCGCCATTGAATATAACGACGTTCTGCTCGAGCCAACATTATCTTTAAATGAGTCGAATCGAATCGTTCTTTGTATAGCAAAAACTGCTCCATCAAAGACAAATAATGATGACAATGTTTGACTGAGACTACTTTGTCCAGCTTTGGATACTGGTTATGCTCTGTTTCTTGTGGTGGCAACGCAGAATATTGGACTCTCAGAGGTTGAGGTGGCTGGTACTGTTGCTGTGAATACTGTGGATGGTTATTGATTTGTGGTTGCTGATATTGTTGTTGGTCAGAAGGATTGTAGTACGTCATGGTTAGTGATGTTGATTAACTGTAGAAACGAAGAAGAAGAAAAGGCGTCGGATGATGTGAAAATAGCAAGGTTTATATATTCTTTTTGCGGATACCGTCATACGAGTAATCTACTTACGAGATTATGCTCAGCCACGCAATCTAGTGCGAACAGGTGCTCTTTAGGCTGTCTCTGTGCAAGAAGAAGGGGTTTCCTTTCGCGTATTAGTTTGTACCATGTGCGTAGCCAAATAAAAAGTGATCGTCACATGGTCCGCGCAGTCAGCTCTCTTCTAATATTGAATGATCTTTGATGCTGGATTGATATTAACAAATTGAAAGCGACGTCATGGTTGTTAGCCTTGCGCCACATCATGCGTATCTGTAGCACGGATGGCATTAGCTTTCTCTGGCTAACATGTTATTAAAATTAAAAAAGACGAATAAGTTTGACACGTACAGTAGTTAAAATTAAAATCTACTAACGATGAGATAGTAGCATCTGTCATACACCCCACAAAATCGACAGGAGCAGTGACTTTAAAAGGCATATATAAAGGACAATTATAGCGACGGATCTCTCTCTCTTTGCTATGCCGCTCTTAATATGATACATATTCTAAAAGACGCGCGAAAAGAGATAAAGCATTCAAATCAAGGTGGTTTTTTTTTCAGTCGCTTGGTTTTATATAGCAAGTGTAGCGAAAAGCACTATTACGCTGGATCTAATTGGTATATTTATTAGGAGCGTATGCGTAGATATCATATTACTCATTAAGGTTACAGCTAGTAGACTATAGCACCGCGGATTGCGTGTTACAAGTCAGTATAACTATATTTGTCATCAGCTTGTCTAATAAAGTGGGTGAGAAAAAGGCTTCACCGTACTGACTAACCATTGATTGAATGACGATAACAACTCGATCGCCATGCAATAGAGAGAAATGACTCGCTATTATGTCAAGACGTTCAAATTTCTGTCCAGCAGAGATTCTATTATTTGCAGTACTGTAGTTCTCAACAAAACCGCACACAAAGAAAATGGATAAGTTGCGATAACAGCCCTGGATTCTGCTTCGCACTTCGAAAACAGAGGGACGAAACAAAACATGCACATAAGATATCGTATGTATATCAACATGTTTGAAACGTGTGCTCGCGTATATTTTCAAGAAGGAAAGGCTCGTCTTTATTTTTGCTCCTCGATAAATAAGCTTTAAGGATCCCACAGTATAATCGTAGAGAAGTTGCTCACAGTCCCTCATACAGCAAATTATGAAACTGACTTACCAATGACGCATCAAAACAATATAACAAATTCCATTAACAGTTTAGCCCAAATCTCTCTTTTTAACATCGTATCAAGTGTATGTTGAATTCTGTGGCTGCTTACTGTATCATACTATGATACATGTTCTTTAAATTTGTTATTTAAAACCGTAGACTACAAGTATAAATTATGAGTGTATGTAAGTATTACATAGTAGAATATGCTTATCTAACTTTTATTTCTTTTCTACCTTTTTACGGATTTTATACACATAATCCGAAAGAAAATCGGGTATTACTAAATGCATGTCAATTTGAAAATTCCATGTATTGTATTCCACGGGAAGCCATTGCACATATCATTAGCATGACGCTCTCTGTGGTGATGCCAGTTCGACCCGTCGGCAACGAGTTATGGGTATATCAGTAATGAACCTGAATAGTAGGCCTTGACTTCATGCTTCTATATTTTAAGCAGCATATCAACGAAAGATAGTAAAACCTAATCTTTGAAGAGAATGATGAAGGAGGAATCAAGAGCTGCTAAACTCGGGAAAATGTTTAACTTTGCTGCTGCTTAATTATCTACAGCTAGGATTTGACGCGCTTTCTTTTTTAAAAGGGTATTGTCTTTTATCTATCCTTTTGGTACACAAGACGCGAGCAAACGACTCGGATATGATAGCGTTTTTCTTTGGCTCAGCTACACTCGCTGGTGTAAGTTCTGATCCCATAGAAATCCAAATGGAGTGGCCTGCTGAAGAAATGTCTATAAAGTTAAAATCTATGAATTGTTGTTTAGGCTTTTGGCGGTGCTCTTGCTTTTGCTATCATGGACATGGAAGGTCTAAGAGGTTCGAGCGGATGGCAGTGTACTTTTATTATTGAAGCTCTTCCGCCTTTGTTCTTGCCGTTCGTTACATACTATGTCATGTCAGACTCGCTTAGCAAAGCACGATGTAAGTAAACATACAAGCAGAAAAAGGCTCGGGTTATTCGTTGGAACTTAGTACACACAAAAAAAAGAGATTGTGATTTTAGCTGATAACGAGAATTATTTAGTCTTGAACAAGCGTGAGCGCGAAATCGCCATCTATCGTCTCCAGATCGATGCAGGACCAGCTGTTGAAGCTAGCTTCTCGTGGAATCAATGTATGCAAGGCTTCCTTGATTGGAAAATCTAGTATTGGCGATAACGAACTTGCTGGGTTTGACCCCTATGTTCTCAACGAGCATGTTCATGCCGTCCATAGTCAAGGATATGGGATACGACTCTTTTAGAGCCCATGCACTAACGACTCCTCCTTATGCTGTGGGTAAGTTACTTATATGGAGTGTGATGTATATTGATATTGCGCGCGTCAAAGAAAAAAATATTTATCTCATTTGTTGCATAACGACAACAAGTCTTTGTGGTCGCGATTTGTACTGTATTGCCATGATTGCAGATCGAACTGTGAAACGCGGATACCATTCAACATTTGCTTCGTTTATACGCGTCATCGGATACATGCTATTATTTGTTTTTGCCTATAAGCCGAGCAGTATAGCTGCCCTCTACGTAGCTGATATCCTTGCGACGATCGGTTCGTTCGCCCAAGTTCCACCAAGAGCAGCCTGATCGACATGTGAATATAGGAGGCCACACAAAGCGAGCAGTGGGTGTAGCCATGGTTTCAAACCTGGGTAATATCGGGGGCGTCTTATCTGGCCATGTGTATACCAATGAGCAGGCTCTGCATTATGTTCGCGGATATGCGATTTGTCTAAGCATGCTATTGGGAGTATTAACCATGTGCATTTTGCTCAAATATGCTCTTGTTTGGGTCAACAAGCGACGTGACAACTTCCGTGGAGGAGTATCAGCGTATTTGCGAGAATAAAGAGTTATGCGATACCGTAAGTAGCAGCAACAAACAAACATTAATGTGGCCATTGTTAAATTGAACTCTTGGACCATCGCTTATTTGTAGCACCCTGGTTTCCGGTACATTCATTAGATGGAATAGCTGTTTTATATCAAATAAAAGTAGAAGTATATATAATGGATACAGATGACTTGGGATGTAGTGTGTGGATATGTAGAGAGAGGAAAAAAATGTTTTTGTAGATGTTTGTGTTATATGTAAACAGGATACAAGAAAGAAAATGTTATGAGAAACAAAACGTTTAGAGATCTTCAACCTTAATAATTCCATGATCCAGCTCCTGCTCCAACTCCTTCAAGAGAGCCTCATCGTCATCTTCAATGCCTCGATAGGCTCTTACAGGTCCAGGGCTCGGTCCAGCGGTCTTCCTCAATGTTGGCGTTTGCGCTGGGCCTGCAGGCAAGACACGGATAGGTGGCGCGACTGCAGGATCTTCGCTACGAGCTGCTTCAGCCTTCTGAAGTGCTGCTCGTTCCTCAGGTGTCCATTCACGCTCAGCAGCAGGTTGCAAAAGGGTATCTAAGGTTCCTTCTTCGACGTGCTTGGAGACATCTTCAAATTGCTATGAGTGACAAACTTCATCAGCCATGACTGACAAATAGATAGGCAATATCGCCTGTGCTGCCATATTCACTCTCCAAAGTTCATCCAGCTACTTACACCACGGTATTCACCTCCTACGAAAAGTTGAGGCACTTCCTTTGCTCGACCATCATTCGATCCGTTGTTGTTGCACCGCTTCATATGTTGCAACGCAGCTTCGCTGGCTGCTACATCGATCAGCTCGAAGTTGATATCGTTGGTCTTCAACAGCTGTTGAATATCCTCCTGCTTTCGCTTTATCTTTAAAGAGGAACAAACTTTAACAAAGTTTCAACGCTTCCGCCACTGTATAAAAATAAGTCTACTTACCACAGCATTGCCGCTAACAGTCGAGATATATACTTGTATTTTCTTATTATCAAGTGGTATCAAAACGGGACCCGCTTCATCCTTGGCAGCATTCATGATACGCTGCGAAGCCGAGTGGGAAGTGCGCGGGCCATTGGTCTTGCGAAGGACAGACAATGGTTGAGGAGCAGGCCAAGAGACGGCCTCGGTGGGCAAATAGCGCGTTGTCCAACCTTCGCGGGATCGATCTTGAACCTTTTTCAGATTTCGGAGCTGGGCCACGTGGTTCTGTTGCAGATCAGTAAGCTCGGACTGATGCGACTGTTGCAACGTCTCGATCTGGACTGCATGAGAGTGTTCGGCCTGCTCAAACTCGTGCAGGATACGCTCAACCTCGTCATCCATCATGGCTGCATTGCTGCTTTTCTTGACCTTGGTTTCAGCTTCTTGCAGACGCGACTGGAGATCGGACATGTCTTGCTTATGACGCTGTTTCATGGTCAAGATACTGCTGGATTGGCCCGTCTTTAGCTTGCGGATCTCATCGTTGTGTGATTCCTGAAGACTCTCGAGTGCCTGCTGCTGCTCTGAAAGCAGCTTTTCCTTTTCGGCCATGGCTTCCTCGTGGCGTCTGAGGCTTTCTTCATGGGCAAGTTTCTGGGCTTCGAGCTGTTTGTTGAGTTGTTCGATTTGCTCCAATTGAGCAATATCCGCATCCTGCTGCTCTCCGTTCTCGATCTTGGATCGTAGCTTTTCGAGTTCTTTCTCCTTGTCCGCCAATCTTCGAACAGCCTCCTCGTTCTATTTCCAGTTTAGTTCATTTGCATTGAAACTTGGTGCAACCGAGCTTATTTTCTTTTACATTTTTAATTAAACTGGGAATCTTACCTCAAGCTTGAGCTTTTCAAGCTGTGCAACACCGTCATCAATGTTATTGTTCTGCGACGCCTTTTCGGCCTCCCACTTTTGTCGTTCTGCTTCAAGCGCCTGCTCTTTTGCCGCCAATGCCCGCTCACGCTCAGCAAGCGACTCATCCTCGCTGACCACGATATTGGGGACGTTCTTCTCCGCTTCAAGTCGCTGTCGCAGATCCTCCAGTTCCTTCTCCCGCTGTTCCAGCAATTGTTCCTGGTCATGGAGCTTGGTCATATTTTCCTCGTTCTGTGCCTGAAGCGTGTCCAGCTCCAACTGGCTGATTGATGGCTTAAGCTCGGGTGGTGGTGACGTGGGCTGCTGCTGCGGCTCGTTATCGTCGTTGTCTTTCTTGTTTTGCGTTTCTGCGGCCGCTGTTGCTGCTGGTTTCTGTACCAGTTGTTTCAATAATTCAAGTTCGGCCTTTTGCTGTGCAATCACTTCAAGGTTCTCGTTATGCTAAAAACCAGAAATAATTAGTCCCATACATCTATGCTATTCCACCTAGAAACACCCTTTTTCCAAGGAGATAACAGCAATGCTATTGCTGCAAAGAACAGACTTGGAATTCTTTGTAGTAAAACAATACCTTCACTTTGAGCTCGTCAAACTCCTCTCTCATCTGAGCAACAGGCGACTTTTTGATCGTCGAAGCGTTTGATGCATTGCGAGAATGGGAGCTGGGTCGGGCACTACTTCGGACTGAGGGTGCAGTGCCGGGTGGCGGTGGGGGTCGGGTGTGGGGAGAACGGGGACGATTGTCAGGACTAGGAGAACGAGCCAACGAAGTGCGTGAGGTGGGTCGCCGTACCTGCTTACCGCCTAGTCCAGTGGTAGCAGTAGCATTAGGACCACCGGGCGCATCGACGGAATTCCTGGACGAAGCAACGGATGCTGTACTCTTACGTTTGGTCAAGGGCGTCAGAGATTTCTTCTTGGTCATTGAACCTTTGACAGACCGATTGGTTGCATCATCCGGACTCAGCAGCGCCGGTTTCTTTGCTGGTTTTTTCCGGGGACCCAGACAAACCATGTTGTTTGTTGCGTGTTTGTTTGGGAAGAAAGGGAAAAAGAAGTGTGGATAAAGCTAAAACGCAGAAACGATATTTAAAAAACAATAAAAACGATTCCACAAGGCAGATTCCGAAAGTGGCAGCTAGGTTACTGATTTCCTTTTCCAGTGGTTGCACGAGCCCTATTTGGTTGCATGCGTGTTGTGTGTGCTATGTGAGAGGAGTATTCAGTTAGTTGCTTAGGAAAGCTACTACATCCTGCGTTGCATGTTTATTGCCTTTAGATACGGAGAATGAAGAAGCCTTTTCTGTCTCCACACGGAGATGTTTTCACCATGGTGAGTGCCTCCTCGTCCATTGCTTAATTAGCCGAGGTACTATGTTATTCTCGGGTTGAACACGCATAGCAGCCCCTAAGATTCAAAAGGAACGCCACTAGGTAAATGGAGGCAATAACGTGTTTTGTTGTGGAAAACCTGATTTTGGGCCTCTGCATAAACTATTTTCATTTGCATATCCGACGAGGTTTTAGTTTGTCCGTGGGAATGGCTCTATTTGCTGTTCATCATTGCAGTTGTCCTTTCCTTTTATTTTATTTTTAGAAGAAAGTAGACACGATAGTTAAAGATAAACATACAGGTAGAAACAATATCTGCCAATAGTAAGCGCCAAGTAGTAATACGAAATTTGATTCAGTAACCTACTATATTTCGCTAGAACAAGGATCCAAAGGGGCATCTCCAAAGGCTCTAAGATAAGACTCGCTACACCGGTAGCCCCACTCAACAACGACCTGATCTTCAGTCAGCAGCTCTTGGACTTCTTTACTAGCGACTTGTATTTGCAAACGATCGTCATATGAAAAATGAGCCGGCCAATCCCATAGCTCTCGGAAGCCCAGATACCGTAGTCGTTTCCCAACGAATGCTTGGCCAAGCCGTCGAATTCCATCCGGCGTGACAGCAGCGCCAACTGTTGTGTCTCTCTGATTCATTGGGTTGCCTCTATTGTTGCGAAGCCGAGGAGACGGATAACCAAGCTGCAAGTGAGTCAATCGACTGTCATCGCTTCTTCCTGTCAAGTTCCTCACAATCGCATCGAGTACAGCATCTGTCCATGTCGAAATATCGAGCAAACAAAGTTTACGCAACGAGCGACGGCAGTTGCCCTGTAATAATTTGGTAATGATGATTTCAGCTGATATCCCACCGAGCACCCTGCCGTTGATATTCTGCATTATAAGATGATTCAAATGCGCAGCGCCTGTTGCTGATAATGGTGATGCCTGGATTCTCAGATAGCGCAGATTCTCGAGGTTACCGATGGCTTCCATGACACTGGGACTGCTGGGTGGATCAGTAGCATCCGCAACAACAAGCATAATATCAATGTCGATCATTTCCAGACAGGGGCTGTCTGAGATTGCACTTGCCAAATTCGTTATGTGTTGAAGTTGTTGGTGGTTCATCCATGTTGTTCGGGCGCCGTAAATTGAAAGACGTTGCAGTTGTGGCCAACCTGAGGGAAGCAGCATCCGGTTAAGTAAGCTGCTCTGCGTTGTGTCTAATAGAGATAGCGTTCGCAAATGCTCTTGTCCCTGCAGTCCACCGAGAACGTGGTCAAAGGGCATTGGAACATTCATGTATACGTGTTCCAAACGACGAGACATCTGCAGCATCGTAAACAAGTCTCTTGATGTTGCGTCATTCACAGCAGCAAGAATGTTGCCATGGAGTCGAATTTCACGCATATTCGGAAACACCAGAGGCGGAAATGAAAGTGTTGCTACCCAGCATTTTATTATATAGAGTTCCTCGAGTGTTGAGTGGTGCGTTCGAAGGATTGCTGACGAAATGTCTGAGTCGATCCTGGAGCTGCGATTCTGCAGAACAAGTGAACGCAACCCCAACATTTTCTGTTCCTCTTCTTCCATATTATCCTGCTGCATCCGGTGAGCATCATCATAATCGTTTCTCATTATCGATGTCTGTTGTCGCAAAAGTGTCGATGATGACAAAGATTGCAATACTGTGGTGGTGATGCTCCTATCAACGGTTGTTACATTTCCACCAGAGTATATGTTAACTTTTTGGAGTGTGGTAAGAGACATGCACAATAGTTCCATAACTTGACCGGGGGTTTCCATGTTGTGTATCATATCCTCGTTGATGCATATGTTCTTGAGATTAGGAAGTAACGCGATAATACGCTGCAGATAGCACATCTCCATTGTGCACGCGATATTCAGAGAGGTTATGTGAAGCAGAGGATGTCGCGGCAAAGCTCGTCCGTCGAGTCGGATGGTCAGGGGTCGAATTGCATAGTCATGTCGGTACTTTAGATGATTCAGTCGTGTGTTGCAATATTTCAGTATTGCAGCAAGAACGCGCACATATCGAGTATCGCCCGTAACTCTTAAATCCAAACTAATTAAGCTGGATCCTGTTATTTCCAGTAGGTTCTTTAGCTTCTGGATCGCGTCGGAATCACACGAGATGCGCACTATACAAAGATTACAAATGTTTAGATGTACATCACATATGGAAAGAGAACAAACAATCGTAAGTACTTACAGTAATCGAGTGCACAACACTTCATGTGCCACAGGTATTCAAGCACGCTATTTTGTTCCTCAGCATCCTTGTCCTGGATATCGACTCTACGCACGTGTCGACTGTGCTCTGCTGCAGCATTGTGCGAAGAGGCCAGCGCTAATAGTTTTGCATAGTTGCATTTGGTGTCGGTCAAGTTTTCCCACATTCCAGGCCAACCCAACAAGAAGCTCCTCCAACAGGACGAGACTTGGGTGAAGCGTACACAGTCTCGGAAAGAGCATAATGCAAAAATGGTGGAGACGGCATCATATGAAAGACACTGAACGAAATCACTTTTTTTCTCCTCAGTACCGTTGTCACTTTGTTGTTGTTGTGAGATTAAGCACTGATTCATTTTTTCTTTAAAATATAATTTGAGTTACAAGTAGAAAAACAGGTAAGAGGTACGAACCTTTTTAGAAAAGGAAGGGGAGAAATAATACCGCTCTTACTGCTGCGATACAAGATTTTAACCTGATTCCAGCCGCTGCAAACAACTTCTCGTTTTTCCCAAGATGGGGCGGGATTACGTGAATGAACGCGTTTAAAATATCAACGCCAAAGATCAACCATTTGGAAAACACGCGATCGCTCTTTACAAAACAATTATGCCCGCCGAAGCTGTCCGCAAAGCTGAATTCTTGATCACCTGCAAGCCAAAGTCGCGCTTTCCTCCTTGTCGGTCGTCTATACGAGGAGTAAGGCAAACTAAAAGTTGCACAAGGCCTTTTACCGCAAAGTGATACAAGTAGTCTTACGATATGACAATGTATATGTCAACAAAAACCTCTATCCTTTGTGAATGTAGAGTGTGTAGATAATAAAGTCCTGATCGCGTGCAAGGACTTGTTACCAATGATAACACCCTGTTTTCATACTATTACTGAAAGCGTTTCATTTCAGAACAACGTGCGATCCAAGTATTATGATATTAGCAAGATTCAGGTACAATGAAAGGGACTTCACTCGCTTGTTGATGTATACTTTCGTTTGCATAACGAAGCAATACGCTTCCTCCTTCAGTGGAAAGATAAATGCTATACATTAAATGCAGCGTTGTACATTTATTTAAAACTCTGTAAACTGGATAATTAATCTCTTAATGAACGCGTACGTGCCAAACAGATAGGATCATGAATCACAAAGGCACAAACAAAATTTAGATGTTGATATCGAGGAGTAGTGTTCAACTTATTTTAATAAAGTTAAAGTACTGCTACTATGAGTACCGTCACATATAATTAATTTATACATAAAATAGTTAATTAGAATATATTTAAAGTTACATAACGATGGGTTCGACGGAACATGGGTAAATGTATTTATATCGATATCCAAATATCGGAATAGACAGTCGCTTCCAAAAATTTGAACGTTCGGCACTCCTTAGAAGACCATACCCTTAACTTGGGCAACCTTGGTGAGGTTTATGTTTCTGATCATAATGGTCCAAACTATAGCCAGGCCCATAATACCGGTTCCAACAGCAAGCATTCTCGTCTGCGCGTAGCCGTACGCTTCCTGGATTCCCAGTCTCTCGGGACTTCCGACTTCATAGCTCAACTGAGTTTCTAGGTCCTCATAGATCATGTCCAAGTTTGATAGGGCAGATTCGGGGAGGTACATTATAAGTGCGGGTTCGAAGACATTACTCCAAATGGCACCACAAATTGTGGCGCCGATGGCATTGGCACATGTGCCGACGACGTACAATACACCAAGAGCTGCAGCGATATGTTGATGGTCGACGGCGGCCAAGATAGCGAGCTGCTCGACAATGATAAAGATAGCTCCACCGATAGAGATGAAGACCTGGCACATGACAAGGTAGCCAACAGATTGGTTGGGACGGCGGAAGTAAATCATCAATCCTTGTGCGAAAATGTACAGTGGAACAGCAATGTACAAAAGCCACTTGAAACGACCGGTCTTGCGAATCAAGAAGCCGACTATCAGCAAAAGCACACCAGAGACAACGTCAAAGGTGTTACCGACATATCCTGCCTCGGCCAGCGTCAGATTGTTGACCACTTGCAAAAAGGATGAAAAGTAATTGTACCAGCAGTAGTACGAGATCTGATATGTTGCATTCAACAAACATGCGCCGATGACAGTTCGATCGGATATTAACTTGAAGTTGATCAACGGCACAGGGGCGACAAACTTTTCAAAGACAATAAAGATGATGAGCATAACGAAGCCGACGACGATCATGGCGATGATATAAGCAGTTGACCAGCCATAAGGAGCGGCATCGGCGATATTGAATGGAAGGAGAAACACCGTGAGGCCAGCTGAGAAGATGATAACTCCAAGAACTACATAGAAAATAAGCATTTTGAAAAAAGGGTTAGTATTGCTAATGGCTCCTTGAAGTGAACGTTATGTGTAATTAACTTACTATCGAATTCGATGATGAAATGCCAGACGCTCTGCAAAAACGTTCGTCCGCTCGGCTCTTTCTTCACAACACCTTGCTTTTCAGCCTTACGCAGATTATACTTCAAGATAAAGTACAAAGGAGCGGCTACAACCGGGAAGACGATAGCAAAAGTGCCAAAACCCCAGCGCCAGCTGATGTCGTAGTAGAAGCCCTCTGATGCCTTGGCACCAGCGAATGCCGTAATAATATAAGGAGAGGATGTGAAAGCGTAAGCCAAACCTCGGTTTTTCAATTTGGACGAGTCAGCAGTGATGACATCCACGCAGAATGTCATACCACCAAAGCCAATGCTATAGAACACCTAGTAACGTAAATATGTTAGTGTTCTCCCATATAAAAGTGATGTCTTTCTCTGTGTTATCATGTCATGACAAGTAGCCTTACATAAGCAGCGCAGAAAGTGGGGAGGTTATTACAGGCAGCCATCAGAATCAAGCCGAGAGTAGCGAAAAGAGCCATGATGAGAAAGCCTTCAGCACGACCCCAGAGATCGAGCACCTTTGCCAAAGGAATGTATACTGCGGCTGATATGGCATTCGCAACAATGTAGATGACGTTCAGTAGCGAGTGAGCCGAGAACTCACTGGTGACATAAGGAAGCAAGTTATAAAGGATTGAGGACTGGAACGCGTTGACGAAATAAAGTAACCAAATGCTATTGAAAAACCAATGTTAGCTCAATAAATGACTAGAACAAAGCATATAATAATAGAAAATTAGGAATTATCAGGCATACTTTAAAAAGACAGCAATCAACATCGGCTTCGACCAGGTCAAGGTCACTGCCTCAACATCTCTAACACCGCGCTGGACATCTTCGCTGGGACGTTCTGGATGTGATTCACCATTTCCGTTGCTTGCTACGACGCTTTCGGCATCTAGGTCCTTTTTCTTTTCCTCGACGTATGAGTCAGCGGCTGCGTCATCAGCCGACGACCGGCGAATGGCAGCACGAAACTGCGAAAGAAAAGGCATTAAAGGCTGTTGACCTGTATAAAAGGAAAGAACGACAAAAAAAGGTAAAATAAATTTTTTTACTCAAAAATATACATATATATAGGCTCCTGCTAGTGTGGTACAAGATGCAACAGCGACAGGTTCTGAACATGGATCACTCTTTACCGTTCACGTTTCTTTCGGATGTCTTCAATACTGATATGCCTGCAGTTTGTACTATGAATCACGCTATCACCTGCAAATAAAGTTTCAATCCACGTTTATTGCTACCAGCGGCTAATAATTGCTTCATCTTACTGGTCGTCATGTCCATACGATAAGAAGTTATAGAATTGTTCCAAAAAGACATAAATATAGGCAATTGTATACCAGCCAAAAACTGACGCCAAAAGGAAAAAGTGGCAAGATATTGACAATAACGTCGACCTAAGCCTCTTTCACGGTCGCACGACCTGCAGCTTTAGGTGTTATGTGTAACAATTCTACCAATACACATTTTATCAGATTGATCTTGATCTTTGGGAGGGTGTTTAGCTCTCCGATGTATAAGGCGATAAGGTAACACACGCGTACCGAGGTTTTAAGGGCATCTTACTGTTAAAAAATATATACAAAATTGTACAATTCTACCTAACGTAAAATAAAAATTAGCTAAAGTCACGAAAGGCGGGGTGTTACGGACATTCGAAGTCGCACTGTTCACAAACAGGTTTGTCATGGTAAAAATATGATTGCATCAGTCGTATACATTGTGGTAAGTTTAGTGACATGTTTTCTTTTATAGTTTGTACAATAGTCGATTGGATCGTTCCATGTCACTTGAGCCATGGTCGTGCAAGGTCGGTGTCTTAGGGTGCTTGTCACAATGGCAAAATCGTATCCATCGCGCTCGAACAGTTGAAGATGCTGATACCCACTTTTTTTTTTTTTTGGGGGGGGAAGGGCAAAGCGCGGAATAGACCGATATCCAAGTCTTTGGTCTCTGCTTTCTACATACAATGCTTCCTCAAGTACTACCATGCTATGCCTTTTTAGTAGCCTTGTTATTAGGGGAAATATTTATAAGAGATGACATTTGTGGGGTAGACAGTCAATCTTCATCGAGAATATCTTAGAAAAATTGATACCGTGGTGTTGAGCTTGAGTAGCAGCTACTTTATTTCCATTAGCCAGTCCTTTGATTTGTCAAAGATATATAGGATACGCTTTATTTTTATACATGAGCTAGAGAAAATAAACGCGAATATAGCTCCACTTCATCATTCACCATTTTCTTAACCAGTGGCAATAGGAAGTAAATATAAGATGGCAGCGATACGTGCCTTTGTCCTTCTGCAGAATAATAATTGTGTCCGGCAGTATCTTATAGACGACCATCATCCTTCAGCAAACTTTTGTGTCAATCTGCGTTGTACAGACAATGATATAGCCATTTTCTGGCTCTTTGTCGCTGCTTATATAAGCAAACCAACCCGCATGATTATGTATCCCGCCCTAGCTACATTTCAACTGTACAGTTGGGTCAGCACTGTATAGTGTATACTCATTTCCATAAGGATTGTTGTCAGTATAAACTGCGACAAAACAGGTTTCAGGTGGATGAATATATACTTCCCATAAACCTGTTAATGTCATGCTAGACTTCAGGTCCGGTTTTATGCATCAAAATGTAATATGCCGCGAGAACTAGATATCAGAATAATTCTCCTCCTTTTTCTGCTCCCCTCTTCATACACCAGCTATAAATTGCACGTTATGGCCAAGTTTGAAACAGATAAGAGATCAACCCAAAAACTACTGACTCCCAACTTGACATTGTCATACAAATCTTTTTTTGTTCCTTGATCAGCAAGATAGTTACTAGTGTGCAAAGAATGGTACAACCATGTCCCTCGGTACGCGAATGAGCTTTGGATGCGTAAAAATTGCAATGCTCGATATAGAAGCATCCAACAAGAGCCGCAAACAGTGTCTTGGCAATTACGTCAAAAGTGCCATTCGACTATTTTCACGAGAACAGGGAAGTTGAGTATATGATGTGCTACAAAGTTATTAGACTGTGGGTTCAATGAAATCGAGATTATAATAATACTCAAGAAATTGATGGATGAAGGGAAAAATTTGACGGAATGAGGGAGAAAAGACGAAACCTGACAAGTACTAGGCGCGTCTAATAAAATCGTGTATCTATTCCATACCATCTGTTCACTATACATGCGGCTCAGAAAAATGGAGTCGTGTTCTCAGTCTTTTGGGCGGGCCTGCATCCGGGAGCTTAGTCCAATTGTCATTCGACGAACAACTTTCAAACATCGCACTACTTTCCGTGCTTGCTGTAATGCCCGAGTCTCAGGCACCTTACATTCAATCTAAAGGCTGAGATTTTTGTAAATCACTACTGTATCAAGAGCCTATTGTTATCCTTCAAGTCAAAATTGCAACGGCAATTAGAATTTCAGAACCTCATCTATATCAAGAGTGACAATCTTTTAAACGAGCGCACTCGACTTGGCGTAATCCTGCAACGATGTCCAAACATGCAATATTTATTTACGCCAGTGCACCAGCACCGCATCGAGCTCAGTGTGGGCGACAGCCAAATCCAGTGGCCGATACATCCCTCTTCGACCCAGTAACGATCGATTAGCACCCCATACAAGCAACAAACTGCCATCTCAAAAACCAAGACCGTGATAATGCAACTTTCTATCCCCTTCCAATCTGTGTTGATCAAGGCTAAGACGATATCGCTTTGTTTTCGACGTAAATACAGGCTACACTGCAAAATTTGAAGCTTTTCAGTTCATTTATGATCCTCGTTTCGGCAGTTGTCTCGCTACTACGCAAAGTTCTACTCAAAATGCCAGCAAGGAGAAAATGTTGGAGCTGTATGATACTTCCATAGTGCACATGGGCGGACGGGCAAGCCATGCCATTGGAAGGCTCATTCAACAGCAAGGCCTTCCGTCGTTCTGACCAATTGATTACACGGACGAACTTAGAGAGATATGATACTACTAGTAGTTCATTCGGGATTTATCTATAAATTGTGTGACATACTTACGCTCAACATCTAGTATGATAGTAGTGGTAGTGGTAAATTTCTGGTATTGTATGTGATATCAGAAAGATGAAATCAAAGATGTACAGGGCCAGTATCAATACTAGTCGGAAGAATTATCTTAAATTACTAGACCTTCAACTTTAGACGGTTCTCATTACTATAAGCACATTCATTTTTTGCGTGTGGTTCGGTATATTCTACATAACACTTTTTTTATACAGGAAAATGCAATATGTTGTGTGGTTCCTTATGTTGGTTACGTCATTTACTACTCATTATGGTGGTATAACCAAGGAGGTCACTACACCAGCAGCTACGCAATTAAACTTAGCAAAAGATACACATATACAGTTTCTTACATCTATTGTAGGCTCCATCGATAGCAACAACGGTTGCTGTAGGCTATCAATTAAGCGAAAAATAATAAGAGTACATAATATAGCTATGATGCTACAAGTGCCACCATTTGCTGAAGAAGAGTGAATCTAACATGACCACACAGTTTGTTACATCTATTTAGTGCAGACTGTCTGTCACTCACTCCTTGAAGCTTTGTGAATCACGTACATATTTGTGTTATTGGCACTTATACAACTAGGGACTTTGTTTTAGTAGTTTGTGGCTCACCCAAACCACAAACAAGCATGCATTAATGACAGAAAATTAGGGTGTTGCACCAATGCTTACTAATACACGACCTGCTTATATGATTGTTTTCCACGCTCCATGCCCTAATCAATATGAGAACCCCACACGCTTTATCGGAGTGTGCCCCCACCGTTTAAAATAAATTCACGGCATGAAATAGCTGCACTAAACCAAAGACACTGTTTTGTTTTTTGCTGACTAAGTCTCACTACTTCTTTTTCCTTCACTTTCTTGATTCCAGCTTACACATTACTTTTCACAAGAAGAACAACAACAGCAAATCATGGTCGCTGCCATTCTCACAAATACACCTGCCCCTGGTTCGGGCTACAAGTATGCCCTCGAAGTCAAAGAATATACTGCACCTACACCACAGTCAGGTCAGGCCGTTGTCAAGATTCAGGCTGCTGCCTTTAACCATCGGTTCGTGTCATTGTAGTTGATTTACATTTGGCGAAGCTTTCAAACAGAAAAGGCATTTTGGAGGGAATTGCAGAATATAAAAGAAAAGGGGAAAGTGTGACGCTTTTTACTAATTAATTATGCAAACCATAGTGACGTTTGGATTTTGAAAGGGTTGTACCCGGGTATCAAGGAAGGCTCTGTTCTTGGCTCTGATTGTGTTGGTGTCCTTGCTGAGCCCGGATCGTCGTCGGTGGAAGCTGGCCAACGCGTGTTGATCTCACCTAGTGTCAACTGGGACTCGGATCCACGTGGTCCAGAAGGTGCATTCGGTATCCTTGGTCTCTTGCCATTCGCAGGTACATACGAAAAGATGGCGTTATCCGGATGCGTGTATGCCTGTGCGATAGTAAGGAGACTGGTTATATATTAATGGACGTTTCTTTTCGTTCTTTTCAGGCACATTGACAGACACAATCGTTATTGATGGCAAGGAGGTGTTCCCTTGTCCCGATCACCTCTCGACCAGCGAAGCTGCTGCATTGCCTCTTGCTGGTCTTACTGCTTTCAGGTGAAAGAAGAAGAAGGGTTGCGATGTGTTAATCCATTTTTCACACTGCTTACTCACGTTTTACATGTCCATTACCAGAGCGCTGTTTACCAAAGCCGAAGTCCGAAGCGGCGACCATGTCTTGATTCCTGGCATTGGCGGTGGTGTCGCACTGTTTGCTATGCAATTCGCCGTTGCAGCTGGTGCGCACGTCTATGTCACCTCATCCAGCGATGAAAAGATCCAAAAAGCCGTTTCTTTGGGTGCCAAGGGCGGTGTCAACTATAAAGATCGTAAGCATATATGCTCTCTGCCCACTATTTGAGATGAATGCAGGGCTTTCTTTTACCCTTGTTTCACAAAAGAAGAGGGATGCTAAACAATCCTTTTCTTTTCGATCATTATAGCGAATGCTGCCAAGGAGCTCAAGAAACAGTTGAATGGCAATATGCTGTCAGCGGTTGTGGATGGCTCTGGTGGTGCATTGTTCGATCAATACGTGCGTCTCATGAGACCCGGTGGTATCATTGCCCAGTATGGCCAGACCGCAAGCCCCAAGGGCGTTTCATACAGCATGATGTCTGTGCTCAAGAACGTGGATATCCGCGGCTCCACCATGGGCTCGCGCGCCGAGTTCAAGCAAATGTTGGAGTTCGTTAAAAGACACAAGATTAAGCCGATTGTCTCGCACGTCTTCCAAGGATTGACCCAGGAAAGCGTCAACAAGGCTATTTCTGTTATGGAGTAAGTGTTGCTATTGCGGGAATTTTCTGTTGCTTCTGTCTTAAGAGATCTATTTATAAAGTGTGAATGCTAAACAGTGCACCCCTCCCCCTTTTTATTTCTGTGCGTGATGTCTTATAGCAACGGCCAGCAAACGGGTAAAATTGTCATCGAAGTGACCGAAACCCCACGTCAAAAGCTCTAAATTAGTGGATATCACGTTGTATAGTTGTAATTTGCCAAAGCCCTTATACTTCAATATATGGATTAATTATTAGCCATGATGTCAAGCATGAATGTGTTGTGTTTGGCTTTTGCAGCATATGGCAATAGCCATGAAAGAAAGAGAGGACCCAGCCCAGAAAATGTTATGGCACCCTTCCAACTCCCCTAATGAAGCTTTTCTTGCTCTTCTCTCTCACTCTCTCCAAGCGATTGATTGCTTACATCTCCCCCTTATTTTACATTTTCTCTTGTCGTTCCGGCGCGTGCGTATGTCATATCCACATAGAAATAGAAACTCATAGCCCGCACCAGCACAACAACAACAACAACAACACTCTTTCACATACACACGCCGACCAGAAAATATCTTTTTCCTCGCTCTCCTTGTTCTTTTCCATTCCCACCTTTCTGTTTCTTCCGTGCTAATGATATCCCTGACCACCTTTTTGACAATTTACCTGCTTGGTGGATTGACCTTTATACCGCTGGTACTCTTGACACTATTTTATGTATACTCCTCCGATCCCCAATTGTCACTGTCGCCAGAGTCGTCGAACAGCAGCAAGGGCAGCAGCAAGTGCATTTATCCAGACGAAGAATACCAAGATTGCGATCCCGACCAAGGCAAGATTGGATGGATCCGTCTGACGAATCAACACGATGTGGCAATCTACTCTGGCCGCTTCCTGACGGCAGCTTCCAACAATAGCAACAACAGCAACAACAACAGTAGCAGTAACCATGGAAGCAGTGCCAGCAGTATCAGCAGTAACAATAGCAACGGCAACGGCAACGGCAACAGCAGCAATTCTAAAAAGCACAAGGATTTATGCTATGGCGTCCTCAAGCACGGCACATTGTTTGTGTATGAGTCAGACAAGATGCTAGAATGTAAGATGATTATTCCTGTACACGACTTTTCAGTGTCAATATATCCCGAAGACAAACGCGACCCTGAGCTTTTCAACAAGTCAACGGCTATTCGGCTGCGTCCCAAACATCTCCGCAGAAAAGCCAAGACAATCAACAGCAGCAAAAACAGCAGCAGCCATACCCTCAGCAAAGCCAAGACGGACACGAACCTACTGGACGCTAGAAAGGAACAGCAGGAGGGAAGGGAAAAGGACAGTTGGTCATTAGACCAGGACTTCTATCTGTACTGTGGCCGGGCCATTGACAAGGAAGACTGGTATTTCGCATTGATCAGCGCATCGAACTTCATGGCCGACTCGCCCACGTTGAACTCGAAGCAGTTCGACATGGACGCCATGCAGAATCTGATCAGAAATATCCATCACGACCCGTCCAGTCGCCAGATGCAATGGATGAATGCCATTTTGGGAAGAGTTTTCTTGGGCATGTACAAGACCGACAAGGTGCACAAGTTCTTCGAGCAGAAAATCACGAAAAAAGTCAGCAAGATGAAACGCCCCATGTTTATCGATGCCATTGCGGTCCACCGTGTCCAAGTCGGCCATGCGATCCCCTACTTGAACAATCCCAAACTGCTGTCGCTTTCGCTCGACGGCAGTTTAACAGCCGAAGCGCAGGTCGACTATGAAGGTGGTCTGTGCGTGGAAATCGAGACGGGGTTTCTATGGTCGTACTCATCCCGGATGAAACCCATCCGTGTCAATTTGATCCTGTCCGTCACACTCAAAAAATTGAGCGGCAGGTTCATGTTCAAAATCAAGGCGCCGCCAACAAACCGCTACTGGATTGGATTTTATGAGCCTCCTGTGATGGACCTGGTCATCAAGCCTATCGTGTCAGATAAGCAGATCAAGCTCCAGGTAGTAACAAACGCCATCGAATCCAAGATCCGTGAGGTGATTGCTGAGACCATGGTGTTGCCCAACATGGACGATTTTGTGTTTTGCGACTCGGACGGCAAAGGTGGAATGTTTGATGATGGGGTGCTGTCTCCACCGTCAACTCCACCGGTAGAATCCCCTTCACCTCCTCCTGCTACTGCTGCACCATCTCGACAACAACAACAACACCCTCCAGCAAGTGCAAAAAGCGAACCAGCATTTCATCATGAAAAATCATCGTCATCAAAATCATCATCACGTCATTCATCTTCCGCATCATCACCACCAGCACCACGCACGTCAGAATCCATGCCACCGTCTGTCCGTCGTGCAGATTCAGCGAAATCAGCCGAGCATCTCTCAGTCCAGCCTACTGAGGTATCAAAATCATCCCCGGACCTGCTCTCTGGAAGACAATCCGATTCCGCTGCTGCCAAGGAAGGGGGAGAGACGGCATCACTTGTGTCCCATGATTCGAGCGACTCATCATCATCAGCGCCATCATCCTCGAATCGATGGCCAACATATATGAGCCTGCGACGGAAAAAGAAAGAATCGGATAACGCTTCAATCATGTCTGAAAGGAACAACAGCAACAATGACGATGATAGTAGCATCAGTCAGCTCGACGACAACGGCCATAGCTCGTCTGCAGCGCCTTCAGTGCGGTCGGTTGGATCATCCAGACGCAGCTTCTTGTCCAAGTTAAAGTCCGAAATTAGCGAAGAGATGCGTTCAGGTGAACGCAAACCGCTTTACCAAAAGGCAGAGAATATTTGGCAGCGGAGCAAAGAAGTGACTCGAGAATACCGCGAGCAGGGTTTACCGGAACAGCAGCCGCAGGATCAGCAGCAACAGGAACAGCCAAGGAAGGAAGGAAGCATCCATAGCATCCGTGATACCGATAATCATAGCAGTAGCAGTAGCAGTAGCAGTACTGCTTCTTGTGTCCAAGAGAGGCAGCAGCAGCAGCAGCAGCAGCAAGAGGAAGACAATTCACAAAAGGAGGCGGAGCAGCAACCAGAAGTATTAGAGGAACATACCCGGATTAGTAAAAAGCCACCGCCACCTCCACCAAAACCAGCTCGTGCACGACAACTTTCATTGGCCTCCAAAGAAGAGAACCGGCCTCCACTTCCACCACGAGCAGCAGCAGTAACAGCACCGCCCGCAGTTGCTCAACAACACGATGAGCACACAAGTGATAGTGATAGCCGCGGATCCAAAGAGGACGATCCATCTGTACACACTGAAGCGCCACCGTCAGCAACCGCAACAACACAGTGCAAGACACCTCCAGCACCTCCTCCGAGGAAATCAGCAGCGGTTGTTCCGCCCTTGCCACCCCGTGCTTCGCCGCGACCTGCGCACAACCATCTGGAAGCTGCTTCTCAGCAGATATGACAATATAAATAAACCAATTTCTCAACCTGTTTTTCTTCCTAATTTTTTTCCTTCTGTTTCCAAGATGTTCTTTTCTTCTTTGTTGTTCTATCTCCTTATTGTTACTGACTGCAACAGTTTGCTGAAATAAACTACTCTACGAGCCAAAGAATGTATTTCAAAATACCTACCGCGGAGCAACGGCGGCAACAACAGCAATCACGCCTCCAGCAACAACCAGAAAACATCGGTTCATCACCGTCTTCTTCTTCTTCTTCTTCGTCCTCCTCCCCGTCATCCCAACTGCCAGTTCTAAATGCGACAACCACCACTACAAGATCAACAATTCTTCAGCACACACCGCAGTCGTCGGACGGATTGATGGGCAATAGTCTGCAAGAGAGATATTGTCCAATATTGAAAGGCACAGGGATTCACCGCCTATTTTGACACCGGAAACAATGTCCTTTGTGTTTAGTGGCACGGGTGGTTCCTCGTTGACAAAAGCAGCGACAACTACGGCGGCGGTCGCTGCCACTGCAAGCACAAGTACTACAACAGAAGGAGCACCAGAAGCAACAGTAACAGGAACGCAAACTCTTTGTGAGATCGAACGAGTAAATATGATACTTCTTTTGATGATAGATAAAAGTACCTCACCACTTACATTAAAGCGCTGACTTTCCTTACAATGTACTCATCAGCACGTAATGCTACTTTTTTTCACATATGGGATATCATAGAAACGATTGGTCCAACGGTTGATGAAAGAATTATGCAGGTAAGCACATGACATATACAAGCAACAACCATAACCAACCTTAAATCGAGACAACGAATTAAACATGCTTATTGTGTAACGACAAACAGGGGCTTACAATGTGCGAATATGGAACATCTCGCTCTGCAATTAAGGGTACGCAAACAACTTGGAACCTCTAGACTACAAATTGGTCTTCTCTCGCTCCCATCGTTATTAATATTGTTTACTAAACTGTTGGAAAAATGGTTGACATAAGAATGATCCAAAACTTGGTGACGAAGAAACAGGTGCCGATGCGTTGCTTTGCGGTCTGGTGGAGTTCTTTAAACAATTCAACAACAGCAGCAACAGCAGCAGCATTGATACAATAAGCAATTGATTTTTTTTAGTAGCAGTAGTAAATGATTATAAAAGCTATTACATTGGAAAACGTCAGCAAGATAGAACGTGAGGATACAAAAAAGCTTTAATTTTTATGTTTTTATATCTATACATCTTTTCTTTTGTTTTTTTATGAGGCGTGATTGTTTAAGTGAAGTGTTTAAACAAAAGGCTCAAGGTTAAATTCAAGGACAGTGGCGGGATGAGTTAATTCAAAGTTGTTGAGGACCTCAGGGTGAAGCACGCCGAAGGAACCAATCACAAGTTCCTTGCGTTCGCCCTGCTCGGTTAAATAGCGCAAGTGGATATCTGCAGAACGGCCAGGGAAATATGTGGCGTCTATATATCACAAGAGATAAAAGGGCCGATCATCAGGTCAGCATGTAAAGCGTATCCAATATCCCTCTACTAAACAACACAGTACAGCAACTTACGTTCAGATTCCACAATCCAGTAACCCAGTTCCTTGCTAGTTTTAGAGATAAGCTTGGTGCTGAGCATTTCCATCATGCGGTTAAGCAGACCATGGATGACTTCGAAACCAGAAGTCTTGGACATGTAAGCAGCGCACACATGGCGTTCATTACGTGTTCTACGTTCACGCGATTCATCCTTCAAGCCAATATCCGACACCTCAAAGACCTTGATAGGCAGAGGCAACTTCTTGTTATTGTTGATAGTCTTGAGCACACCAGGCAAAAGCGAAGTGCGAACGACTTGGTATTCAATCGTCTTTGGGTTAGCTAACTTGATAGCAGTCGTGCCATCATCCTTGCGGTTCAAAAACTTGAAGTTTTCGTCGTGCGAGCATAGAATGAGAGGTGCAACTTCAGTGAAGCCCGCCATAGCCAACTCACGACGAGCATGGTCCGCCAATTTATTCACCGGCAACGCAGAGCCAAAGGTGGTGACACCAGGCATTTTCTTTGGCAAGTTGTCGTAGCCGTATGAGATGCAAACGTCTTCCATGATATCGGCTGCATGCAAAATGTCCCAACGCGTTGGGGGAACGTCCACAAGTACTTCGTTGGTGTCGCTAGGGTTGATCTCGGCTTCCAAACTCATCTTTTCCAACAATCGACAAATGTCATCACCGCTCAGGTCCAAGGCAGCACATGAGTTGATGTAGTCTACCTTGGCAGTGGCGCGCCAGGACTCAATCTTTGGCATCTGCTTAACAGCACCATCGGGATATACGATCTCTACAGGTTCGACACTACAGATACCCCTCACAGTTATTATCGGATCCCCTCTTTTGTCATCTTGTCTTAGTAGCCAGCAATAGAAATTGCTACTCACGTGAAGGGCTTGGCGCAGTATTGAGAGAACATGGCAACCAAGGTGTTGAGAACAATGGTGGCTTTGTGCTCGTCAGTGGCTGTGATTTCGATAAAGACGTTCTTTGTGGTCAATTTGATCTTTGAGTGTTCAGAGTTGATGATAGGAGGAAGCGAGCAGACAGTGCGGTTGGCATCGTATACGACAGGATAGACAGGTGAGTCGCGAATGATATGAAGGTAGCGACCCAAATTCTTGTCGTTCTGTATTTGTTTGTCGATATATATTAGGACCCAAAAGTTACATACTAAACTGATCACCTTTTTACCATACTCTCGCCACACCTCTGTACCCTTTCCCTGTAACTCCAAATGCCATATACCTCATAGAACTCCATCAATGAATCGCCATCCAACTCCACAGTCTGGTTAAGAGGAACAAATTTGATATCCTTGTGTGGCAGTGCTTCGTATGTGAAGGGACCTTGAATAGTATCTAGATCATGTGTACCCATCGAAGCAAGCGTGCGTTTTCTAAACTCGACCTCATTTAGCATATAGCCCTTCTCAATTGCAAGTATGATATATAAAATCGCTATTACTGCAACTCCATTTACCGGCAAATGTTGTTGTGGAGCTTATCTTGGAGATCAATGAAGCTGTCATAGCTTGCTTGAGTGAAAGTAATGTCGCGAAGAATAGCGGCGACAATAGCAGGACGGATTTGAGCGGTCTGTTTATTGGTAAGATACGGTTAATGTCAACTATCTTTATTACACAGCTCCTCCATTATTCATACCTCTGGCTTAACAATGACTTGTTCCAATTTGCCACTGGCGGGCTTGACAAGCTTGTACGCTGGTGGTTTGCACTTGCCTTCAAACACACGCAAAGCCTGTGCAAGACCTTCTTCGCACAACAAATCATATCTATTTTATGAATAGATGTCAGTTTCGCTCGTCTTTGTGTATGTCACTTGTAGCAATAGTAATTCCAATTTCGCCATTTCCACTTTTCGAAACATTCTAACCTGTTGGCAGGGATATCAATCTTGAGCTGAGCACGTTCACCTTCACCCTTTTCCGAGGGATCGTTTTCCGAGGTCTTTACACAAATTCAGTGGAAAGCGATTAGACTTTTGTTTCTAATTTTCGAAATCGTAAACGAGTCTATCTTTTTCGTTCTTACGTCTTCCTCGAGTTCGATACCGAAACGGAAGCAGAGTTCATTGAACTCCTCGGAAGCTAATATAAAGGTCATGTCGTATTAAATATCTGAAGGCATAATATTTCCATTTCTTCCAATATCCGTCCTGCCAAATGAAATAAAAAAACCCAATTTTTCCAAGAAACGTACTGTACTCTCTTTCTAATGCCTCAAAGAGGCGCTGCTTGTCGACGGTAACGATGGGCATGAGGCGTGTTTCAAGGGCAACTTGTCGTGTTCTCAAATATCCCGCTCCAGAAATCACTCCAATATAGGAAGGGGAGGAGTAGATCCGGGTGGCTTGGAAGACTATGACACATCCTGTGGGATATCTTTGACATGCGCCCTTCGCCACTACAATCCTCGCATAAATTACCCCTTCATGCAACAGCAGTAAAATCATATAAAAAATTTCAGAGTTCACAAGGAAGATGCACTACTATAATACTTTGATACAAGAATCCTCCTGTAGTACTGCTATGATACAGTACCATTAGCAGTACCGACCAAATTATGTTCTAGGCGGGACAGCTGCAACAACACAGCTTATACAAAGTTAGTCCTGACAATGGTGTTTGTAGGTATTATGGCTTAAATTGTTAGCGCATATATTCGGCTCGTTTGACCACAAATTCTAGATGTTACACTATCAACGAGTTGTAGATTTTTCAATTGCTTATATCAATCTTCTTGCGGATCAAATATAAAACTGATCACACAGTTCCATGATGATACTCGACAGCTAAACACATTCGTACAGCTGATGCTGCAGCGGCATGTAGTAATGATACGTGCAAAAGAGACAACTTTATTGAAAACAAAAGTTGTACAAGAGGAAACAAGGGAGATCCATAATTCGAACATTGTTGCACTACATAAATGATCATTTTGGGATAGTTATAGACAATACTGCCTACAGTAAATCTCTCCCACTTTATGTTAGTCCTCGGTTGTTTCAAGATTTTTCAGAAACCTTTTGAGGTTGCATTCTAAGTAGGGAATCACTGCAGGTTACACGTGGATGCGCCGGCCCTGTGTCGTTGTAAAATCACAAATGTAATATATTCTGCTTCTTGCCCTATTGCCCTCTTTGCTGCTTGTGGTAGTACGTACATTCTGATGATGCGTTTGACAACGAAGTAGTTGGTAGGATCCGAAGCTTTGCTTTCCCTGCTATATTGGCGACATATTTTGCACAATGAAAGTATGATGATCATCAGTATTGATTCTGTCGACTATCTATGATTTTAAGCCACAAGAATCCATGCAAGTGCGCAAATTTGTCAAGGAAACAGAGATAATTGTGTTGAATGAAAGTTGGGGCCATGTCGTTTTTGATGGCTTTTTCCGCAATCGGTGAACAAGGTCTCTCTCCAACGGCTTTTGCTGTTCGAGCCATACAATGTATTGAACTAGTTTTACGTCTATGTGATCAAGACCGACGCATTTTTTGCAGCTTGGCACGGCGATGTGATCGTCAGATCACCGTACTTCTTTGTCGCCACCTTGTCAGAATTACATATCTATTTGTATGTCTAAAGAAAAAAAACCATTAAATGTCTTTATACAGTCATATAACCGTACTCAGATATGATATATGAAAGGTATATGAGTATTTTTCAAGTAATTTGTGAGGATAAGGCGATCAATGCCGCGACCATATTTATCGAGAGCTTTTCGAATTACTGTAAGTAGTTAAAATATTGTATTTCTAGCGAGTTTAATATGACCAATCACTGTTTTGGCTTGCAGTGTAAATTTCAAGCATCTCGGCCGATTTGCAAAAACATGAGCCAACTTGATTATCCTACTATTCACTACACATTTATACGGCTCTCTGAAGCAAACAGTTTTTCGATTCAAAGTATATCTAGTTCGTTATGCATATCGCATACAAAGCTACTACTCGTACTACGACGATGTTATCTACGGTTGGCTAGGTACCGCTACTTATGCAGATATATACTGAGCTCTAAGCTCACTTGATCCATTGTGCTACGGACGACCTCTCGTGTCTAATGAAAAAGGAACTGTGGTACATCTGACGCATATACGTATAAACATTAGCTCAGACAAGAGCAGTAGAAGAATAGCGTCATGAAGATCGTATCTGTTTCTTCCATTAGTTAAGACGAACTGGTGAGAAGCACACTAGGCCAAGAAGGCCAAAATCCTAAAAAAAGACTTTGGCGGAGTCGGCCCATCGTAATGTAATATATGTTTCAGGCACCTACGAAAGAGGCGAGGCTCAACAAAGCTCTTTTCACCACCTTCCTTTTTCCTAGTAACAAAATATATCTTTTCTGTTTCGCGAGTTGCACTACTTCCTTTTTCTCGTCGCCAAAAGTGATTTCGGAACAGGATTTACATTGTGCGAATGGGTGCACCCGAGCAGCATAGATTCCGCCCTACTTCAGCACCTGTTCTGCCACCACCATGTTACAATGATGCTGCTGCTGCTGCTACTACTACTACTGCTGCCTCCCACAGCAATGAGGCCAATATTCATAATGGCAATAGCAGTTACTATCAGCAACCACCACCTGCATACCATCAAGTTCCTGGATATCCCTACAGCCCTGCATCCTCCTCTTATCAGCCGCATTATCAACAACATGGAGGCAAGCTTATATTTTTTTCGCTTTATAAGCGTACCAAGAAAGCGCATGAACTCATCCAACAATTCGTATATACAGTGTACTATTATCAACCGACCCCTCCTCCACAAACAGTAATAGTTCAACAAACACAGAGCCGGACAGACGATGCCTGCTGTTGGGGATGGTAATAATACTTTCTTGGACAATATGTCGATATATTCGGTCTCGTGAATAATTATGCAAAGTACTTATTAAAAAAGACGTATACATTGTTATCGGCAATCCTGTTTATATCTAGCTTGGCTGCTTTATGTCTCTGCTTTGCTGCCGAAGAATGTTGCTGAGCTCAGTACATGTCATACGTATTTCTTAGAATAAACTGTGCTCAAATGAGCATTTCGGCACGTTCTACCCTATTTTTTTTTTCTCTTGGCCATGAGAGGAGTTACGCGGCGCACAAACACCTATTGTCACGTTTTTCCACGTGTGACCAACATCATCGTCGATCCCTTTTTTCTGTGTCGGACTCACTTTTTCCTTTTTTATTAGCACTAGGATGGTACTTGTACATGAGCATTTCACTTGTATTTCCCGTTGCTAGACTCATGTTTCCATTCAAAGAAATCACACTGGTATTCGTTTGTTGCCGATTGTTCGTTCGATCCAAAAGGCCTATTAGATAAGCTCTAGATTAGACCAACACAGGATAATCAGTCAAATAGAGAAAAGTAACACACAGTACTTGCCTGGAGCAAACATAAAACTTTCTTCCCTGATTGGGCCCTTTCTTTGTTACTGTCTTTAGCTTACACGGTTCTTTGTGTACCGTGCATAGCGGTACTGCTTTGGGCGTGAACAATGAGTTCCACGACTGCTTTGAAACCTGTCGCTCCTTGGCTTCATTCATCAGAGTTTCCAGATCGACAGTTTCGTTACCGTCGACTTTATCGTTTGCTCCTTTAGCCGAAGTTACTGCTGTTGCTGCTGATAGTGGTGGCGGTGATGATGATGACGGTGGTGCTTCCTTTACCAAGTTGGTGCCAATACCGCCTTCATTATCACGGCTTATCCTGTGGCCGCCCCCACCACCACCAAAATATGACTGTAACAGTTTTTGTCCTTTCTTAGGCGATGGATGCTGAGCTGTTGACTTTCTTTTTGATGAAATAGTGTTTGGTGGCACGACAACTGTGGATTTTTGCGGGGTTGATGTTACTGCTACTGTTGTTGTTGTTGCAGTAGTACTACTCATGACAGGATTGACACTAGCATTGTTGCTGGGGCTAGTGGTCGGTACTGGTGAAGCTGCTGTTGTAGTTGCTCCGGGTTCTTTGCCAAACCAGCTCATTAGCTTTTTCTGCTTGTCAGAAAATTCTTCGTAGTTTCGTGCGAAAAGGGCAGATGGTTCGACACTTTCGGATTTCAGCCTATCTTCGATTCTTGTTAATATGCCCTGCTTGTCTTGTACTTGCTCGTGGAAATCAGCATAGACTGGACAATGATCAGAACCCAATATATCCGGCCGGATATCAGCAGCTTTGAACCATTCTTCCAGTCCTGTTGACGCAAGAACATAATCAATCCGCGTGCCTATCCAAAAGATTGGACCCGGTTAGCCATAGTTTTATAGCGATCTCTTTCAGTTGAAGTGCGGATCAGGTTCCTCCACAGTCTTACCATAGTTTGCCGGTCTAGTTCACACAAGTCAAGAGATGAGATTGAAGGAAATGTATCAATATGGAAACATCCTTCCAAGTTGGTCAAAGTGAGTCCGGTCCTACCTTGAGTTCAATCGCATATTCCAGCCTAGTACATTAGAACAAAGTGAGTAAAGCAAGAAATTGACATGATACAACGAATCAACCACTACCACAAAACTTACAGGTGAACATGCCTCGCCGCTCTGGATGATATTCTCGACATACATCAACCAGCGGCCCTTTCGGCACGATAATCTGATCGAGCCACGCCCGATGCGGCAGTGCCTTGAAATCAGTAATTTCATGCTCCTTCATGCTCTTTTTAGGGTCACAATGGTCGATTTCTTCATGCACCGCATTGATATCGCCCACAAGCACAACTTGTTTTCCCTGCTTCAAATAATCATCGATCCGTCGACGCACACAGCGATGGTAGTCCATTTTGAAATCACGACGGGCCTCGCTGGCATCGTTTGGAAAATAAATGTTGAAAAGGATAAATGCGTTGAAATCCATAATGATGCACCGTCCTTCGGCGTCCAGCGCCCGAGCATCCGTCGACAGCGTCTCTAGAAATGGCTCGAAATCCGGATCGTGTGTGCGGGCGTTCAGCACGCCAGTAATACCCTCCTCAGTCCACCGGGGCTGTAGTGGTTGCTTGACATAGACGGCTACGCCAGAATATCCTAGTTTTACTTTCGAAAAGGAGAAATACGCGTCAAACCCAGGGACGAGAGCCATGTCGCGTGTTAACTTTGATCGTTGGCATTTAATTTCTTGTAGACTGTATGTAATTATAAAGGTCAACCAATCGAGTTTAAACGGGTTCTCTGCATGATTACTTAGAATAAGGAAACACGCGATTGTTTTCACAACAACTTGCCATATTATATCAGCTTCCAACGCGTTTAATAGATTCTAAAAGACACCCAGTTTGATCGTTTAGATCGTTTTAAAATCGTTGCCGAAAGGATATTGTCGATTGACATTGCTGGTTACCTCGTATGATTTGGTATCGGACCATGGGTGGTAGTGAAGCGTTGTTGAAAGGCCGTTAATATTCCATGTCAAGATCCTCATGGCACCATACTGTGAGTGAAATAAAGGAAGGGTCGGCGTTTTTTTTTCTTTTTCGCTGTGCACCCCCAGCTCTGCTACGAACCATTGGTTTTCTCAATAATATCATTAGTTCAATACATTTTAATAGATAAACTACAGCTTTACTTTGATACAGCTAAGCTAGACACTCTGCTGGATCTACTAGCATGAATTTTCCGCTTCGACCTCGAAGGCGCTTTTATAAATGCTCACTCCACTGCTGGGGAAAGTAAGGTTGAGGCAAAAAGTTTAAAGGCATCGCTTTTTGTACCAAGTCGTACCAAGTCGTGTAGTTGCCTGTATGACAGGTGCTGGTGACGGTTTTCCTAAAAGATAATCTCTCGTTTCACTATACCATGGATCTTCTGAACAAGCGATTGACTATATTTATGCAACTCATGTACACGTGCTATATGCATAACAAACGGATTGCTTCTCGTCGCGTCTAATTTAGCACAGACTGACTATGCAGCCCAGAGTTATGTATACACTCACTTGGGTATTTCATAACTTTATTACACAAACACGCATAGAAAGCAAAAAACACTTTCTTCAGAGGAACTCAGTACATTTTCTCAATATCGAAGCATGCTATAGAGCTCTACGATACATCATTTTTCAGCGTAAGCTAAGGGCAAGTGGTCGGACACTTTTACAATTTGTGAAGCCTTAATTCGGTTTATTCAATCCATTTAGATGATGAGCGGTCAGAGGGAGGGGTGCGGAGAACACTTATTTCCACGCACATTACCAGCGTATGTTACACTAGGTTCTCGGTTTACTTGGGTCGACCATATATCATGTGATCCTGTCCTGGACAAGTTTCCCACAGCAATTTTCTTGTATCTGACGTAGCACAATGCGGATCTAGCATCATCTCAGAAACATTGAGCTTGTGGCATAAGCAAGCCAAGTTTAAAAAGAAATAGACAAGGAGGATACAACAGTTTACTACTAGACGCTTTTATATTCATTTACAAGCAAGATGATCATGGTAATTTGTTTTACCGGTATTACTAGATACGTTTTATGTCCGCAATGAACGGCGGTAGACGAAGAGAAGACAAGGTGAACGAATGATTCTGAAGAAAGCTTTTTGTTACATGAGTTGTCGATTGCATAATTATCGTGCGCTAGCTTGTATCGACATCCGGCATATCCCCTTTGGGTTATACTAGATTGGTGAGCTGGAGAAGGAAGGAAGGAAGGAAGGAAGGAAGGAAGGAAGAGGACGAATTCAAACAGCAGCATCCATACAAAGTTTTTTAAAGAGTGTGTGGAGAACACCATATTTGGATGCATTACTATCGCGTCAGCTTCTTTATGTGATTGTGCCCTTTGTGCTTCCGTATGCTTGCCTCCTGTTCTATCGTACGTGCTTGTGTAGTGAATCGTTGTTCAACTTATACATATTTAAAAAAGCCATATACTGAATGTTTATTGTCACCTGTGATTATGCTTTGTTATGGCTATTGAATAATATGCCAATAACGAAGAAAACGCTAAGGATAGAGAATGGTCTGTCTCTGTCACTTGACCCTTTTCTTTCGTGAGCACAACATCCAAACATTAACTCCGCGGTGTGTGTGTGTGTGTGTGTGTGTGTGAGAGGCGAGCGTGTGTGTGTAAAAATTGAGGGAAGAAGCTATCCTTCTTTTTTTCATACAGCTCTTTTCTTTTTTTATTTACTGAGGAAAACGACACGAAAGAAACACACTCATTATTGGAAATAATTCGATCGATGAGACAAGCATCGCTCAACGAAGAACTCGAATCCATCACTCGAGATTATGATTATGGTAATGTCCTAATTACCTTTCTTTCTTCCTTCTCAAATGAAACAAGTCGTGGAGATCGCCGTTTTTGCCACTGTCACCATAGAGAAAACTGAAGGCCAAGTGGTGTATTCGATTATGTTACATGTGCATAGGTATCGTCCCTGGGTCAGCCACTATCTTTGTTCTCGATGAGATAGAAAATTTGGGTCGGCTGGATCTGACGCTTTTGGAAGGTGTCATGATTGTCGTGGAAGTGAATAGTCAAGGATATAAGGTAATTACGCATGGAGGGCAAACTAGCTCCTTTGCTAGGAGTAGTTGATAGCATGTACCAGGTGATGGGTTGTTCTTTAGGCGGTGGTTCCGCAGCAAGCCGCCTCATCTACTGCTTACCCCATCTCCCACGCCTCAATTAATGCTTACCTTTGAACTATTTGCCGGTATACAAATTGCAGATCACGTCACATTCTCCACTGTATAGTGGCGCATCGGCTTTGGCAACGACACAATCCATTCTAGCACACATCAACCAACCGTTTGAAACCATGGAGAACCTGCTTATGACCGTCTCGCCCATGTTTTGCCAACGATTCCAAGAAGTTCTGTACGAGAAATTGCAAAGCGTCAACCAATCGCAACAGCAAGATGGCACTGGACATTCGCAGCAACATCAGCAACCATCATCGTCACCTTCTTCGTATTCCAACAGCAATAATAACGACCACAACAACAGCAGAAGTAGCACCAGTGATTCTAATATGTTATCTTCAACGTCTTTTAACCCACATCTTCCATCTTCGTCTTCTCCATCCACCAATCCACCTTTACATAACTCTACTACCGGTCCCAACAGCACGACTGATGCGCGGGATAACTGGATTCGTTAATACCCTAACCCCCCCTCCCATCCCATCCCTCACCCACGCCTTTTAACCTCATTGTGGCCGCGACCCGGCCCGTTTGACTCGGTAGCCTGTTGTTGCTCTTTTTACTTTTTGGGATCCCCTCTTGTCCTTTTGCCTCCCCCCTTAGCACGTCTCAAATAACTACTTATTATCTCTCTATTTCCATGACGAGCCCACCTCAATGCATCCAGCATCTTTCTTTTTGACAGCTTAGCAACTAAGCAAAAGAATATGTATTATTTACTTTAATTCTAACTTTATATATGTGTATAATTATACGTGCGTGCATACGTATAATAGGAAAATGAGAGGAGGAACAATGGTAGAAAAAGAGAACGGAAAATGGGTGCCATTTTTTTTGTTACAATAAATGAAAAAATCTAAAAGAAACTCTTCCAGGTGCCAGTGATAGCCATAAACAAGGATATAACGATCAAGAAATAACTCATTACTTTCCGTGGCATAGACATGGTGTGCTGGAAAAGTTTCAAATGACAGGCAAGTGGGAACAATGCACTGATGATGAATGCGAACAACGCACCGAGCAATCCCATTACCTTGTCAAAGCCAGGTACCACATAGGCGATCAGTACAATCATAGCGCTTACCATCACTGTACCAGTCACTGTAATCATCCGTACACGCCACTGAGAGCCAGCACACCATACTTCAATGCTTGGGTGTCTCAACAGGGCTATCTGCCATGTCAGGTTCACAGGTGCCATGGATAAACCGTATTTTGCGACAGGGTTCAGTGCCATCAGCCACAGAACAAACAGATTCACGACTCGGTTGTATTCTGGAATGGATATAAGGTTTTGGGTGATCTAATGGATGCCAATCAATAGTGTATCAATTAGTATGTATGTATAATAAGCATGCCCAATACTACATAGTTCATTCAATGCAGTGCTTACCTCTTCAAGGGTATCTAGACCAAACATCATGTATCCGGCAGCAGCAATGAAAAAGTAGACAATGGCTGTACACACATAGGTCCAGTCGACGACTGCTTTGTAATCCTTCGGATCCTCCATGTCGCGATAGATGGTGGGGAAGACAGAATGTCCAGCAAAGCCAGCCATGATCAAGCCGAAACTTAGTGGGACTGCAGTCCAATCGGATGGGAACAATTCGGTTTCCTATTTGTTTTTTTTTTTTTTTTTTTGGATGTAAATGTTGAGATAAAGTTGGATAGATGGATTTAAAAAAAACTCGTATTCTAGACTTACTGCTGGCTCGATTAAGCTGCCAGGTGCGTCTGGTTTTGAAAACCCGTCAAATAGCAAGATGAAAAGAATACTCAAGGCAATCACAATACCAAGTAAGCTTGCGTAGGACAGGTGGCGTACAGGTACAAACAACATGGGCGTCAAAACGCAGAAGGATGCCACATTAAGGAAAATGGGATTCAGGCCGGGGAACAGAGCATTGATTTCGTCGCTCATGAATACGACCAATGCCACGCTATAACGTTATGCATTCAAATCGTTAATACATTCATTCTCTTTACGCCAGATCACTATGCTTTACGTTACCTTACTGCAATGAGCTCCACTACGAAGAATGCAGATACCATGACACGGCCCTTTGTTCCAAATGCAGCAGCGCCAATATCGCCGTATGTTTGTGATCCTTGTTTCTGATCCAGACATTCTGCCAGTATTTTTGCAGTGTAGTTGGTCACGCCAAAACAAAATACAAACACAACAATGCCTATAACCCAGCCAGCAAGCTATTGTAGCAAGTGGTCCGTGCGCACAAATGAGTAACAATAACACAAACAACTCAACGCCCCCCCCCCCGCCCCCCGCACGCGTATGAGCCTTCTTCCGACCGATCTATGAAACCCGTCCGTCATCCGCCCAGTCCAACTCCTATCCAAACAAAAACAAATCATACCCTGAAACCTAAAGGCATTGCCAAAATTCCAATGCCCAGCAAGATATTGGTAGAATTGAATACAGATTGCAGAAACGAGGACCTAGGAATAGACTTTTTCGAGAATTCGTTGAGTGTCGAGCCGTCATCCGCTTTGCTTGTACTTCGCGTCAATACAGCATCGACGTAGCCAGCACCTCCGTCGGGATATGACAGCAATGAAGATCGTTCGTCAGGTGCTCCCGTCGTGGAATCCATGCCTAGTTGAGAGTAATAGGATCGGCAATCTGCATCTGGACCTGAAAACGAATAGCTACTGGAAAAACAAATGAGTCAGAAGGCATGCGTATATGATGCTGATGATGTCTTGAGGTCAAATCTTATCCCGTCCTTTCGTGCACTAACGCTTCCCTCCCTACCCCCCCTTCTTGTCCGGCTCAATATTCGCCCATCCAACTGCCTCTCATGTTTTTTTTTTTTTGCCTCTTCTCGCGACCCCTGATTTGGCTATATTGCTTAGCAGAAATACAAAAGACTGATGACACAACATACGTGTTGCTAGGATAGTACAGGTCCGAATGTATGGATGTCTTGTCCACATGGTGCTGTGGCTGTTGTTCCTCGTCTTGTGGTAGTTGCTGTGATGTTGCATATAAGCAAATGTTTACAGCTTGTGTGAGAAAGCATAGTCGTCGTTTTGCGAGTGATACCAACAAGTCATTCATTGATTACTTTACCAAGTAGCCTTTATCGGCAGCAGGAGAAGTCGACGTGATAGGTATATTTTCGGCCATGTAGGCCAGCGATGTGCGAGTATAGGAGCCAACAAGAGACCCTATCTGTTCACTGAACGATCGGGAAGCCGGTGGTGCTCGAGATGATCCAGCAGCAGGAAAAGCGTCTACAGTATCATCGTTGTTGTTGCTGTTGGATTGATAGGACGACCCGCAGCGGTTCGTTCGATCGTCTTGCTCGTCATGGTCCAGGATCATGGCAGACTGTGATCTCGAATGCGGAATGTCCATTGAAGGAAACAAGTCAAGGAAAGGGAAAAGAAACGAAAAGAGAAAGCTAGAAAATTAAAGAAGAAGAAGAAGAAGAAAGGGTTCGTTTATAGTTTCAAAAAAAGAAGACTCGTCTGGTTTTTATTTAGTTTTTTTTTTTTTTTACTTTTGTGCGTTTGGTGTTGTTTGTCTTGTTTGTTGAGCAGAACAGCCCTCTTTCCCTTCTTTTACCATCCCCCAGCTCTACTGCCTAACGCTTTGTTCATCCGCTATTATCCGCAACGTTTGCGTAACCTTTGCCTTTACGGACTCTACATTTTGAACGTTAGAGATAACCGGAGTTAATCCTTGTGTCAAAACACGGTGTCATTGGGGGGCGAAACGAAACAGGCACCAATGGATTACGCTCTCATCATACCCATTTCACGGACAGCTGCTTCATAGTCCTCGTTCGCTGCCTTGTTTTGTTCTTCTAGATCTTCCAGTGTCCGGATCTAAAAAGGCCAAACGGAAACGACAGAAAACATCAGCATCCATTGAACGATACCGTACCATCCCACTCTCTCCGCTTGAACCCAAATGCAAACACGGTTTCCCTCCCCGCTTCTGCTCTCTCTCTCTCTCTCCCCCTTTCCCCCATCCCAGGACGTGTGTGTGGGAAAAATAGTTGTTCACCTGCTCCTCTTCTGAATTGTTGATCCCTGGCAGCACTTCGATCAACGCGTCAATTTCTTTTGCCTTTTTCACCAAGTCCGTCGCTAATTCGTGCATATTTTCTATTCCATGTCCCCCATATCAAAAACCACATGATATGTTAACTTTCTCTTCCCAACAGAAGCCAGACATAATATATATAACTTACGATTAAATTCTTCCGGCGGATCTGCTTGTACTAGGTGCCATGTACAACTTTCGTTAGTCCAACAAGTCAATTACACTGGAAGTGTCTTCTTTTGTGTGTGTATTGTTGCTCGCTAGTGCGGTACATACTTTTCGGTTGTGCGATTGGTATTTGGTTGTTTAGTTCTGCCATTGCTGATTTCTCGTGAACATAGAATAAACTATTTGTAAACATGCGTGCCATCTAAAAGTGCAGCATGTTGGTTAGCCGATAATCTAATAAAAGGGGTGGGTGCGTGCAATTACATACAGCGTCAATGGCATCTTGCAACTGTGTTAATCGATCCATGCTTTTTGCGGAGGGGGTATATGTAAAGTAAAGGTTGTGTGCTTGGTGGCTCACACTTGCACATTTATGAAGCGGAGTTTTGCACTGCCGATTGTCTGCCCAACTCTTCTATCCTGCTTGCTTGATAAGGAAAGGGAGAGTGACAGCCCCTCTGGGAAGCGATGCCTACATGCTACATGACATGCCCAGTTAAGCGCATGTGACATCCTTTTTGTGGTTTGGAAAGTGGCGTCCAGATAACCACCGTATCAAAATACGAAACGGCTGATGCTCTTTTGCTCTCCTTGTGCGCGAGATGTAACCCGTTGGCGTTTGGATTGATATATCAGTACATCACCCATCAAATACTGCTACTGTACTGTGAAGCTTAGCAGATGGTGCATCACAAACAGTTGATGGTGCTTACAGACAGGGACTCGTTCTATTGGTGGTTCTTATCCCCTTTTGAAAGAAGACTCCCTCGAAACAAGGACACAAAGTGTTTCACTTCTCACTTTTTTAGTGCTTGTTACGCCCAGACATTTTTTTCTAAAAAAAAAAAAACTAGCACTGAAACCTTTTTTTTTTGACACTTTCGACTCAATAAGTTCTCTACGTATCTATAGCACATACACACACACACACAGTACGCGCTATACGCATACATTCAACATGTCGTTGCATAATAGTGTTGTGACAGCATTCCGGAATTCAGAGTGCCATACGACACGACCTCCACAGCACCCTCGACCACACCAGCAACCTGCACCTCCTATACAGCCGATAACAGCAACGCAACCACACCCTCCATTGCCACAGTTGCAGCCACAGTCAGTCGAAGGCACGTCCAATTCCACAAATGATCCCTGGGACCGTGTCGACAACTATGCATTCACTTTTGTGAATCCACCCGTTTCACCTACAGGGTAAGTAGCTCAGGGAACATTTGGATAATTTCACTCGCAATGCACAGTTTTAAAAACATCAGACTCATTACTCTCCTATCGCCAGATCACAGACCGAAACCCATCGTTTTTCACGTCCAAAACGACAGCCACCACCGATATCAATACCAGCACAACCGCAGCAACAGCAACAACAGCACGAGTCTACTACTCCTGGCAGTTCCCTGTCAGCTCGATCTCGGTACGAATCCATCAACGTCACGTCACCACGATCTCGAACAGAAAGTCAAAATAGCAACGTTCAATTCACACCTGCGTCCAGCAAATTCGAAAACCTCAAGCTTCAGGCAATGCACTTGTGGACTTCCGGAGTTGATCTCGAACTGAAAAAGGCGGAACAGCCTATCAAAAAGAAGGCATCGTCTGCTACTTGGCTCACCGAGTCCGAGTTTACGAGTATGCAACCTCCAGCAGCTGAAAAGCCGCTATCACCAGCGCAACCGGTGGAATCATCATCGTCTTTCAGCACAGACGGCTTCATCAAAACAAGTACCAGTAATCTAGGTGTCACCCATGGTGGATATGCGCGTAAAGACACGCGCTCTTTTGCCGAAGCTGCGAGTTCACAACAACAACAACAACAAGAGCAGCAGCATAGCAGTGATAATGACACAGATGCTTGGTCACCCGAACAAGAAGATCTTACCCCTGCAGTGCATACCTTACCGTTCGCCACACATCGCCGCGGTCCTTCTTCAACAGGACCTATGCCCTTGTCGTGCAAATCCGGCAGAACACTCGTTAACAGTATGTCTGCGGCAATACCTGCCGGAGCCGCAGCACCACCATCGACAATCACTGCAGGCGTTGGCAACATGCCTGCATTGGACCACAATCTCGACGCGCAAATGTACCAGGATTTATACGTGATTTACTCCGATCTCCATGGATCCCACACGTTAACGAAATTTTATGTCAACGCTGACGAGTTTTTACGACAAAGCCCACGGATGTCTTCCAGGACGTTTGGCATGCTTATTGAGACCTTGGTTTCGGTAGCTGCACTCGAGAAACGACCGACAGGCACGTTACCAGAAGGTAGAAATGTATTTAACCGAATGATACCCAGCATTGCGCCGTTCACACAAGCACTCCAAGGCTATCTCCAATTTCATGTGCTGACTCCACGCGAGATGATGCCTGTGCTGGAGCTGTGCAGCATGTTTGCGCTTGCCTGCCCTCGCTCTGCCACTCGAATGCCTTTGGGGCTGATCCAACAAACATACGACCAAATCAAAACCATCTTCAACCATACAAATGCCACGCGTGCAAAAGCCTATCTGTACGAGATCAGCTCAAGCCTCAAACCAGAAACAGGATTTTGGGGGAGCTCGAACGCAGATGCAAACAATGGTTGGGAGAATTCTCAAGCGGTTCAAAACGAGGTCGCAAGGAACGGTGCGGATGGATGGTGGCGATCCATGTCGCAATTGCCCTCTATTCCTGATGGCAAGGAGCTGCTGCAACAAGTGGCACGACGGATGAAACGGACAGCAAAAGGCCGCTGGATTTGCACGGACGACCCATTGCTTCCTAGAATCGTCAATATTGTTCAAGGCGAGCATCCTGGTATGCACGTTTATCTGATGACTCAGTTCATGCTGTTATGGGAGGAAATGTGCGGGCCCGTACAACAGGCGATGCAAAGGCACGTGGAGAGCATCACCAACAATGAGGCCCAAGAGAACGGCACGGTGTCGATGATATCCAACAACTACAACAACGACGAAGAGCAAGAAGTGTTGGAAGGATGCAGTGTATATACGGATCTCTACGTGTGTGGCACGACTCTTTTCCCGACCGTCAGTGAACCCGCTGTCGTTTTCCATGCACTGGTCGATTGTGAACATTATCCTTTTGCGCCACAGGAAGGATCGTTTGCTGTGCTGATTTCAAACGAGCGCCAGGTTCAGCCGACATTCTCCAAACAACGTTCATCGGCAAAGGTCGAATCTGCTATGGTGCTGACAGGCACAATCGTGTATGGAAAAGTCGTCTCCTCAAAGATCATCATTGGAGTTCATTTGAGGGACTCGCAGCTTTCTACGGCTCGCTGGTCTGCACGATACACATTGATTGCCGCTAATGCAAACGCTGCCTCGATCTACCCGGTGCTTGATTGGTATCGTCTTCAAGTCGAGCAATCCAACGATACATTGCCAGAACTTGCATCCAGCTTGCTCACACCAGCAACTTCACAACGGCCAGGTGAGCTGGAGGATAATCGCGATATGCCGGAATATCTCCATGGTTTGGAACTCGATCTTTCTTGTATCATGTTGCCACAGTATCAGAATGCCAATGTGATCCTGGGCAGCAAGGGCAAGTCAACCCAATGGCCGATGCATCGTGATCAGACACTAGCACCATCGCTCCGGTCACCCATGTACATCCTGTCTCCCACGCAGCTAGCGGCGGTCCAGCATGCACTGACACACAAAGTCTCGGTGATCTCGGGTGGGGAAGGTACAGGAAAAACGTTCTTGGTGACCAAGCTTGTCGAACTGATCCATCAGTCGCTCGTATCTGCCCAATGCTTCCAACCCATTCTGATACTGACAAAGAATGAAAACACACTGGACAGTATCCTGACCCAAGTCATCAAAAAGATCCCAGACTTGGTACGTCTTGGCAGAGCCATTGGCAATGGTCAAATTGGCCATCGACAGCTTATCAAGGCGGCGGCACCCAACCCAACTGATCCGAATCGCAAGTACGCGCATGCCATGGAACGCAAGCTTGCTACGCTTCAAGGCCAACTGTCGGCTTTGTGGAGTTATCGACAAAGGGTGGTGGATGCTGAACCAAGAGTCATGGTAACCACCATCCCACCACAGTATGTTGTCGAGTTCCAATCCGGCTATACCCGCAAGACGGGCATGCCCGTTCAACCGAGCCACGAGTATCCTCTCGAGGTCATCTGGAGCCGCTGGATGGGTGAAACGAAGCAGCAACGGCCAGCATCATCCGCTAATGTGGATAGCAATTTGGCATTTGGTGCTACGTATGCCACGCTCGCCGGATCCACGCTTTCGGAAACAGGCCAATTTATGCCACCGATCATGGAACGCGACTACTATATCGAGCGTCGCAAGTGGATCGAGCGCCATGCGCCGTTTGTTGGATCGATCTCGAATGCCGAGCACTGGCCATTCTCGAATTCAGAAAGCGGCAGCCATGTGCGTCTATTGATGAAGAAGGTCTGGTCGATGATCAAACCACAAGATTTGTGGGACTTGCCTCAGGGGAACAAGGACATGGTACAGCAGCAAGTCATTTCTGCGCTGCTGAAGATCATTGACATCAACATCAACGGCCTCTTGACACAGCAAGCACAAGCAGCCAAGGTCGTGGAAGAGTCTCGGTTGGCCAAATGGGTCAACATTTCTCGGTTCAGTCGCGTGGTCGGTGTTACTGCTGATTTCGCTGCAGCCCATTACAAGGTACTCGAATCGTTGTGGCCGCGTGCAGTGATTATGGACGAGGCGCAAAGCATTCTTGAGTCCGTCTCTGCGCCGTTTGTGTTGGGTTCCCGTGTGCAACAGGTCATCATGATCGGTGACGCGCATGCTCGTCAACGTCCAACAGTGCACAATCCAAAGTTGAAGGGCAGTCCAAAGAATTTGGATATTTCGCTATTCGAGCGTTGGAGGTTGGGAGGCGGGTACATTACTCGGTTGGAGGAACAATGGCGCATGTGCTCGGATATCGTTGGTATCCATGACTCACTGGCTACGCCAGAAGCAGACCGCAAGCTATTGATCACTGCCCCCATTGCTGGCGAGAACAAGGGCGATCAGTGCACGCTTGAGCTCGTAGGATTGAACGACCGAGCCTTTTTTGTCGATTATCAAGTTCCGAAAGATGCCATCAACGATTTGGACCCCCTGGCTCGTCGTTTCACGGGCAAAGATATCAAGATGGTGGATTTGGACGAGGCTCGCTATGTCGCTCACTTGACTCTGTACCTATATCAACAAAATTACAAGGCGCATCAGATCACCATCCTCACAGTATCGCCAACACAAAAAATTCTCGTCCAGATGGTTCTCAGGGAACTTGCCTCGACGCCAAACAGTTTTGTTTCGTCTAATTCGACGATTGCCATCGTTGACACTGTAGATAATTATGTTGGCAAAGAAAGTCATTTTGTTATCCTGTCTTTGGCCATGCCTTGCAACAATCCGATCCCAGAAGGCAACATTTCTCTCGCTCTTTCACGAGCCCGCTCGGGTCTCTACATGGTCGGCAGAGTCAAGGAGCTTCAGGAAACAGCATGGAGTAATGTGATCCAATACATGAAAGACAGAGGTAAGATCCTGAACGATGATAGCTAAGAAGAAATACGGGGATCAAGTGTTAATCATCACTTACATTTGTGTATATAGGCCTCTGTGAACCCAATATCGAACTCCAATGTCAGAAGCATAAAGATCAAATTTCCCTCGCTGCTAACCACGCTGATTTCATACTAGTCAAAAATGGAGGATGCACGGTATGTTCATTAGTATTGCTTTGCCATATAGCGTATTCAAGGCTTTGCTTATCAGCTCTTCTATTCCATGTATATGTGTGCTACATAGAAACTCTGCGATACGTTATTAGACTGTGGCCATGTTTGCAAGGAGACGTGCCATCACATGAAGCACTCGAACATCATGTGCCAACAGAGCTGTGAGCGGGCTCGCCCAGAAGGATGTAAGCACAAGTGTCGTAACAAATGCTACCAGTGCCACAACAAGTGTCCTCCGTGCGACGTGTTTACAGAGATGGGACGTGAGTGTGGCCATATTATTTCGGGACCGTGCCATAAACTTCCAGAGTTGTGCAAGACTACACCCTGTCTTGAAAAAGTCCAGCATGAGTTCCCTTGTGGTCACAGCATAAGCGTGGAATGTCATCGAGTCTCAAGTGCCAGTCAAAAAGAGCTGGTCTGTCAAGAAGTTGTTCAAGTAACGCTAGAGTGTGGACATACTGTCGAAACACAATGTTGCTACGAGCCGATATGTACTGAGCGCTGCCCAGAACGTCTTGACTGCGGGCATAGTTGCCCAGAGAGGGTAAAAAGCTACTATTTTTTTCATATCATCACTCACGAAAAAATCAGAAAGCTTGAGTAGCTTACATATCTTTTTTTGATAATTAATTAGTGCGGTACGGACCATCGGTTACATGCGCGAGCCGATTGTACGGCAAGTTGCTCAAAACAATTAATCTGTGGCCACTATTGTGCTAAAGGTTGTGCGAATCCCGATGATCATACTGAACGCTGCGTTGAACCGTGCCAGCACGTTTGCAGCCATGGTTACCGGTGTGGACGTGATTGCTGGATGGTTTGCAATGCGTGCCTGCAGCCTTGCCCTTACAAGGTATTTTGTAAAAGTTGAGCATATTTTATATGAGGCAAAAAACCAACATACTCTTTTTTTTTCTGTGTGTTTCTTTAGTGTGAGCATCTGCAGTGCACTAAAAAATGTCATGAGGTAAGTGAACTCTAAAGCATTCAATCATCTTATGGGTTAATTTATTAACGTCATGATCGATAATATAGAGATGCGATAGACCACCATGCAATGAGCGTTGCACACAACAATTGGATTGCGGGTATGTTCTAATATATATACGCTGGTTTTTAAAGATTCTTGAAAGCTAATTCGACGTATGTTTAAAATATGTAATATAGACACATCTGTTCCGGCTTATGTGGTGAACCCTGTCCACCTTGCAAACAGTGCTCTTCAGATCGTGTTTGTTCTATTTCCTTGAGAACGCTCGCTGAATTCGATGATGAGGAACTCGTCTATATGTTGCCAGAATGTGAATGTGGTAAGTTGGAAAGAAATATTTTCCAAAGTTAGGGGAAAATGAGGTGTATTTTATATATACATGAGTGAACTCACGATAATGTATGTTAGTGTTTGCTGTTGAATCCTTGGATCTATATTTTCAAACACAAGCCAAGAATGGTGAACACACGGCCATCAAGCTATGGCAATGTCCATCCTGCCAAAAGCCGATATACACAGCACTGCGCTACAATGTATACATCAAGACCGAGATCGCGTTGGTGAATCAGATCAAAGCACAGCAAGAAGCGGCACGCCAACTTATTTCACAGCAAGAAAAGACGGATATTATCCAAGCCATGAACGCGGAAACGCGCACAAGCATTAATAACATTGTCGGTGGTCGTTGGTTTGTGTGTGAAAACGGCCATCCCTACTTTATCGGTGACTGTGGTGGCGCCACACAGATTGCTTCTTGTCCGCAGTGTGGTGCAGTAATTGGTGGTCTACAGCATAAGGTGGTGGAATCTAATCGATTTTATGGCGAGTTTGATGGTTCCTATGAACCTGCTTGGCCAGGCCAACCTGGATAATCCCGTTCATATTCTGTTCAGCTTGTGCAACAATTCTAATCCATCATCATCATCCATCATCGTCATAGCCATCAACATCTTGCGCATATACTATATCATTTTTTCTATCATGAATAACCTACTACATCTCCTATCCCTCAATTATTGACAAAGATTTATCTTTCCTGTCTTCTTCTCTCTACCAAGTACTTGTGCATACCATCCCTTCTCCTTTTCTTTTAACTGTACTGCATATATGATGTTTATAGTAGCTGTTTTATACATATATGTATATATATATATACTTATCGTAAGAGGTAGCATCATAAATATATTCAAAACCTACATACCTCAAAGCCGTCTACGTCTCTCTTCTTTAACGTATGGCAAGCGCGATCGTTCTTTACAAAATATATACTGTAGTTGCGTGCAGTTGCGTGCAGTTGCGATGAATGGCAGTCCATACCTTTGCTCTGGCCTTTCTTGCGTACTGCATTTCTTCTTCCGCAGCACATACACACTAATAGAAACGTCCTCATCAAACAAAGTTATCACGTTCGCGGAATGAGTGTCTACCCCTACTACTGATTTCGTACTTCGACCAGGCCTTGGGAAACCCGGTGCACCAATTACTGACAAGCGTACTTCTTTTATGACGGCGCTCCTACTGCCAACATTGTCCACCACTATGAAATTGCAATCGTCGATGGTACACAGAATCTGGGAAAGCTTTAAGGTGGCGCAACGGCAAGCCATTCTCCGTGATATCATCCACCTCATCTATGACAGTCGTAAAATACCTTTTCTGTAGTCCCGGTACATCTGTAATTGAGTGTTGTCGAACACGAACAAGAGGTTAATCTTGCGATTGGTTCACGATTCCAGAGTGCTACTGTTGTTTGTAACACAATGTTTACTTTGAATATATAAAGTGGAGGTGCAGCAAGACACTAGCACCGAAGGAATGGCGTCATCAGGCTTAAGGATGCTGCGTTCACAGGCTGAACTTTAAGTCTGGCTATAAAAATCAATATGGGCGAGCCGAGCCAGTTTTTGAATGCCAACAGGCGTATGACTAACCAACTGTTTGTTAGGTAAATACAATACATACACATATGATGTTACAAACACATAAATATAATATTGTAATAAATATATGCTAATAACAATCACATACAATAAATTTATATATAGCTATAGTGGTACTGGACGTACCGATCCGACAACAAATGTCTAGCTCGATGTATGTCGATGTAGGCTGATCCTTCTTTACGACTAAGATCGCCGAACGCCGACTGGAGCCTTAAACTATAGTAAGGCAAGGAACCTACCAGTCCGCGCGTCCAACAGTTGATAAGATGATTATCAATGTGGATACCAGCACCACCCTATTCTATCAAAATGACCGGCTAGTCGATCTTGTTGTCAGTGTCTTGCGTCATTGTATGTAGCAATGACGAGTTATGACGTAGCATCAGCCAGCATGACTTTAACAAGCTCGAAAAGGATTTGAAGGAGCTCAAGTTCCAGGTTAACTACCATGCTTAAAATCCTCGTCTCAAATACACGGCACTGCGATTGACACCGCGTCCTCGTGGCCATATGTTTTTTGTGGATGATCGAGATGGCAAAGAAAAGAGCGTTGCAAACAGTACTATGTACGACTAATAATAATAACAATACCAGCTTACTTTGCGTTACACGTTTTTTCCTTGCATAGTCGAGCGTAATGGTGTTTATTCGCCTAACGGAAGTCTGCGACGTTAAACTAGACGAACAGCAGACAGCAAAATTGATCCAGCTTACCTGCCAAAAACCACAGTTTAATATGATCACCAATCCGTACTGTATGCAAATTGCATGGTGATCATAAACCTGTCATGGCCACCAATAATGCACGTGTTTTTCCTACACCAGACATCTCATATGCTAGCGGCACGTTTCATTAAGGCACATTGAAAATCAGTAGGTGGCGCATGGTAATCGCATAGCAAAGAAGAGACACTAGAATAAGCCTTGCTCCTCTCATTGTTTGCTGCCATTTTCCATACCGAGTTCTCGATCAATCGATCCAGTATTTTGTCAGCCAATTGTACCAGAAATTGATTGATTCCAGTATCAACGTAACTGTCAGCAATCCACCTACTGTAACATGTACTCCAATCTAGAACGTGATATCCATCACAACATACTTAAAAAATATGTAGCTGACTGTTAGTGGCAACATGGCCAAAGTAAACCCGCAATTATTTGTTTGCATCGTTACCCAATGCGAAAGGTGCCTCTCTTCTATGCAGAGATCCAGCGCATCTCCGACACGGTGATCGGCATACTCAATGCGTTTTAACGAAATGGCGCGATTAAATGTATCTTGGCAAACGTGTGCTTCATAATCAAATCCCATTTCTTGTCGAGCAACCGATCATTGCTTTTGGCACCGACGTGACACATCCACCAGCAAATGATTTCAATCGATCCTCGTTCGCTGCTGTAACCGCATCCATAAACAGCTGGGCAAAGCACTATGCAAGTACAGTTCGTGTTCGAGGCAGTCGCTCAAAGATTACTGAGAATTTTACGAGTAAGGTTAAGCAGATTCTCAAAACATATGTCTTAGAGGGCCAGTTCAGGACCGTCTTCAAGCTTGAAGTCTGCACACACAAGTTGTTTTGGCCTCTATGTCACTTGAAGACATACAGACCCATAGTAATATTTGTCATGGTCCGAAGACGACAACATACAAGTGCGGTGCCGATTGACTGGGCAATTGTAAGGCTGGAACAGACGTTAACACAAACATTGTCCATCCGCATGAGATTAACATTTTCCCATCTTCGTCAATAAATAGTTTTGCTCTCTTTTTGGTATAACATATCACAGCGATGGCCCTTATTTCGTTTACTCAAATCGAGTATTTTAATGTTGCTTAAGAGACGCGGAAAAGCAGATAAGAAGCCGAGGGGCGCGAAATGAGAGATATTAGCAGTAAACGCAAAAATATTACTGACACGCTATTGACATACTGCGCTAAACTGCCAGACATACACACATGAGAAGAATACTGGGCTGATCAGAGCAGATTGAAATGGCAATTACTGCTTGATGAAAAGACAATACTGTATAGATATATATAGAAAATGTTTACAAAGAAAATATATATAAAAATATAATATTATTGAATATATAAAAAAGAAAAATAAATTGAAAAGCTTCTTCTGAAAAATAGAAAAAAGCATCCAAATCAAGTTTAAAAACTATAAATTAAGCAAAAAGATAATTATAAGATGGATGAAACAATTGCAAAAATGAAAAATGAAAGCTATAAATTAAAAAAAGAAATGCTATATTTATGATAAGAAGTATTATGAAATAGTAGATGAGGAAGATTTGAAAAATAAAACATCTCAGAAACCTGAAAATAGTATAATTAAAATTGACTTTTCTTAGGATGAATTATCAAATCCTAAAAATAATAATTCTCAGTAAAAAATCAAATTCTGAGGATACATCTATTGAGAATCAAAATTCTGAGGACATTTCTCCTAAAAATAAAAATTCACAGGAACTCTCAAATCCTCATATTTCTGATGCAATGTTAGAGAATAATACTTCCAGTGCAGCTACCTCATAGGGTGGTTGTGATTCAGGTGATATTGACTTTACATGTATAGCAGCATGTTCAAATTGTATGGATATATTAAAATACATGTGTGGATATGGGTTTTTTGATGAAATAATAAATTAATTAGAAAAGGAAAAATATATGTTAAAAGTTTTTTAAAACATATTTTAAATATGATATCTTTCTAGTAAGTAAAAAAAATCAGGATATTATTTATATGACACAACAGAAAATGCAAGCATTATATATTAGAGAACAAAATGAAATAAATAAAGATAAATTAGATTATTCATCTGATTTAGAATAAGTATTTTAATTTGGCCATTGATGGCTATATCAGCTACAGTAATCTATTAGCTATAATGCGACTAGTAGTTTACAAGCAGCTAAACAACTAATGGCAGGCGTTCATTTCTTGGTGCACCTATTGCCATCAGTAACTATAAATATGTTTCAAAAATCAGTATTCTATTAATTTGATTACCTATAAGCTGAATTGGTTATCATCCCTGTTGCTAATACTGTAGCTGTGGCTGTTACTTTCCTCTGAGCAGCCCAGCAATAATATAAAAGAGTCAGTATTAAACAAGGAGCAGATGATGACTAATAATCTTATGTGTGATTGTCATATACCAGAAACTTTGCAAGCATATTCTACTATAAGTTGACAAACACAGTTGTTATATCTCTTGAATACTGTAGTAAACGATTTTTTAGTAGGATGTTACCATAGAAACAAGAGCGAGTAAGCATGAAAATAACCAAGAAAACCTCCAATTTTATAGCAATATTGTAAATACAGCTGGACCAAACGGACTCAAGGTCTTCACCGAACTTGGAGTGCAGTGCAACAAACTCTGTATGCTCTTTTACACAGTCAGCAATGCTGGGTGCTTTTCGGTTCATGGGGCCCTTTCAAATAGGCTTCTATTACTATAAGTGAGATAGAAACAATTAAGTTAACGAAAAGCAGATCTATAAATTCTGCTCACTGAATCACCTGTCCAGATCTCCATGGTAACAGTAATGGTATATAGCAATGGAAAGACCTACTATGGAATGCGTATTCACCCTTAATTGAGTTCAAAGTAGATAATGGCTTGAGAAGAGCAATCCTTAATTGTAGATAAATCTTTTAAACATTTGATTTTGTAAAACTTATTGTTTAAATTTTATATAAAAATCGATATAACTTTTAATTGATTTATCCTTAATGATAATGACAATAAATAAAAAAAATTATTTTTTTATTATTTTATATCTAAGAAAAAATAATAAAATTATCTAAATATTTATTATTTAGAATAATTTATTAATTTTGATCATTAACTTTAAAGACTTAATGATTAAAAAAGATGAAATATATAAAATGTTTTATCTTTTGATCAATAATTCTTCTAATGGCTAAACTTTCCTTTATGGACTAAATTCCCCAGAGTGGTAACGAGGATATTAACTTATAGTAGTAAGTTGCTCTACCCTCTAAAGTTGTAAGTTGGAACTTACAACACGACTCTTTTTGTGTGAGCCTGTAGGCCCATGTCACATGTACATAGCAGTGTTGTGCTAGAGACGATAGGAAGAGGTGGAAAGTACAGAATAAAATGTAGAGAGGGACGAAAATAAGTCTATTAATCGAAGGCAGTGATCTTGGGAGACGAAGCTGAGTAAGTAGCTATATTGCTAGTAAGATCACCATATAGTAGTTTAAAGGGACTCGGTCGAAAATCCAAGTCCAGTAGACACGCCAGCGTGCCAGGAGGATGGATTGAACGACCATGGTCCGTAGGTGCATAGTTGTGGTAGGGGCTTCATGCTAGTCTAGATTGATGATGAAATGTAGGAGGACATTACGGTCTAGTTCGGTGTAAAAGACTAAGGAAGCCCCAGACTTGTTTCCATACTGCCTAACACAGTAGACAATAGATAAGAAAGTGACGGGTAGTATCAATCAAACCTAGGCATAATTGGCATCACGAGCTTGGCATAAAATCCGGAACAATATGGTGAAGGAGACTGGCAGTGAGGAGTGTGTGATGGATTGTGCGATACCAGAGATTTCAGGTTGGATGGTGCATCGTACTAAGCCAGAACTGGCGCCAACGTCTAGCAGTAGATGTCATGGAGCGTGGCGGCGTACAAGTAGTGCTTAAAATGAAACGACGAAAAGCGCGAGTGGTGAGACCTTGGTTGGTGAAATGGACAATGAAAAGGGGGGGCGCAGCACGCTACCATCGGCGGTGCCTAGCTGCCCATTGTGTTGAGCCAATAGATGAGATGCTGTGAGACAAAGTCGACTGAAAAAAGTATTACAATATGATGCTGCCATCCTATATGGCTTTGAAAAAGTGGCGAGTGACACGTGGATAGGGGATTGAATCGTCCTGTGGTAGACGTCGTCGTAGAAAACTATTTGTCGTGTCAAAGAGGTACAGATCCGATACTTTCATTTTCTTGAGGGTCGAGGAGCGGAGCAAGTCCTTGACACTGGCATTTTCTACACAGCACGGTAAGCAGAGCCCAAGTGCCAGTAGGATATAGACGGACGACGGTGGCAGTTAAACTTGATCAATTGAGGCGAGAGTAAGTGACGCTATTGTCGAAGGTTGTTGCTGTAGAAGACAAGGGCATGTTTCAGGGAAGGCGAGTAGGAGGCAATGATCAGTAGATTCGATGTGATGCACAGCAGGTGGTGCGCCAGATAAAGTATTACCAGGGAACCTAATGTATTGGCGTTAGGATAATCGACTAGAGGTTGTATCCAACGTAGTTGCAGTGCTTGGTGCTGTGCTCGAGGGTCGAGAACTTGTAAACCGCCCTGTTGCTATGGTTGCTGGAGATGGGATATGGCGATTCGGGGAAACTTGCGGTGCGAGATAAAGCTGGATATGACGCTCTGTAACGTATTTTAAAGGACGAAGCAGATAACGGTTACGGTTAACCTCAGGACATACCATAGTCGAGAGAGTAAGAATGTGCTGAGAACTGTTGCACGCCCGTGCACAGACAGTTGGCGTTGTTGATGTAGATAGCAGCCGTTGCGTATACTGATAAGGAGTCGATCTATTAAAAGGCGATGTTGTGCTGTAGATGTTGCCAGAGGAACCCCCAAATAGATCGCTGCTTCAGCGTTCGAGCGATCGTGACAGGTAGGGTACATGGAAATCAGACACCGTCGCCTATGTTGCAATGATGATTGTACCCCTTTTCACATGGCGTATCATGTTTATTGCTTTCATTAGTTCTCATTATCGTCCCTCATTTCGTTCTTACACCGTAATTGGTTGATTTCCTAAGCCCTAATAACACTGTGGCTCCGACAGCAATACAAAATTCTCAATGCCTTTGGTACCTCTCCCTCTCTGCGTTTTCTTTTTCGCTTCATAAATCAAAGATAGCACTTTTAAGCCGTCTCAAGTAGAAAGCGGAATGATACCTTGGAGGTGCGTGGGTCGATCCCACTATTGCCTTGCGTCCCTCTCCCTCTCTGCGTTTTCTCTCAAAAGCTCTACCATTGTGCTATCGTAACTCGTCGCTTTACAGTTGTCTTCTTAAGCTAAGATCGTGGTCCTTTTGATTTTATTGTTGGATAGAAAGTAACAACTACCAAGGCAACAGGTAGCGCCTTTAAAATTGGAAATGCTGCCTTATATATATATATATATTGTCATGAAACAATTCTTCGTTGCTCGAGAGATACTGCTCAGCAGTGAGCCGTATATACGTTTGACCAAAAACCTCCTAATGGCGATGTGATACTTTATCGTATGATATAGCAATTGTATGTTGGGCTCGGCCTACTGGAATTGCTCAAATATGCCAGTATTACGGAGTGAGTTCTCTAAGTGGAAAAGTTCGACGAAACCTAAGCAACGTTCGTTTGACGTTGCTAAACAGTGTCACAATATGGTTTTGCTCTATGGGATAGTGGCATAAACTTATGGTTGTCACTTATGCTAACAGGGCTATCTTTTTATTTTATAGAAATAAATCAAATGCTGTCGAGTGCACAATTTGTGAAACGCCGATAAACACGGATCAAGTTCAAGGCAGGATAATGTCCAGGATCTTTCAACTATCTGCTTTTGTAAGTGCCACATGTGTGCGTATATTTGAGAAACAGATAAACGGAGCTCTCATATCAGGAAATTTATTAACATGTTACTAACTATAGCCTTTTAGCACTCATTTACCTTTACACAGATCTTCAGTCCCACCCAGCTCTTCATGGCACATCAACACCAACGCATTATCAAGTACTATTTAATAAAAATCAAGTCTTAATGAGAGCTTACATATCAATTTCGCTATATCTACCTTCGTGCCACGCGTGCAGTATCATTTGTACTTGATATGCTCGAATTCTGTGCTGTTTCCATTATCTAATTGAACATTGGTGCGTTACTAAAACCGAGTCGTCGTCTGAAAGTTGCTGAGCCTAAGCAAAAGAAGAAAGGTTATGGCGCTGTGGGACTCAAATTATAGAAAGGTAAAGTTTTGGTGCTGATAAAGTTAGAAGAAAACGTGAGGAAAGCTATTACATAAGTAATGGAAATTTATGTACTGCTATACTTGTGCCAGCTAGTCACTTTTTTTACGGTTTATGTACTACATATGAAGAAGCGATCAAAATTATTTCCCTTCATTTAGCGGTGTACTTCTTTCCTGTTACTGTGTACCCATTTCAGCTGCTTGTATCATGAAAATTGTCTATAACAAGTGCTGTTGAAATATTCTGCCTATTATATGCGAGAATGTACATATATATAGCTTAGAATAGCAGAGGTAGGTAAGAAAGGAACAAGGCTATTGTAATGGTATACAGTGTTTAAAAGAAGTACATTATAGATTGCTTTGATTTCAAATAATAAAAAGAAAGAAAGATGTGAAGCTGCTGTGAAGGATATACTTTTCAACATTACCTGAAAGGGGGTAACTAGTAGTAATATATTAATAAGAAAATAATTATTTTTTTATATATTATTAATTGATTTCTTTAATATAATTAAAGAAATTTAATTATTATATGTTTATTTTTATAATTATTAATTTTAATTTTTTAATTTTGTTACTAATAAGATTTTATAAGCAATATAAATATTTGTTACCAATATAGCAGTGGAATGGTAATGAGTATATCCCTCCTAGCTAGAACTTAGTTCGACGCCCGAAGTGAATGAAATGAACGGAGCTTGACTAGAGAAAGACATAACAAAATTAATTAGCAATTTATTGCTAATAATTGTTGTAGATTGAACGCCAAAACAGTGCCTTTCAAACAACAGCTGCTCCTGTGGTAGTAGAAGTATAATTTCTCCATCGTGTCAATTAAATAGTAAGGTGCCAACAAACGAGGACCGAAACACGATGCATTCTAGCTTCAGATACTGGAATAAATCAAAAAAACTTTCCTTCTAATTCTATATTGATACTGGTTCATAATCTGCCCTTTTACTCTGTTTTGGTTTCAGCTGAAACTATGTGATTGAATCTTGAAGAATAATGACAGATTTGATTGATGAAAGTACTACAGAATTACAGGATGAGAATACTGAAAATGAATAATGACGAAATTACATAATGAAAACGCTTAAAAAACATGACAGATGAAAATTGGTAAAAGATAATATAGTATATGAGATTATGTGCTTTTTTGTTTTTGTTTGACGAGGTCGCTGATGTGGAGGAAGTTATAGCTGATAATGATGATGGTGCAGATGATGCAGATGACACTGAGCCGGGGAGAAACGTAGTGGGAGGAATGGCCGGATTTGTTCAGAATGTCAACGTCGACAAAGGCACTTCATAAGAACTGTAGGTTTCATATGTGTCCTCAGCTATTTGCTTTCCACAAGCAGCGAGTTTGAGAAGAGGGCATAAGCGCAAGACGAAATTATCCTTGTTTGGATATTCTGCTGGCCTTATACGTCGATTTCTAGTGATATACCCTTGCAGTATATCCATGTCAAGAAGGACAATATCATTGCCTAAGAGTTGTGGGGCACATAGTAAGTATCCTTACCAACATTAAGTTACTTATCTAAGGGGGACATCTAACTCCAATTAGATATTAGATAATACTATTGCTGTAAAAATCCAAATTGTACAAAAAATTGAATTTTGTGTATATATAAAAATAATTGGTAAGAAAGGAATGCCAGGTATGAATTCACATTATGTTATATACCAGTTGAAGAAAATATTATAAATAGTAGAGTATGCAATTTTATAATATACCAAGATTATGCTTATTGATATATTCCTTCAATAAATCCTTTTGATTAAATTTATCAATTGATAACCAACTGTTATCATCAGCACTATATCCAACCCATTTTACCTCAAATAAATATGTACCATTTTCAGTTTTATGCCTAATAATCTCTTCTATTTCATATGATGCCATTGCTTGTTGTTTCCCTTTATTTCGCTTTCTTTTTTACTACGCTCATTAAATATTGGAACATCATCATTATCACTATTACTCTGATTTGAATTATTATCAGATTCATTATCAACAATCATTTCTTCATTTGATATAGCCATATTAAGCAGGTCATTTTGCAATCTAATCATTTTATCCAGTTTATCTTTATTTTGTTTATCATTGCTGACCACTATATCAATTAGTTTATGCTCTACTGGAAAATTAAAATCATTACTGTGCCATAGTTTATGGTGTGGTAAAATAGGAATATTGAACATTTCTACAAATTTTGTAATATTTTTTAATAAACAAGCTACACGAAATTGTAGATTATAGTATTTTATGTTATCCATTTTAACAACTGACTTGTTATTATTGAATCGGCAGAATTTATTCCCAATTTCTGAAAAATGATTCTCAACTTTTGTCCTAAAACTTTCAAATGTCTTATTAAAATGATCCTCAGTAATTGTTAAGGGCTCATTTACATTTTTACGTATAGGGTATACAAAATTATCATGGCTAAAGTTATATCCTTTTTCATTAGCAAGCTCTGTAAATTATGTGATAAACAAAGTATATCCACATCAACTGCCATTATGTCATTCTCATGCATATATTTAAATGATTTCATGTTTAAAAACATGCTACCATCTGAGCTATCAGAACAAAAGTCACTTTTAAAGTATAAATAATCATATCATTCATATCACTAACAAAGTGGGTACGTATTCCATTCTTCTTAAATTTATAAGAATACATTCTTTGAAAGTGGTCAATTTCAGTATCTATATAGTTAATTCTTGAATCATGACCATCCAATACAAGTGTTACATGTTTAAATAAGTCGGGATTATGCTTTCTAGCAGATAGAATACATAATTTGATAGATGAAAACATGTTATTCATTGAATCATTTACTATTTTGTTGATCCGTTTGTAGTTGTCCTCATCCATCCAAAACTTTTTATAAAATGTATGAAATGTGCTATGTGGTAAGTATTTTTCAAATTTTTCACCACATACTCCAGAGACTAAATGATATAATAAAAACAATCCTTTTTCAATTTCAAAGTAAGGTCTGGGATATTCCTTGTTTGTATATAAAACTACTAGAAAATAAATACAGCAACATAACCTAATTTATGTAACAATTCATCCTTAATTTTTTCTATGAATTTAATATGTTTCAAATCAATTCTATGTTTATATTTATTATGTACAGTAGGCCAATTCCATTCTAGGAATTGCCAATAATTTGCAATAATTAAGTTTACTTCATTTGTAATTAGTGGTGTATAGTCTGTTGTATCCATTGGGTCGTTCTTTGTTTATATTATGGATTTTCAATTTTTATAATCATTGAATACATGATTTTGGTCACATGATGTCATAAAATTGATAAAATATCAAAATGGATGATATAATTTAATATGGCAGCAAGCAATTTATTAGATTTATCAAAAACTATTGTAAATTTATAGCCAATTTGGTACTGCACATCCCACCAACATACTATACGTACCATTAATATTGTATCCCATGGTGTGCAGCTTGTTGATGAGGTCTGGAGATCGGTTGACCATCTTTAACAGCATATCCCGCATGACGATTGGCATCTTGATCAATCCGTTGGACCATTCCTTCGTTTGATCGCTCGTTTTCCCAATCTTGAGGCACCCCAACTCCACATCTCCGGCTCCCACGTACACGGTGTCCATTCTTCGTCCGATCTTCAAGCTGTTTACCACATTAACTGCTGATATCTTCCTCTTGTTATTGCTTGCCTCCGCATTCGCAACGCTTGACTTTTCCTTGCTATAAGCATCATTTTCCAAGCATTAGTTTGCAATCAAAACATAAGCATCCACGCGGTCAGCTTACCCAAGTGCATCAATATACTCTGAGTCATTAAGAATTGTATTAACAAAGCTCCATAGATAATAGAGCTTTTCTGATTCAAGGTACTGTTGGATGTTGTAGTTGTTTTCCTTAAAAAACAATGAAGCAGTGTTCTGCAGTGTCAATGACAGCCATACGAGCATGCCGTCAACTTCAACATCGTACTCCATTCTTCGTGCGAACTCATAGGCCTCTTGGGCAGTTTTCTTTAGTGATAAAGTATCGTGAGCATTGGGTTCTCATAGACAGTATGGTAATACAACTTCAAATCACTTACCACCTTTCTCAAATTATTCAAATTGGCTTCTACAGCCTTGTCAATGGGTGGGAGAACTGGTCTCCCGAACCCCTCCAACTCTTCTAGCTCCTCCTCTGAAAAAACCTCTGTCCAATGCGCATTGCCCAGGTCTAGAATCAAAGATTGGCTTAGGCTAACAGGCAATGGAAGATATGAGACAACCAGGCATATGGATCTTCAGTAGAGTGTACTATCCAAGTCTACTTACTGATAAAAATTGCATTTCATCGCAAACTCTATAACCCACTCCTTGACAGATTTTGCGGCAATGCCTCGGGTTTCGGCATCCCTTATGGTGGCATCCAAAGTCCAAAACTTTCTTTCATCGAGTTTTGCAAATAGATTTTCAAGGTGCTTTTTATCAATATGAGAAAGTTTTGTTTTCAGGGTAGGGTTCTTCTAGGTGTTGGAACTTCTTGTCTTAGTACTCTACAGCTAGAAATCAACATCAATATAGATTACACTAGTTGATATAACTACTACATTATTATACTTACTAGTGTGACTGCCTGTAGCCAACTATCCCTGTTGGATTGGATTATGGTCCAGTTGAGGATATAATGATTATGTTCTGGTCTATTAGCACTAGTTGGTTAGATAGCTAAGACAAAATGCTATATAGCTATATAGCTAAAATTAATTTAAGTATAAGATCTTAATATGCATACATTTAAAAATTTCAGAGAAATAAAAATTCAATTTTATTTTTAGATAAAAGAATTTATTACAATAGTGTCAATATCTATAAATTAAATCTCTTTCAATAATGATAAAATTGCTATTAATACTGCATGAAATTAAAAAACTATTTAAAAATCATAATATAGATATATGTAGAAAATGTTTACAAAGAAAATATATATAAAAATATAATATTTTTGAATATATAAAAAAGAAAAATAAATTGAAAAGCTTCTTCTGAAAAATAGAAAAAAGCATCCAAATCAAGTTTAAAAACTATAAATTAAGCAAAAAGATAATTATAAGATGGATGAAACAATTGCAAGAATGAAAAATGAAAGCTATAAATTAAAAAAGAAATGCTATATTTATGATAAGAAGTATTATGAAATAGTAGATGAGGAAGATTTGAAAAATAAAACATCTCAGGAACCTGAAAATAGTATAATTATGAATGACTTTTCTTAGGATGAATTATCAAATCCTAAAAATAATAATTTTCAGTAAAAAATCAAATTCTGAGGATACATCTATTGAGAATCAAAATTCTTAGGACATTTCTCCTGAAAATAAAAATTTACAGGAATTCTCAAATCCTCATATTTCAGATGCAATTAGGGATCCGTACGGTTTGGTTTGGTTCGGTTCTTAAAGGGAACCGAACCGAACCGTCTAAAGCAAGAACCGAACTGACTAGAACCGATGAGAACTGTAGAACCGAAGAATCGAACCAAAGAACCGAACCCATCATGTATATAAAAAAGGCAAGATCCGGTATCTTTAAATGAAAGCTGTGTGTGTGTTCAAATGTCGCGGTATACTTGAATACTGCAGTAAAAAAGAATAGTTTATTATTATACATTGAACAGCGATCTCAAAATGAATAAGAGAAACAGAATGTAAACATTCTCATACGATGTGGGTCATTGCATAGTTAAAAGATTGAAGCACAGTTTTTACAAAAAAAAGTAGAGCTTATAGTACTTACTTAGAGCGACTTAGTATTACTAGTACAATATGTTATCGTGACATTGGAGGAATTGAACCACAACCGGCAGTACATACAGCTGCTGTGTCTCTACGTGTGTATAGTGTATAGTGTCTCATAAAAGGCAAAGGGTGAATGGGTAAGATAATTCTGTTATGAGCCCCAGAATGCGCAATCTCAAACGGAATGCACAAACTTGATAAAACTGATCGAGAAGCCATGACAAATCTAGTAAAGTAGTACGTCATGGAGAAAAATGCATTGTGGGTAGCAAAGTAGAGGAACAAGTAATGATGTGCGTCATGGGCGGAGAAAGCAAGCTGCCGTCAGAAGAAGTGTTTTTTTACTATTTTTTACTCCCTTCTGCTTTTGTAGGTTTTATTAAGTTTTTCAATAAAGTATGGCTTGCAAATACACTACTTCGTGGTCTTTTCGGAATAACATTGTTCGTAACTTCCATTATAGCCTACTTTATACTAATTACTAAAATCGCTGATTGCAATCTTCTGCCTCTCGGTTCTTCGGTTCTACTTATACAGAACCGGTTCGGTTCCGGTTCGGTTCTTGACAGGAACCGAACCGTATTTTCTTGGTTTCGGTTCGGTTCGGTTCCGGTTCTACGGTTCTGATACGGATCCCTAGATGCAATGTTAGAGAATAATACTTCCAGTGCAGCTACCTCATAGGGTGGTTGTGATTCAGGTGATATTGACTTTATATGTATAGCAGCATGTTTAAATTGTATGGATATATTAAAGGACATGTGTGGATATGGGTTTTTTGATGAAATAATAAATTAATTAGAAAAAGAAAAATATATATGTTAAAAGTTTTTTAAAACATATTTTAACTATGATATCTTTCTAGTAAGTAAAAAAAATCAGGATATTATTTATATGACACAACAGAAAATGCAAGTATTATATATTAGAGAACAAAATGAAATAAATAAAGATAAATCAGATTATTCATCTGATTTAGAATAAATATTTTAATTTGGCCATTGATGGCTATATCAGCTACAGTAATCTATTAGCTATAATGCGACTAGTAGTTTACAAGCAGCTAAACAACTAATGGCAGGCGTTCATTTCTTGGTGCACCTATTGCCATCAGTGACTATAAATATGTTTCAAAAATCAGTATTCTATCAATTTGATTACCTGTAAGCTGAATTGGTTATCACCCCTGTTGCTAATACTGTAGCTGTGGCTGTTACTTTCCTCTGAGCAGCCCAGCAATTATATAAAAGAGTCAGTATTAAACAAGGAGCAGATGATGACTAAGAATCTTATGTATGATTGTCATATACCAGAAACTTTGCAAGCATATTCCACTATAAGTTGACAAACACAGTTGTCATGTCTCTTGCATACTGTAGTAAACGATTTTTTTAGTAGGATGTTACCATAGAAACAAGAGCGAGTAAGTATGGAAATTACCAAGAAAACCTCCAATTTTATAGCAATATTGTAAATACGGCTGGACCAAACGGACTCAAGGTCTTCACCGAACTTGGAGTGCAGTGGGGACCGGCCATGGTTATGATGATTTTAATGCGATCTAGTAACCCTAGATGACTTATTAGCTAAGATATATCAGGATAGCCAAATTAATTTTTATTGAAATAATTCATGCACGAATGTCTTAGCATACATACATTTAAATTTTTGAAAAAAATAAAAATTGAATTTTTTTTTAATATAAAAATAATACCACAGAATATAAAGCAAAATATATTTGTTATATTTTTTATTTTTATTACTTCAACAATCGACATGAACCAACTCAACCTTCTCGCATTCTTAGCCATTATGGCTGAATTTGTTCCTATTTTAGGAATTACATTGACGCTCTTAATTGAAAGAGCAAAACACCTTACTGAAAACCATCAGCATATTGAGTATAGACCTCTTGTCACACAACTGAGGTCAGAACTCGAAAAAGACCTTACACAGGCTAAAGTAGATAAAAAAACTAAAGATAATGCATACAATAAAATAATTGGAAGAATTCGAGAATATGTGAGATTCCTCAATTCCTCAAATCCTCAATTTTCTAATGCAATATTAGAGGGTAACACCTCTGGTGCAGATTCCTCGCAGGGCGGCAAAGAAGGCTGTTCACATATATTTGTAAGGACTTCAATTTAACAAAAGAACAAATCATGGAATGGTCTATAAAACATGAACGTATTGGTTATCGAATTGAAAAGGCAATTGCATGTGATGAAATTGCACCAGAAACCAATGAGAAACATGTACACATATAGATACAAATGGATGAGCAGTTCGACACAAAAACAGCACGTAAATTCTTTACTATTGATGGTGTTACTCCAAATATTAAACCAGGTAGTAATCCACAAAAGTCTATTAGCTATTGTATGAAAGGAAAAGATTATATTTGTTATAATATAGATCCAAATTATGAAATTAAAACCAGAAAAATGCACTAACAGTTACTTGGATATCAATTAATTACTAAGCAGCTTAATATGTGGAAGGCTACTGAAATATATCCAGAATTGCTATAGAAATATGATACTGTAAAATCAAATTTAAATTCTTACTTTCATGATGCCGATATGGAAAATAACCCTGGAAATAAATTACATATAGCCATTTCAAAAAGTAAAGTCGCTGATTTTGAATTTGATGTCGTGCAAAAAGTCTTCGTGTTCAACAACGATGTCAGCTGGTCCAAAAATAAAATCGTGTTCACGTGTCACAAACACATCGTTTATTTTTACTTGTCGCTTAGTAATTATCCAATAGATTTCTTGGCATCAAATTGTTATAAAAAAAGGAAAAAAGATTTTCTGCGAACTTATTGTTTTCTGTTTCCTATTTACAATTTATTTTACAGACATTCAGAATGAGTATGCAATTTCTTTACGAAGATGGACAGGGATATGTTGTTGATGAACACAGAATTGAGCCCATGGATCTTGTTGTTGACGAGGAGTTATTTGCTATTGAAACAATAAGTTCTCGCACTCAATTTCTAATGAATAAACCTCCAGAAAGACCTTTTAATCCTGTAGTACATTCAGTTGCAAATGAAAGGAGCATTGAAGATGTTGATATAGAGTTATGCAATAAGCGACGCTATATAGTTTACTCTGATGAAGACAAAACTAGATTCTTTCATTTATTTTTCAGCAAATGCCTGAATGCTTCTGCTGCTGCGAGACAATTGGGTATTCATATCCAGGCAGCGCAGAGATGGGTTAAACGTTATTATGAAGACCCTGAAAACATCTTCGAGAAAAAGAAATAGTCAGGTCGGGGTCGTATTCTTGGGGAAGAACATAAAAGCATTTCTTTTAAATTACATTGATGAGAATCCTTCTGCCGTAGTCAGTGAAGTGGCAGAAAGTTTGAAACAAAACTTTGAACTCAACGTTTCTCGTAGTACTGTTTACAACTTCATGACAACTCAGTGCAATCTATCCATTAAGCAGGCACAAATTTCACCCTATGGAGAGAAACAGTGAGGAAAAAATCCAGCAAAGGTACGATTGGGTTCAAAAGTGGCAGCAAACTGACCTGGATTTCACAACAAATTGTGTTTTTCTTGACAAATCAGCCTTTCACATTAATTTCAAAACGGGGTATGGCTTGGTCAAAGAAAGGCACTCCTGTGATAGTTACAGTACCTACAACGAAGGCAAACGCAACTTCAATTTTAGGTGCAATATCCACAACTGGCTTAATTAATGTTAGCTTGAGAGTTCCAAAACGTATCAAAAAGAGAAAGCTTGGACGTGCAACTGATGGTTATAGCACAGGGACAGTGACAGGCCATTATCTAAGCTTTGTAAAAGCTACTCTCGACGAAATGGACAGGTATCCAGAAATGATGGGACACTACCTTGTCATGGATAATGCTCCTATTCACAATTCAACTGATATTGGTAAGTATATCAATTCACAAGGATACAGATTCGTATATCTTCCTCCATACTCTCCCGAACTGAATCCAATTGAGCAGTTCTGGTCAATTGTCAAAAGTAAAGTGAAACGAAATAAGTTTCTCGAAAAAGAGACACTAATGACTAGAATCAGTGAAGCGTGTGATAGTTTATATCTAAGTGACTTCAATGGCTTTGTTTCTCATTCTGTTAAATGTTTTGACAAGTGTCTCAACAAAGAAAAGTTATAAAACGTGAAGAGCAAAAAAAAGAGAAAAAAAGATATTCCTATGTATAATGAGCACTTTATACTGAATCAATTTACCAAGGATAACTCTCCTCTTAGTTGATGCTCGCAATAAGGATTGTTTTCTACATGATTTGTTGCACTTGTTTGGAGTGGAATAACCCCCCCTAATTTTCAGATGTTCAAACGATAATCCAGGCTATCCTAGACTATCCTAGGCTATCCTAGACTATCCTAGGCTATCCTAGACTATCCTAGGCTATCCTAGACTATCCTAGGCTATCCTAGACTATCCTAGGCTATCCTAGACTATCCTAGGCTATCCTAGACTATCCTAGACTATCCTAGACTATCTTAGACTAAAAAAAAACCATGCAGTCCATTACAATTATTTATTCATCAATTGTAGTAAAGTTGGATATGACAGGACCTCTTGTGGATGGCCCAGCCAGGACTTAATTCATTGGAAGGGTTCTGATTGGCTAAAATATATGCCTCTGATTGTGCCTAATCTGCAGCCTACACCTTCCCACTTTTTACATGTCTCAACCAACTCCCGTGTTTATCGCTCACTGCTGCTTTATGAGCAACGACTGTCAGTCAATTTCAGAACATCACAAAACCTTCGACGCCATCTTGCACAGGCACACGAATTTGATTTTCCTAGCCGCATCACGAAGGCACGATTGCGTAATAATGATTCGTACCTATACCTCAATGATTCCTCTACTTCTTCAAATCTGACTGTTATAATTCATTTTGGTTGCCCAATTTGCCAGCATCATTGCGCCGAACTGACTGCTATGAAAGCGCATTTTGAGGTTTGCCACCATGAGCATCTCCCTAACCAGCAGCGTGAGCACGATCAAAGTAGCAGCAGCACACTGCTAAGCGCATCAGTGGACGTCAACCAATCCATCTCAGGATTAAGCACGACGGGACAAAAACGACAGTCTGATGAAGCCATTTGCTTCGATGGGGTAAACCTTGATCAGCCGCTGGGCGAGCATTTGGTGATCAACAGCCTTGATGTGTCAGCAGGATTTCACAACATGAAGATGTCGCTCAAAGCAAACAAATGGAAGCTCTCATTAGAAGACAATTTGTTACTGATACTATCATCCACCTCAGTGCTGCTTCTTGATGGAAACAAATACCAGAAGAGGTGAAACCACATTTTGATTACGATCAGTGGCATATGATCGACGAGTATATCCAGCAAGCATACGGCATCAAGCGCCAACCCATCCCTCTCGCGACGACCACACAGTTCAGTAGCATCCTTGATCGGTTTATTAACAAACAGATTGGCCGGGATGAGGCTGAGATCAGCTTTAAATCTCTGGCTCTACCTACCATGAAAAAGAAAATTGCCAAAGCGATCAGCAACTTGGTTTCAAAGTTACCTCTTGTGACTATCGAAGAAAACGTGAACGAGATGGAGCTTCGCTCTCGCTTCATTGATCCTTTTTTGGCCGGTCTATTTGATGATCCAGACAATAGTATCTACTTGCGCTGGCTGGACGAAACCACCTTGGAGGCCAAGGCTAAGGAAGCATCAAGTTCCCGGCCAGACCTGAGTGTTACCAAGTCTTTAGGCATCAAATGGGCAACCACCCTGGCCTATGGTGAAGCCAAATCTGCCATGTATAGCGACGATCACTTTATTATTTGCAAGGATCTGATCAAGGTAGCCAGGTTTTGCAAGGACGCTCTCGACGACCAGTTGTTTGAAGGAATTCTGGCCGTACAAATCATTGGACGAACTGTTGTGTATTATCTTCTGACGTTACCCGCCCAAAGCATTTATACCATGATTCCTCTGGCAACTATCAAGGTCCCAGACAGCATCAACGACTTGCCTGGTCCGGTTTACAAGGTTCCTGATATTCTCAAAGTTTTGGACATCTTTGAACGCGTCTGTGTTCGTGCAGCACACCCGGAGACCATCAAGCATCGCTGTGCTCCAACCTTGCCAATGGCAAATATCCAACAGCTATTTTCGCAGTCCAAGAACCGCAAGAGGTCCTGTCATATCCAACTTTACCACAATTGATGAATAAATAATTGTAATGGACTGCATGGTTTTTTTTAGTCTAAGATAGTCTAGGATAGTCTAGGATAGTCTAGGATAGCCTAGGATAGTCTAGGATAGCCTGGATTATCGTTTGAACATCTGAAAATTAGGGGGGGTTATTCCACTCCAAACAAGTGCAACAAATCATGTAGAAAACAATCCTTATTGCGAGCATCAACTAAGAGGAGAGTTATCCTTGGTAAATTGATTCAGTATAAAGTGCTCATTATACATAGGAATATCTTTTTTTCTCTTTTTTTTGCTCTTCACGTTTTATAACTTTTCTTTGTTGAGACACTTGTCAAAACATTTAACAGAATGAGAAACAAAGCCATTGAAGTCACTTAGATATAAACTATCACACGCTTCACTGATTCTAGTCATTAGTGTCTCTTTTTCGAGAAACTTATTTCGTTTCACTTTACTTTTGACAATTGACCAGAACTGCTCAATTGGATTCAGTTCGGGAGAGTATGGAGGAAGATATACGAATCTGTATCCTTGTGAATTGATATACTTACCAATATCAGTTGAATTGTGAATAGGAGCATTATCCATGACAAGGTAGTGTCCCATCATTTCTGGATACCTGTCCATTTCGTCGAGAGTAGCTTTTACAAAGCTTAGATAATGGCCTGTCACTGTCCCTGTGCTATAACCATCAGTTGCACGTCCAAGCTTTCTCTTTTTGATACGTTTTGGAACTCTCAAGCTAACATTAATTAAGCCAGTTGTGGATATTGCACCTAAAATTGAAGTTGCGTTTGCCTTCGTTGTAGGTACTGTAACTATCACAGGAGTGCCTTTCTTTGACCAAGCCATACCCCGTTTTGAAATTAATGTGAAAGGCTGATTTGTCAAGAAAAACACAATTTGTTGTGAAATCCAGGTCAGTTTGCTGCCACTTTTGAACCCAATCGTACCTTTGCTGGATTTTTTCCTCACTGTTTCTCTCCATAGGGTGAAATTTGTGCCTGCTTAATGGATAGATTGCACTGAGTTGTCATGAAGTTGTAAACAGTACTACGAGAAACGTTGAGTTCAAAGTTTTGTTTCAAACTTTCTGCCACTTCACTGACTACGGCAGAAGGATTCTCATCAATGTAATTTAAAAGAAATGCTTTTATGTTCTTCCCCAAGAATACGACCCCGACCTGACTATTTCTTTTTCTCGAAGATGTTTTCAGGGTCTTCATAATAACGTTTAACCCATCTCTGCGCTGCCCGGATATGAATACCCAATTGTCTCGCAGCAGCAGAAGCATTCAGGCATTTGCTGAAAAATAAATGAAAGAATCTAGTTTTGTCTTCATCAGAGTAAACTATATAGCGTCGCTTATTGCATAACTCTATATCAACATCTTCAATGCTCCTTTCATTTGCAACTGAATGTACTACAGGATTAAAAGGTCTTTCTGGAGGTTTATTCATTAGAAATTGAGTGCGAGAACTTATTGTTTCAATAGCAAATAACTCCTCGTCAACAACAAGATCCATGGGCTCAATTCTGTGTTCATCAACAACATGTCCCTGTCCATCTTCGTAAAGAAATTGCATACTCATTCTGAATGTCTGTAAAATAAATTGTAAATAGGAAACAGAAAACAATAAGTTCGCAGAAAATCTTTTTTCCTTTTTTTATAACAATTTGATGCCAAGAAATCTATTGGATAATAGGCTAGTTGCCGGAATGGAGTCCGATGATGTGGTTGGTTGGTTAACGCTCTTCTAGCCGCGCTTTTATTCTCAGATAAACAATAAAAAGAAAATTCATTCTACAATCTAGTACTTTAGTTCTTTCTAAGCTATGTATTACAATTTTTTTTGTCTAAGTATATGATATTATGGGAAGGGCCAAATCAAGCGTTGATACCAAGGGCGGGTCCCCACCACATCATCGGACTCCATTCCGGCAACTAGCCTATTGGTTGTCGTTCCTAACCCAATCGTGGTTGCCTCCATTCCGTCCTCAGATGTGGTTGGTGTGTTCTCCGTGGACGAAAAAATTGTCGTAACTACTTGTCTGCCACGTGCATGTTGGTCGCGAGGGCGATAATAATAATGTTCAAACGTCTCGCTCTTCTTGCTCCAATGGCCATGTTCCTTGATCATATCAACGTCTATGCCTTTTTCAGCAGCCTTTGTACTCGCCGCCGAACGCGTGGAATGTGCCTTAAAAATGGTAGTATCAATGCCTGCCTCGGCCATGACCTTAGTAACCCAGTTCGCAACGGTTACAGGACTTGCTACTCTTGGAGTCTTGTAAATGTTGGCTAAAAAGAGTGTTTGATCTGTAGGTAAATTGCAGCGCAACGGTTGTGATTTCTTCATCCAAGTGTGTAAGGTGCGGACAGGGCATATGGATTGGTCTGCAATGACACCAATTTTTGAATCTTTGACTTGGCTCTCTTTTGGTTCTCGAGCAATGAGGATCATGCCAATACATTCTCCGTTGTCATATTGTATATGCACGTCTCGTAGTTGCAAGCGTCCAATGTCCGATCTTGTGCGCCACATGGTTGCCAAACACAGTAACATGATGGTTTTCTTTTGGAGTTTGTCCATCGTCAGTTGCTCCGTTGGGCCCCATTCCTTCAGTAAGGTTATCACCTTGTCCGTATCCCAAATTTCTTGACTAATATTAGGCCTCTTGAATGTTGTGCGTCTTTTAGCAGCAAAGAACCGTTTGACGTCTGGGTGCTCAGCAATGGGCTGTCGCCATGGATGTGTAACGCCAAACACTGACGCAATCGATGATCGCATTCCATTGAGGGAATCATATCCTAAGTCTACGTTGGCTTCCAGGAACTCTACCAGCATCTTGGGATTATATTGTTCCGGGTCTTGAATAGGAACCTGAGCACGACACCATTTGGCATAACGAATCCAATAATGATTGTATTTCCTTCTTGTTGATGAACGGGTGGCTTTTGTTAAAAATTTTGTCGTTTCCTTGCTATAGCCTTCTTTGTGCCCTGTGCGTTCAATAATCGCCATGCGACTAAGTTGATTCGTTGGTTGATCGGCATTATTAATGGTGGGTCCCGTACTTGGTTCAAAATCATCGGCCACCAAAACTGGGTTGGCCACATCGGAGTGACCAACACGACTTGTTGCACTCGATCTTGATTGAATTTGCGGATGACTTTCGGAATCAGTTGCCATGGTGGATGAAGGTACAATCCGCGTTTCGGCCATGGTTGTTGGAAAGCGTCTACTGCTGCTTGATTGCCATCCGGTTGCCTCGCCCAATACGTCGGAAGTCGATTGTTGTGCCTCCCTGCAAAAGCGTCGATCGTTAGCGGTCCCCATTGCTGTAGAATCTTGTAGAATTTGCTGTACGGCAACGTCCATTCGTAAATCGGTTTGCGCTGTCTGCTGAGCCGATCCGCCGCCACGTTCTTGACGCCCGCAATATGAGAGAATCTGACTGTGAGGTTGTAATCGAGACATATATCTTGAATGTCTAAGGCGAGTTGCTGCAGTGATATGGATGCCGTACCGCCTGCCTTGCTTGCATATTTTAGCGCTGTTATGTTGTCGGTGTAGATGTGTATTGTTGAGTTTGCAAACCGTTTTGCATGGATCTCCAACGCTATCTTGATCGTTGCTAGTTCTCGAACATTTATCGATTCGGATTCTTCGTCGGTGCGCCAATATCCTGCGAATTCGCCTAATTCGGATGCTATTCCCCACCCAGACGCCGCCGCATCTGTATGGATGGTTACTGCCGGTAATTCTGGTGGTGGTCGATGGATAGGTAAGCCATTCCGGCTCTCTGCAAGGGTGAGCCACCAATTCAAATCCTGTATTGCCAGTTTGGTTAATTGGCATGGAGCCTCCCACCCTTGTCGTGTCTGTTGCAATGTTGTGGTCAATGCACGCTGTATGTGTCGTATATGGAGTAGGGCATCGCCAATTGCTGGAATCATCGCTGTCATCTTGCCAAGTAATCCGGCGATCCATCGGCACGAGAACACTTGGTTTTTGGCTTGCTTGATGCGTCGCACCAGCTTGTTCAGTTTGTGTGTTGGCACTTGGATAAGTCCCGTGATCGTGTTGAATTGAAAACCCAAGAATTCTTGTACTTGTTTCGGTTTGAGGTCGCTCTTCTTGTGGTTGATGATGAAACCCAAGGACGTGAGATGGTTGATCATTTTCTCGCAATCTTGTTTCAAGCTGGTTGCCGATTGATTCAATAGACACACGTCGTCGATGTAGTAGCAAAAGCGCATCCCCTGGCGTCTGAGTGGTTCTAGGGCATATCGAAGTAGTTTCGACCATACTCGTGGCGCCATGCTTGCCCCAAAGGGGAGCGACCTGTACCGCATCACTACACCATCTTTGGTCTCGAATGTCAAAAAGTCTCGCGAATCGGGGTGGATCGGAACCACCGTGTACGCATCTCTCATATCGATTTTGCAGATAAAATCCTTGCCTTCGATCAAATCCCGTAGGGCTGGCAAACCTTCCATCCGAAATTTCTGATACTGGATGAATCGGTTTATCTTGCGGCCATCGAAAATCGGTCGAATCTTCGTAGGTTCTTGGATGGTAAACAATGTCGACAAAAACCGGCGGTCTTGGGTAGGTGATCTCTCTATCACTTGTGCTACTTGAAACTGTGCCACGGCCTGGTCGATCCTGGTCTGTGCTGCCGCATCCTGTGTCACCCTCTTGGAAAACCATGGTTGTGGTTGCGTTTGAAATTGAATTTTGTAGCCCTCTTGGACGATAGACAAAGGCCATGGATGGTTCGTTATCTTCTTCCATTGATCGGCAAAATATAATAGGCGCGCCCCCGGTGGAATACCATCGGGGGGAATTGTGTAGTGTTGTTCCGTCAACGGCGGCACTACTGTCTAGGATCGGGATTGGTCTGATTGGTGTTGTTTTGGCTGTAGTTGTTGTTGGGTTTCGGTCTGCCAAAAAAAGAGCTGGACTTGTAGCCACCCCTGCCGAAGTTGTTGAATCTGCGG